TGATGGGCACTTAGGTTGTTTCCAGCTCCTTGCTATTGTGAACAAAGCCATGATAAACATGGGTGTGCATATATGTGCTTGGATGGCAATTATGGTCTCTTTGGGGTATATTCCCAGTAGTGGAATTGCTGGGTCAAATGGTATCTCTGTTTGCAACTTTTTGAAAAAGCACCATACTGCCTTCCACAGTGGTTGCACCATTTTACACTTCCACCAACAGTGAATAAGGGTTCCAGCTTCTCCACAACTTCGCCAGCATTTGTTGCTTGCTGTTCTGTTAAATTTTTGCTATTCTGACTGGGGTAAGATGATATCCCATAGTTGTCTGATATAGATGTAATTCTTTTAAAAAAGTACACTGTTAGATCTAATGTAGATGCAGGGGGATAATTTAAGATTTGGAGATTATACAAGGGCAGTAATTTTGGGCGTCCATCCAGTTTCACTAGCACTTGAAGTAATCCCATAAGAATTTTCAGTTCTTTTTTTCCATTTCCTCCTATTCATTCAGGAGTCTTCCATTGGGCATTAAAATATTCAGTTAGGGGGGCTGGCACCATTTAGTTCATCTGGCCTCATCACAGTTGATTCATGGAGTCCATTTCTTTTTGTTTGTTGCTTTATTCACTACTGCTCTAGGTGCCTAGAGACTAATTTTATTTTATTATTTTTGTGTGCGTGTACCGTCAAATCAGATCTGACTAGTACAGGATTGCCCCTCCTTCCCCGGCAGAGCATCTGGTGGATTCGAACCTTGCACCTCTGGGATTGTAGTTGCAGCTCATTGCCACTAGGCCACCAGAGCTCCCCTTAGAGACTAATTATTGTACCATTTTAAAGGGCCATTTTAAAGACCTCAGGGACTAGATAACAAACTTAAAAACCAACTCATTACTGTCAAGTTGGAACTGTCTCTTTGCTGATTCTCCAGTGGGGTTTTTTTTTTGTTGTTTTTTTTTTGTGTGTGTGTGTGAGCGTACCGTCAAATCAGATCTGACTGGTACAGGAGGAGATTGTTCCTCCTTTTCCCGGCAGAGCATCTGGTGGATTTGAACCGTTTGCCTCTGGGATTGTAGTTGCAGCTCCTTACCACTAGGCCACCAGAGCTCCCACTCCAGTGGGTTTTTGAAGGCTGTAAATTGCACGAGAAGAGAGTCCCCATTTTTCTCCCTCAAATTTGAACTGCCAGAGAGGTACTGTTTTTGAGTTAGTAGCTCAACCCTACAAACAATGTCACAAGGGTTCCCTAAAAAAGAAGAGAAGCCCCCAAACAATATTGGCCTTATTGACTGATGGTCCCACAATGCTATGTCTTAAAAACTTATAAATCAAGAAAAAAGAACCCCATAGAGATACATACATAGACATCAGCATTCCACATTATATTGTCAATTCAACATTTCGTGGTATCCATTACATTAATCAACTATACAACCATTAAACTTAATTAATGCTATTTTTCTATCACCTTAGAAACTTACTGCTTCTCAATAAACACATTAACAGAAAATGATTACCAAGGGTGACCAAAAACTAAAAAATGAAAAAAAAAGTTTTCTAAATTTTATATTGGTTTGCTTACATAGTTCATATACATTGTGTTTCACAGTATCCTTCAAAACAAAAATTTTTTAAAACTCAGGACTGTCCTGTTGTCTGCCTGTGATCTAATTGCACTTAAGTGACATAACTGATTTGATTTTAAGATCAATTCCTCTTGTATGTTGGACACAGATATCCTGGAAACACAGAACGCTAATGAGTTGTTTAAAGACCTGCAAGTGGCATTAAATAATAAAATTTCGGGGTGCTTTTTGTGTTGTTCTTATAGACCTGCAAGTGGCATTAAATAATAAAATTTCGGGGTGCTTTTTGTGTTGTTCTTATATTACATATGTATTCTGTATTATCTTATTGGGAATGCTCTCAAGTAAGAACAGCCTTATATGTTAGGGGGCTTTTCAGCTTTGGCCCCACTGCCTGTGCTTCCTAGCATCCATCTGAGGAAAGCATCCCTTTTAAGTGGTTTTAAGTGGTGCTCCTCAGGGGGTGTGAAGCTGCTCTTTTGTCTTGGGCAAATGTCAGACCCCTCCATCACCCTTTTACTGCCATCCAGCTTTTAGTTCTCCAGGCATTTCCCTTTTCTCTCAGTAGAAAAGGAATTCCAATAGAAATAGCAAAAGACACATTCTCTATTACATCAGCTTTCCTCTTTCCCCCCTCTCTCAACCCCCAAAAGAGAGAGTTGGAACTGAGATGCCTTGCTGCTGGAACTTGATGGTCCATGAAATCATTTCGAGAAGACATTTATTTACTTTTTCACAATTCCTATTAGTCTTGTGATATCCCACAACCCATTTGTGTGTTGGTTTGTTTGTTTTTGTTTTGTTTTGTTTTTGCCAGATAGTACATTTTGCTTCCCCCCCCCCCTTTTTTCCAGATAGTGAATTTCCTATCATTTCTTCCAGTATTGTAGCTCTGTGATGAGTCCTGGATTATATGTCTTCTTTAAATGTTAGTTCTGGGCCACTTTCATTTTTTACAGCTCTTGAGAAATGAAAATCTGTTACAATGGGGTTATTATGTTATAAAATTTTACATTTAAGCAATTAATCAATGTAATATGGAGAATTTGTGGTGAACAATTATGCTGTGAACAAGGTAATTTCAGAACTTAATAAAGTAGTCAGTTCTTCTACAACTGCAGATAGTGAGGGCTGATAATGGTGCACTAAGTTTTGTAATGAACATTTTCTTTAAATTCTGTCAATATGTGCCTGAGACTTTAGTACAGATAATCTCATTTGGAGATAAATTCCAAGCCTGCATTTGAGGATCTTTATGAATATGAGGCCTTTTCTGTGAGCTTTCTTTTCCTAAGAATGTACCTTTTGCCCCCCTAAGTTTTGAAGCTGACTTAACATTTATTCCATACTTATGCCAAAGAAGAATGTTATTTCATTCTTCTTGTAAAGGGAACTTTTTGAGTTAAACACATGGCATCGTGGAACTAGTTGTTTTGGCCGAGCTTTTGGGAGAGTTGCTGTTTTAGTTTGCTCTCTCAGGCATTGCAGGTTAGCACTCTGTCCTCTGTATGGCTGACTCATTACAGAGGCCTCAGGTGTCGGAAACCTCTGCCGTGTTTATTGGCTGAGCCATGGCTCGTCAGAGAAGGCCTCAATGGTGATCAGAAATATAGTTGACTAACCCTAACACAGAGTCTTGTGCCTTTCTCCCATTCATCTCCCTCTGTGGTCTTGACTCTGTGGTTTGCTGACATGTTTTTCCAGGTTCATTGTTTCTGATTGACAGGACATGCTGTTTGTCAACAGAATGACATCAAGGTGTGGAGTGAGGACTGGAAGGTCATTCAGCATGGTGGGATTTCACACAGCCTGACGGATCAGTGTCCAAAGGGGTCAAAGTGAAAATGAATTTTTTTTCTCCCAAGACTTTTAAAATTTTTTCCAAGGCAATAATTGCTGGTAGGAAGGGCAAAGAATAAAAAAAGGAGCAAAGACTAAAGAGGTTAGCTTTGTAGAGTTAGGAAGGCTTAGGTTTATGGAGATTTGCTGTTGACTCTTATGAAATAGTATGAAGATATTCTTTCTGCTTGTCTTAGATTTAGTTGATAATATTAAACAGCCTCCACTTTTTTTCCTGATATGAAAGACTCAGCCATTAAAATGATTGTGTGTAATCATTTGAATGATTAAAGCACTAGTCTAGGTGATGTAGGTTCAACTTCTCTACCTTCTACTTTACAAGAGAACACCTGCTCCCCGGGAGGCCCTGGCCTCTTAAGCAGTCTCCTGGAGATTGTGTTCGAAATTAGGTCATGACGTTCTGGGCTTTCAGGACAAATGTCTTGTACTTTCAACCTTGCTGGAGCGAAGCCCCGAATGGAGCTTTCTTTCTCAGGACTTAGGAGTGGGCACAGAAGATAGTGATCATTGGAGATCTTTAGTAACCACATGTCCTTTCACCTGGTCACATCCAAATTGTATTAAGATTTTCTTTTTCTGTGTTTTGGGCTGTGTGACCAGACTCTCTCTGTGTTTGCTATCAGAGAGTGCTTTTTAGCCATGAGCACCACCATATTGCTCCACATCTGGTCCAGACTGTTTGTCAAAAAGCCCACAAGAAAAGCATCATGACTATGTTTTTTTTCTGTGTTGCAGATTTTGACGACTGCCAGATCTGGGGGATTTGTGACCAGATGTGTGAAGACCGCATTGGTCATCATCAGTGCCACTGTGCAGCAGGGTATACTTTGGAGCATGAGCGGCACTGCAAAGCTAGTACTTCCTGTGAGTAAACTGTAGACACCAGTTGTATGTCCAAATAGTACACTGTTGCATAATATTCACCTTCCTGAGACAATGACAACTCTGCTGATCACAGCAGATAATCAGAAGTAAAGAGTGGCTCTTGACGTCTAATTGCTGTCGGAAAGAATGGGCCAGCTTTAACTTAATGATGACATTAAATATTTATTGACAAAAAAATATTTGTTGATTGCTGATTTGTCTGGATCTGGATGACCTGTCACACATAATCATAGGATAAATTTAATATCTGTATTTGGTCTTTCATAAACATAGGTGAAAAATATATGTAGAAATAGTTTTTATAATTATAGACAAATTTGTGCAAAACACTATTGCCCTGGAATTGGAATTGGTATTGGAATTGGTTTAAGGTAACTGGAATAGAGAAGAGTAATGGTATCTGCTGGAAAAAAAAAGGTTTTTTTTGTCTCAAAGCCATTTTGTCTAAGCAAAAAGGTTTCACTTTTATTCATATTAGGTATAGTTGATTTTTAAGAATTACATTGATCTATTTATTAATATGTTATATACAAATATACATATAAATAGATATTTAAGCCCATTTTTATACATCTTGTTAAGTGTGTTCAATAGATTTTTTAAAAGAACTTTTCATATTCTCACAGAAAGCTCATTTATTAGCATAATAAACTGTTTCATGTATGTGTATAATTTATATAACTAGTCATTTACTTAAAAACTTTTATGTCATTTGTTATCTTTTGTTATTATAAACAGGAAAATGAAGACCTCATGTTTTGCATTCTTGCAAATATGCTCACATAACAAATTTGCATGTCATGCTTTTCCTTGATATGTATCTCGATGACTCTTCAAAACGTGTTCTATGTTTAACATAATTTAAAATTGAACATGTATGTATTATCATTAACATACAGTTATTCATTCTTATAAATTTGTGGCCATATGATTGTTAATTCTTATAAATATCTGAAGTATTTTTCTCAGTGTTATGTTTTGGATACCTCATCCTGCCCGTCTATAAGATGGTATAGTGATAACAGTATATTTGCCTCGGAGAATCAGTCATTTTAAGTATCAAGTACAACTATTTGGAAAGTCTAGATCATAGCCTTTGCTAATGCTTCACCATCTTTGCTCATCGCCAGGAGTATTAATGTCGTCTGTCTTCACCTCTAGCTGGTGAAGCCTCTGTTATCTTCTCCGATGGTCGGGATTTGCTCATTGGTGATATTCATGGAAGAAGCTTCCAGATCCTGGTACAGTCTCAAAATCGAGGAATAGCTGTGGGTGTGGATTTCCATCATGACCTGCACAGGGTCTTTTGGACAGACTATACACAAGATAAGGTAAATAGACATTTCATGAGCATACCTTTGGCACTGAAGAGAATCCTGAGCTCAAAGTGTTGATGGCTTTTCTTTTTCAGGGGAGTAGAGAGGAAAGTTCCTTTGTCTTTTAACAAAAAAGGCCCTTGAGATAGTTTATGTTAATCAGCACCTTTTCCATGCTATACTATTACATGTGACCTGTTAAACAAAGCAGTCTATTATATGGATAAGCCTTGAGCAACTTTTAATTTTATTCGAAATGGAGTCCAAAAGCCTAATTAAAAGAAATAGTAGACATTCTTTCAAACCGAGATAGATATTTGGTAGTAATTTTTGAAACTTGATCATTTAAAATGTAAAAAGTACTATGCTTTCCTGGATGATAAAAATCAGATTTTACTTGCATTTTCTAAATGGAACTGTAATTGAAGGTTGAGTAACAAATATTGACAGTATTTTGCTTAACAGCCAAAATTTTGTTACACTGTCTTATTTGAAAAGTGTAAGAGATTATATTTTAAGTTTTAGTGGTATAATAGAGATTTTAGGCATAAATTTTAGAGTCTTCAAAATGAGTTTTATTAGTTCTTACATTTCTTTGTACCATTAGTGAAATTTTAATTAAATGGGATTGAGATTATTAGCTATTATGATTTTATTATAGCTAAAAAAAATAATCAAAATGAACTGGAATTTTTTTGTAAAAAAATCACACTTTTAAATTAGATTCGTCAGGAAATTTAACTACTTTCTTGATGTGACCATATTAGTGCTTTTCATTGTATCATTTTAGAGATGGGTGTAGGACTACCTTTTCACTGGAATGCGTTAATTAATGTGTTTATTAATATTGTTTAATATTTTTACTAATAAGTATGAGTGAGCTCTTGTGGCCTAGCCGGTAAGGAACTGTATTGCCAACTCAAAGGCAGGTAGTTTGAATCCACGGGTTGCTCTGTGGGAAAGGGATGGTCAGTTTTCTGCTCTGAGATTTACAGCCTCTGAAAACCTGTTGGAGGCTCAGCTATGACTTGGTTTTGATTTGACAGCTATGTACAATAAGTATAGTTTTGCTGCACAAAATTTAAATGCTTAAGAGTAGTTTAAATATTTACAACACATGGAGTTCTTGTTAGCATTGTTCAGGTTTCTTGTTTCCTCTTAGTCTGTAATGTCTAGCTTGCCTTCAAAATGAGAGAAATGGGCGGGTGGTTTCCACACAGCATCAGTGAGGCGAGCTGGCCATTGTGGCTACTGGAGAGCAATGCCCATTGAAGCCCCATGTCTGCATGCTCCAGTTCCCTGCTGCCAAGTAACAGTGTAGGTCAAGTATTGCCAGATCTTTCACATTTTAAATGAAAGCTAGAAGTGTGGATTTTTCTACATGCTCTCCGGATGTTGGCTCCAGTTTTGAAGAAACACTGAAGTAAGGCCAAATCTTTCTAACTGAGGCTTTTGATTTCTTTACATGACTCTAGTTGGTGGTTCTTATTGTTCTCTGGGAAATACAATTTAAGTTCTTTCCCCAGTGCCTTCTGCTGGCTGGGAGGCAGAATGGGTTGGGGAGGTAGTGGTGGCTCTTTTTGTATGGCTCTTGTAACACGGACTTTCTTAGATATGTTTTCTTAGCCAAGAGAGTTCCTCCTAAGTCTTAAAGCATAGGATGTTTGTTGCTTTTTTTTTTTCAGGGGATATTTTTAATTTTTATTTTATATAATATGCTTATATCAAATGAACATGAAGTTAGTTATGTAAGAAAAAGTAAGATGAATAAAAATAGATAGCTGCATTTTTATTTTGCTACTTAGGCAAGTTCCATTAAGCTTAATACCACTCTATCTAAAAAAACCTGTGGCTGTATAGAAATAGTCTGTGTTATACCAGTTGTTCTTATCCAGGCCACAGAAAGCAAAATGGTAATAGTTTTTCTGTTTTGACCATTTTCATTTTATTTACAGTAAGGACTAAGAATCTGCCAGTATTATACTATTTCTGTAATGTACACATGGACTCTAGCACACCTTATTTTTTTATATCCTGAGTTATTAAAACAAAAAGAGTGTATATTGAAAGTAGTGGTTAGGAGAGCAGGCCTTGTAGTCAGAGAAAATCATGTTCAAATCACAGACTTTGTGAACTCATTTGTGATTTGAGGATATTATTAATTTCAAATACAGATCTCTTAAGTCAGCAAGGTGTGCCAGATTCAGGTCCTAGTCTTTAATCACTAAGGTGCACCTTATTCAGGCTAAAGTCTTTTCAATCACTTACTCTGCTGCTGAGAGCAGGACAATCAATAAGGAAGACAGAAGAAGACTTGATTCCTTTGAACTATGGTGTTGGAGAAGAGTACTGAATATCTCTTGGACTGCCAAAAAAAAAATCAAGCATATATATGTTAGAGAAGATGCAGCCAGAGTACTCCTTGGAGGCAAAGATGATAAAGCTTCATCTTACATACTTTGGTCATATTGCTAAGAGAGGCTGTTCCTTGGAGAGGGACATCATACTTTGGAAGGTGGAGGGACAGCAAAAGAGAGGAAGACCCTCCACCAGAGAGATTGACGTAGTGACTGTAGCAGTGGGCTTGGATATGTTAATGATTGTGAGGATGGCATTGAATGGGACAGGGTTCAAGTTTAGTGGTTTATAGGGTTGCTACAAGTTGTACTTGACCTAATAACACCTAACAAAAACAACAACAGCAGCAGCAGCAGCAGCAGCAATAACTATCTCCTAGGGTTGCTGAGAGCTAAATGAGATACTTCTTGTTAAGCTCCACATATTGTGTACTTTTTTCAAGATTAGGTTTGATGTTAATTTAACCTTGCTTTTGATAAAATTGTGCTTTTTCTCCCTTACTATTAAGAAAAGAAAACACAGACATATTTAAAAAAGAAATGAATGGATACGTTGAATAAAGTACTTCACATGAAAATTTATATTTTCCCCCCTCAGGTTTTTTCAATTGACATGAACAGTTTAATTATCCAAGAAGTTCTCAATGTTTCTATTGAGGATTCAGAGCATTTGGCTGTCGACTGGATTAATAATAAACTCTATATGGTGGAGACCAGGGTCAACCGCATAGATTTGGCAAATTTAGATGGAAGTAACCGGGTTATCCTTATCAGTGAAAACTTGGGCCGTCCTAGAGGAATTGCTGTGGACCCAACTATTGGGTAAGTGATGTGGATACATACTGAGCCCCCCTCCCCATTTTAAAAATCTCTACACATCTAAAATCTATTGGGTTAATTGTAGGTTAACTCCTTTAGAGTTTATTCTCTAGAATCCATCTATATCACTATTCATAATAGCCTTTAAAGGAGTAGACTAAATAGAATTTCAATTCCGTGTAAGTTAACCAAACATACTTATTGTTAGATGCCATTTAGTCACCCACTCAGTAACTGCTGTCAGTGAGGACCAACTCATAGCTGACCCTCCACAGGGTTTCTGAGATTCTCTACCTTTCTCCCTAGGAGCCGCTGGTGAATTAAAACAGCCAGAAAGGTACAATTTTTGGGTTAGAAGGATAACTCCCTGGAGAAAATGTCCAGATCTTGCTAGGTGCCTTTAGAACTTGGAAATGTCCGTAAATGGCATGGTTTTAGGTACTGTTAGGTGCCTCTACTCATGGTCACCCTATGAGAAGGAAATGTTTTCCAGTCCTGCACTGTCTTCACAACCTCGGCTTTCTGTAAACCCACTGTTAACAGCCTCTTAGGTTTAAAGAGAAATGAAAGACAGCCAGGAAAGGAAAGATTACAGGGAGAGACTTTTTTAGTCTCTATTGTGTTCCACCTCATGATTCTCTAGTCACCTGAAGAAAATTTTAAGTAATCCAAACATAAATTCTAACCCCACCCCCATTTTCCAAGTAACCTTGTCAAATAACAGACCTCTTTCATCTTTTTTTTGTAGTTATTTATTTTTCTCAGATTGGCGGAGTCTTTCTGGGGAACCCAGAGTGGAAAGAGCTTTCATGGATGGCAGCAACCGTAAAAATTTGGTCAAGTCAAAGTTGGGATGGCCTGCTGGGATAACTCTGGATCTCGTATCAAGGCGTGTTTACTGGGTCGACTGCCGGTTTGATTACATTGAGACTGTAACTTATGATGGACTGCAAAGGTAAAAAAATATTTTCATGGTGTTGTACATTTGGAGTTTCAATTTATGAACTTGCAAAGGAGGAGACGGAAAGGACCGGGATTAAAATAATACATTTTGGTTGGCATTGCAATTATCTTTGTGTGGACATTGCTAGGAAATGACCGACTCTGAGTTTTGTTAGTTTTTCTTGTGTTCCTCAACACCCATTGATTATTATCTGAAGCATTTGTTCAGTGACTTTTCCACTTCTCTCAATCTTTATCTCTTTTCTGGTTTGCCTTATGCTTTGCTTCCAAGGACTGCCTTTGATTGGATTTATTCTACCCTAGTGTATTTCAGATTTTGGAGTATATTGTACAGCAGTATCTGAAAGTAGATTGGTAGACTGGGACATACTTTTTTCTTCATTTTCACAGTTAGCCTAGTGAGAGTTAACTTGTAGATACATCCCTTTTGATTTTTTTTTTAATTAAGACATTTTCAAATTTTTTACTTTTTAGAAGTGATTGGGTGTGAAGACTAGGAATTCCTTTCTTTTTTTTTTTCTTTTATTATTTTTTGTGTGTGTGTGAGTGTACCGTCAAATCAGATCTGACTGGTACAGGAGGAGATTGTCCCTCCTTCCCCGGCAGAGCATCTGGTGGATTCGGACCATGCACCTCTGGGAGGAATTCCTTTCTTACCTTTCCTCTGAAACTGTCCTCACAGAGAGAACTCTTACCTTTAAAAAATTTTTTTCTGTGGTTATTTTTTTTTTTGCTATTTTACAGTTATAAATATGTTTCTTTTTAAATAAAGTTTTTATTTTATACTGGTTTACTTACAAGGTTCGTATACATTGTTTTTCACACCAGATCTTTTTAATGAGACGTAAAGAACCATCAAGGGGATATTAAAGCTTGTGACTGATGCGTCACTTCTGCTCACAGTTGGCACCTGGGAGTTCTGGAATTTGTTAAGTGGACCATGTTACTGAGTGCAACCTTAGACGTTTAGTTGGGTTCTAAACTTTCATTTGTAGTCCCAACTTTATACTCATTCCTGTTCCCTAATTTCTTAGAAATGATCAGTGTGCATATAATTTCTGAAGGCATCAGACTTCCAAACCTGGGTTATTCTCGTTATTTTGTGGAATTTAAAATGCTTGCTGTTCCATACCTTAGCCCTGCATAAGGAAACAGCCAGAAACGAAAGACTTGAATGAACTAGTATGAATTGTTGAATGGATAACCAACTTAATCACAATTTTTAAAAATCCTTAAGAATTTTTTTTCCCTGGAGATAATTAAAATTATTAACAAATTTTGATGGAAAAACCATGTACCTCTTAAAATTTGTTTCATATACTATGTGTATTTTTTATATGTTCTATATTTTCTCTATGTACTTCATGTAATAAGATACTTTTTTAGCTTTTTAGGCATTTTATTGACCTACTTTTCAGTTAAAATAAGGCAAAACAATAAAAAAAAATCCTATGTTTTTATAACAGGAAGACAGTAACTTATGGAGGCACTGCCATTCCTCATCCCTATGGAATAACCTTGTTTGAAGATCAAATATTCTTTACTGATTGGACAAAGATGGCTGTAATGAAGGCAAACAAGTTTACAGAACCAAACCCACAAGTATATTACCATTCCTCCCTGAGGCCTTATGGAGTGACTGTTTACCATTCTGTCAGACAGCCCAAAGGTAAGGTCCAGATCCACTGAAACTATGCTCAATACTAAAAAGCTTTCTCAAAGCTTATGTCAAAATGATAAGGGACTTAGAGGCTGTTTTCAAAATAGATATTGCGTTTACCTTGAGCAGTAAAAAAAATGAGCATTCTAGAACCAATTATTTATTGACCAAAATATTTGTTGAGATCTGCAAGTGATGGGACATAGGAGCAAAGAAAACAGTAAAAATGCCTATCCTCATTCTGCTGTTAGAAGTCTTTTTTAGCCCTCTAGTGAAATAATTGGGGGAACTGATGACCAACAGAAGAAAAAGACATGCCTTGTTTCTGGTGGTATCGTTTATCAATGGTGCTACTCATTTATCAATGAAGAAAAATGTTCTGGCAAAAGATTAATACTGGTTAATCTTTTGTATTCCAGTCTGTTATGTTTGTGTTTATGTTTTAAGTAGAACTTTCACATACCTATTTGAACTCTATAGAACCCCTTTCAATATGTTGGTACAATGTTTACTACTGATGAACAGTGAGTTAGAGGAAGACATTTAGCTTGTCATGTGAGGAAATGGAGGAAAGTTGATTTGGGAAGCAACAAAACGAACAGAACTCCACTGTTTGAGAAATGATTAATTTAGATGAATTCTCAAAGTAGTCATCCTGGAAAAATGCATCCTCACTGTACATTCACAGCCTGTCAGTGGATATACAGTGAGTCTTCAGAGTTGCTACATTGAAGATAATCTTTGAATATTTTGAAGGAAGTATGAGGTCATTTGTATTGAGACATATGTTTAGAAGTTTGGAATCTAATCAGAATCCTAATTTAGCTGAGTAATCAGGCAGGTTGTCTAACCTTTCTCAGCTTGGTTTCCTCTAACAGTTGGATGCTCGCAAAATAAGCATTTGGTGAGTGATAGTTTCTGTGTTAAAAATAGTAAAAATAGCATTACGGTTTTCTTTGGCAGTTATTTCTGATCTCTGGAACTAAAAGACATGATGATTATGGCAAAAAAAAGAACCACAATAGTCAATCAGTTGCAGTTTATTTTATTGTTGCTTTCGCTTGTTCTTTTTTTATTTTTTTGCAACTAGTAAGTTGAGAGCAATGGTGTTGGGAAGGGTCAGTGCACCACATATGGAATGCATACATTCAGTAATGAGAGTGATATTTCCTTAGGGGTTTACCTGTGGAGTTCAAATGGACTTGAGTTTTGTCAATTTTATTTTCTAATTCTTGGATAACTATGCATTTCTAATTTCATTTTAACTCCATGCATTTTCTAACTTCAGTTCCGAATCCTTGTGGCAATAACAACGGAGGCTGTGAACAGATCTGCGTCATCAGTCATATATCAGATAATAATGGTCTGGGTTACCGCTGTAAGTGCACTTTTGGCTTTGACCTGGCTGCAGATCATCACCACTGTGTTGGTAAGAGATTGGGCTCTCGTTCTGGCAGCACTTGCCTGTATGTACTTCCCCAAACAACTGCTGCTTTTGGCCCGGTCTAGTTCCTCACTTTACCTCTTCACTGGAGATCAGCTTTCTGTAGTCTGCCAGTTCTCCCTCCTGTAAATATGGAGGAATGTCTAACAACAAGAAGTAATGTTTAAAATAGATAAACCGGGAAGGAGAATAAGCAAAAGAGTAAGAGCAAAGGATAAGCAAAACAGTTTCTTCTAGTGATTGTTAACATTTACTTAATATCTACTAACCGTTAGGCATTACTTTCAGTGCTTTATATGAACTTTCAACTTTAGTATCATTATCATTTTATAGGTTACTTGCCTACCAGTGTTACATGTCAAGAATATATAGCAGCTCCTGGGTTGGGTCATTTAGTTGCTATTTATTTAAAATCATAGGTTTTCAAAACATCACAAAATATCTTTTTTGAAACACCTACTCTTCTTTCTAGGGGCCAGGCAAGAACACAAGTAGTTCAGTTGAAATTGTTTTAGAAATTAGCATGTAGGGAGAGAAGCCTCTTTTATATAAATCCCAGGGATACATTTTTTCCTAGCTATTTTCTCCAACTGAATTTCCCACACTGTCATACACATTTTAGAATCCTAAGCTGTGCTTTCTGATAGTGTCTCTGGGGTTTGGGAAGCTTAAGGACCACACCTGTAACTGACTGGTACTTCTTTCCTCTTACAGCTGTTAGTAAGTTCCTGCTCTTTTCATCCCAAGTGTCCATACGAGGAATCCCACCCAACATCTCATCCCAGGAAGATGTTATAATTCCAGTGACAAGAAAATATTCCTACTTTGTTGGCCTTGATTATTGGGCCCAGGAGAAAGCGATCTTTTTTACAGATTTTGCACAAGATACAATTTGTAAACAAAATATTGATGGCACAGGTAAGGATTTTTTTCCCCTTCATATTTTTGCCTATGAATTTGTAATAAATAGTAATGGCATCCACTTCCTAAGCTTTCTTTTAAAAGAAATGTAGTCAAAGCAAACACATCTTATTTTTCTAAACAACTTACAAATGAAGATATATTTTAGCAATGGAAAAAGTTTAACCTAAAAGTGGTTTTAACATAAGGTATATGAAATCTATAAATAGGTTAATTCCATGTTCTGGCAGACAGATTGATCAAATGAGATAACTTGTCATTATGATATGCCGGAATGTTTTTGCTAATAGCTGTCCTGTAATGATTTTTGTAATTTTAAAATGTCACTTGGTATACCATCTATTCCTGGGGCCTTATTTTTTGCTGTTTCCTTCAAAGCAGCCTGAATTCTTCCTTCATCACCATAGGCTCTTGCTCATATGTTGTTTCATTAAATTCTTCTGTGTCTGCCAATTCCTTAGGATACAGTGACTCAGTATATTCTTTCCATCTTCTTTTAATAATTCCTGGATCTTTTAACATTCTGCCCAAAATATCCTTAAGTATAGCAACTCGAAGTTTGAATTTGTTCTTCAGTTCCTTGAGCTTAAGTAATGCTGCATGAGTTCAGCCCTTTTTATTTTCTGACTCCAGCTCCTTGCATGTTTCATTGTAATATTTTACTTCGTCATCCCACACTAAATTTTGAAATCTTCTGTTCAGCTCTTTAGTATCTTGAATTCTTCCTTGTGCTTGGTTTCTCTACATTCCAGTGCAATCTTCAGAGTTTCTTCTGACATCCATTTTGGTCTTTTCTTCCTCTTCTGTCTTTGTAATGACCATTTGCACTCTTCTTGGACGATACCTTTGACATCCTCCCACAACTCATCTGGTCTCTGTTCATTAGTGTTCAAGGCCTCAAACCTGTTCCTGAGATGGTTCTGAAATTCAGGTGGGATAGACTCAAAGTCATATTTTGGTTCCCGTGGATTCAGTTTAATTTTCTTCAGCTTCAGCTTGAACTTGCATATGAGTAGTTGGTGGTCTGTCCCACAATCAGCTCCTGGCCTAGTTTTCACAGCTGATGTTGAGCTTCTCCAGCGGTTCTTTTCACAGATGTAATCAGTCAGATTCCTATGCGTACCATCAGGTGAAATCCATGCATATAACTTGCATTTATGTCTCTTAAAAAACTTATTTGTAATGAATAAGTCATTGATTGTGCAAAATTCAATCATTCTATCTCCAGCTTCATTTCTGTCAAAAAATAAGGCCCCAGGAATAGATGGTATACCAATTGACATATTTCAGCTAACAGATGCTGCCCTAGACTTGCTCACCAAGTTGTGCCAGGAAATCTGGAGAACAACCACTTGTCCAACTGACTGGAAGAGATCTATATTTGTTCCCATTCCCAAGAAGGGTGACCCAACAGAGTGTGGAAACTATAGAATAATATCATTGATTTCACATGCAAGCAAGATTCTACTGAAGATTATCCAGAGTATGAGTAGCACGCGATTCAATGGCACATAACAACAACATTTCATGTGACATTTACTATAATATTGTAGTGGACTAAAATTCTGTTAAAATCTCCACCAAGATCAATTATGATTAGTCACATTGTGGAGTGCTTTATTGCATGGTGACATGGTGTCTAAGTTACCCTAGTGCTGCTGTAACACAAATAATTCAATGCATGGTTTTGAGGAATAGTTTAGGAAGTTATAAATCCAAAATAAGGGCACCAGCTCTAGGGAAATTTACTGTCTTTGCTTTGGGGGAAGATTCTTATTTCTTTTTGGCTTCTATTCCCGGGCTCCTTAACTCATGGAATGGATTTCTGCTCTTTTATATTTTGAAAGAGATTGACGTTCATAATTTTTCATTATCATGGGCGTTGGGATTTATAATACATGTTTTTTGGGGGGCAGTCCAGAACAGTAGGAAGGAGTGTCATATGGAAATGAAGATCTCAGGAGGCTGGAATCACACAGTATCATTAATCATAAATATTCTGAGGTTCTTTGAGGAATGAGTGCTTCGTGACTATGTGACTTCCCACAAGGAAGATTAATGAGTGAACCTGAAAGTCACTGTGCCAGTCTGTCCTGTTGAAAGTCCTCCTTTCTTCACCAACCCTCCACTTTTCCCAGCATGCTCTTCTTCCCCAGAGACTGACTTCTGATAATATGCTTAAACTGTGTGAGACCCCCTTGCTTCTAAGCAGCATGTTAGCTGCACATCTTCAGATTTGTTTATCTTAGGATTCCCTCCCCCTTTCTTTTTTGTTTGTCTTAATTTCTTAATGCTGTTGGAATAGGAATTCTACAAATGAGTGATTTTTAATGAACAGTAATTTGTTTTCTCACAGAAAACCTAGTATAGGGCATTGACTGGGTAAAAGTGTTTTTTGCTTTTCAGCTTCGGCTCCTGGGCTCCTTTTTTGTACATCTCTCTCTCTCTCCCCCTCCCCCCTTCCTCCTTCCCTTCTTTTTCCCTCCCCCCTCTCATGTTCTCTCTCTCTCTCTCTCTCTCCTGTAGGCATCTCACAGGTGAGCTTTGGTTGACTTGGCAAAACTGGAATTTTCATCCTGCCTTTTATCAACTTGCTGAGCATAATGCCTTTTAAAATATTCTTATATTCAGTGGTAGTAATATGTCGCTCCATCAATTATTCCTTCTCTGAAATTGCTCTTTTTCTACTTACCTTTGCTCAAAGCATTATATGTGCCCAAGTCTCTCCCTTCCACCCCATTCCCTTTCTAGTTGTAGTTCTCTCTGTGATTTTATGAACAAACTTCTTGAAAGAAGGAGAGTTGTCTTTTATCTCCTGTGCCCAGTTTTTATTTCCTTTCTAGTTTTTTTTCTAAACTTGGCAGCCCTGTGGCCGTGAGAGACTGTTTTTGAGAGGGTTGGGCTAATACCTCCGGGTTACCCCTTGATCGTACCTGGTGGTGTCAGCTCATCAGAGTTTTCTGTGGGTGATATTTGTGTGTAGGTGAATTCAGGTATCTCTTATTAACATGCTCTGCAGTGCAATTTTTTTTTTCCTGGAAGGGAGTGAATTCAGGCTTTTCCACTCCTGGTTTTATTTATCAGAATCATATCTAGTCTTTTAAGTCCAGTTTTGAACAGTTTCTAGATTTATCTTGTGTTCTGTATTGTTGCTTAACATTTCTCCCCCTTAAGAATTCAAGTGTTTCTGAAATATGCTATAACACTGGCACAATTTGTATCTTATAATATGTATAATTTAAACTATGTTCGTCTTTTAACTTACAGGAAGAGAAATTCTCACAGCTAACAGGGTAGAAAATGTTGAAAGTTTGACTTTTGACTGGATTTCCAAGAATCTTTACTGGACAGAACCTTCCTACAGGTCTATTAGTGTTATGAGGCTAGCTGATAAATCAAGACGAGAAATAATCCGACATTTAAATAATCCAAGAGCTATTGTAGTTCATCCCATCATGGGGTGAGTGTGAGCATGTTTTCCTACAAGTTTGAATATTTTGTACAGCCTTTGAAAAGTGATGCCATAAGGTTTGACAAGTTGAACTCTATAACAGCTTGAACTGTATAAACTAATTTTGGAATAAAAAAGTAATGCATTTATGCTTATGACTTTCCTCCACTTTTTGATAATAGAATTTGTAATTATCCACTAAATCTGGAAAGCAATCTGCTAAGCAGGTCCTCTGTACCAGAGTTCTTGATTTATTACCTCATTTTTTCAGATATCTATTTTGGACTGATTGGTTCCGCCCTGCTAAAATTATGAGAGCATGGAGTGATGGATCTCATGCTGTACCGATAGTAAACACTACTCTTGGATGGCCCAATGGGTTGGCCATAGATTGGAGGTGAGTAGGAATTCTCTTCATTACTGGGTTGGTTAGCTGGAAAGAAGTCTAAAAGCATTCAAGAGTATTCTCAGGATATTGGTAGAGGAAGTCAGTGGGGAGGAGGTGAGTCCTGAACCTTCCTACTGGGAGCAGCTTAAGGATAGGATAGTTTCTAGGATACAGACAAGAAAGAAACACTGTAAGTGCCATTTTGTCTGTTTTCACCTCATAGCATAGACTGTGGTCTTTACAAGAGCACATAGATAGGTCTTTACCTGCACAATCACTGGGTGGATTTGAACCACCAGCCTTTTAGTTAGCAACAGAACACTTAACCTTTGCTTACCAAGATTCTTAAAGATAGATCACTATTAGTGTTTTTTCTTAACTTGACAATTTCACAAGGAAAAAGCTTTCTGAGACACTAAATTGAGAACCATTTTGTGGAAATATTTCATTCTGGGGAGGATCTTGGTGATCCATGGTGTTAATTTCTTAAAAGAAATGAAAATTCTTAAAAGTTGAAAACTTCTGAGGGAATAGGAAGGGTGAGGGCAAGTTTAATAACCATGTCAACTAAGCACACTGTCTTTTAATGCCTTGCGTGTAAAGGTTGCTCTGCTAGTTTCTGGATCACCACAGCTAACAAAGTATTTTGCTATTTCAGTGCTTTACGATTGTACTGGGTAGATGCCTTTTTTGACAAACTTGAGCACAGTAATTTCGATGGTTTGGATAGAAGATCCTTGGGCCATATACAACATATGGCACATCCATTTGCACTCACCGTCTCTGGAGGTATGTCTGAAACAGCACAACTGTGAGTTTTAACAGTGTGCTCATCTTCCCAAATTTCCAGGAAGGCTGATCCTGTTAGAACAGGAGGATGAAAAAGTTTGTCTACTGAATATTTCATGTTGCGTATGCTTTCTTTGGGATGCATGCAGATAATATGAACAATTTATAGGAATAATAGTTTCTTTGTTGAGGTTAGATGTTGTTTGACTGAATCAACTATTGTGACCCTGTCAACAGTAGATCTGAACCTTGGCCTCTCCTGTGCCATCCCCATCATCTCTGATACACTGGAACCCATTGTGACAGTCACTGCATCAATCCATCTTGTTGAGGGTCTTCCTCTCCCTTTGACTTTATACTTTTCCTAGCATGACGTCTTTTTATTAGTATGGCTTCTCCTGCCAACATGCCCATAGTATTCGAGATGAAACTTCGCCATTCTCACCTCCAAGAAGCACCCTGGTTGCACTTTCTCTAAGCCATACTCGTTGGACAATTTGTTGTCACATGAGAACATTATAAAATGTAAAATTTCCTCTGCTCAGTGCTGGAGTGCTTTGGGATTGAATAATTTCTGTACCCTTTGGCTTCATCAAATGGAAGCATCTGAGTACATAGCATCCTCAAATTATAATAATAATAATTGGTTTCACTGTCATTCATTGTGGATTTGTTATGGAATGTTCTATTATTGCTCGATGCTCTTGAAATTCTGAATCTTTTAAAATGAAATTAGTAAACTTTTCATCTATTTAAGCATACTAAGGTAATTTCTTAAAGAGAGGGAATGAAATTCAGTCTTTGCAATTGACTGAATAGTTACTGATTAGGCCTGATCAAATTTGTATCATTCTAGGCATTTTTTAAAAAAGCTAATTGGATCTTTATAGTTAAGAAAGCCATTGTTGATGAGAAAAAAAAATCCACCATGAGTAAAATCTTGCTTGTAAAATGTATGTCTCTACTTCCCTGCTCCAGTAGTTATATACTACTGAACAGTAGTAATGTTTGTAAAACTTTTGGAACAGGCAAGAAAAGGAACATGATTTTTGCTGTTTAAAATTTTGACCATTCTTCTTTGGTAAGGTATTGTTTGTATATTTTCACTGATGTTTTTGTTGATGTCAAAGGATACTTAATTTTGTACATTTGAGTGTAAAACTAGTATTGGGAGATAGCATCTGTAGTTGTTTTTGTGTGCCATCGAATTGGAACCAGTCCTCTGCTTACCCTCCAGTGGGTTTTCTGAGGTATTAAATAGCATGAGAGGAGCAGCTAGTGAATTTGAACCATGCACCTTTGGATTGACAGCACAGTTCATACTCTAGCTAATGATTTGTAGAAGAATATTTTTTTTAATCTATGCATGTCTAAACCAGCCATCACAATATTTCATACATACATGCATGCCTTAATCTGAACCTCATTTCCAAAGAGCCCTTCTAAGAAGTCACAGATATTTATTCTTGGTAGTTTTTGAAGATTTCTCACATATGCAAGCCTGTTTTATTTTTCCCAAAGAATTTATAAGTGAGCTATGACTAACTATTCTTTTTTAAATTTTTTTTCAAATTTATTTTATTTTATTATTTTTGTGTGCATGTACCGTCAAATCAGATCTGACTAGTACAGGAGGAGATTGCCCCTCCTTCCCCGGCAGAGCATCTGGTGGATTCGAACCGTGTGCCTCTGGGATTGTAGTTGCAGCTCCTTGCCACTAGGCCACCAGAGCTCCCCTGACTAACTATTCTAATCACCTCTTTTCTTCTTTAGAGTATGTATTTTTTACTGACTGGAGACTGGGTGCTATTGTTCGAGTTAGAAAAACTGATGGTGGGGCGCAGACCATTATCCGGAAAGGCATCAGTAACATAATGCACGTGAAATCTTATGATGCTGATATACAGAGTGGTAAGTGATATTACCAAGTTCTCTTGTATGATTTTTCCTTGATAGAGTGGTTACTTTTTCCTCTAAATACCTATATTATTTAATATAGCTACTGATAGTTTTAGGTTCCTATTACACACAGTAAATAAAAGTATGGACCCTAGAAGTATTGTATGCTTAGTTTCAGGGACATAATTTTTTTTCTTTTAGTAAGCAATATTTCGTATTTTAGTAGAGTTTTACATTTTCATATTGATATCCAGAAGGAAGCTACTTTTAGTAGTTGAGTGTGAAAAATGTTCTTATTTTCCTTTATCACCAAACCTGTTCCAATCAAGTAGCAAAATATGTTTATCTATTTATCTTTGTGTCTCTGTGCTTTTGGGTTTTTTAGGTTCTAATTTCTGCAATCAACCCACCATACCTAATGGCGACTGCAGCCACTTCTGCTTCCCGGTACCGAATTTCCAGCGAGTATGTGGTTGCCCCTATGGAATGACCCTGAGTTCTGACCATATCACCTGCATACCAAACCCATCTCAAGAACCACCAACAGAGCAGTGTGGCATGTTTTCCTTTTCCTGCAGCAATGGACGATGTGTGTCCATTCAGGATGAGTGTGATGGATTTGATGACTGCCATGATAACAGTGATGAAATTCACTGTGCTACAACCAGTAAGTGATTCTACAGTGAGGCTGCCTCTTGAGAAGAACAGTGAGCGAGAGGATAGAGAGTATGCTTAAAGAAAACTACTTCACATACACACATACACATATGTGTGTGTGTGTGTGTGTGTGAAACAAATTTCTGACATGTATTCCAAAAGCTTTTAGGAAATTAGGCAATAAATAATATTCATAGGTAATGCTGAAAGTACTTGCTAGCATTGATCTGGGCCTAATTGTCTATGAAAATGCAGAAGGCAGAGTAGCCCAAATAATAATTTAAAAAAAGAGGCAAAATAAAAAGGAAAGAATTCTTACCAAGGTGAGATTATTGTTGTTGTTGTGTACTGTCGAGTTGGAACTGATTCATAGTTGATCATTCAGTGAGCTTTCAGAGGTAGTTCAATCGCATGGAAAGAGATTGTCCGTCTTTCTCTGCTAGAACAGTTGATGGATTTGAACCAAATACCTTTGGGATGATAGTGAAGCTCCTTACCATTGGTAATCAGAGCTCCCTGAAATGAGATTAGTAGTCATGTTGTTGTTGTTAGGTGCTGTCGAGTCATAGATGACTCATAGCGACCCTATGAACGAAAGGCCTGAGCACTGTTCGTACATAGAGTTTCTGGAGGCAAGCCATTTCGGAAGTGCATGATGCCGCTCCTGCTTCCAGGCTTGTTAGTTGGGAAGCTCCAGAAAACACTGTCCACCATGGGTGCCCATTACCACATTTGGCACATCACTGTCACAGTCTTCAGCATCACAGCAACCACTAGTTACCTCTGTACAGCAACGCACAGACCAGTGCTATATATTAGTGGTCATAACATATCTTTTTTGAAAGAAAAAAGCTTGAAAGGTTTGAAAAAAAGGTCTGACTTTTTCTAAAAATTCTAATTTTTTTCATTCTTAGTGAAAGCACATTTTTCCCCCCTAAATATTTTATTTATTTGCACTGTTTTTTAGGGAGCTCTAGGGAACTCTGATAACCTAGTAGTAAGAAACTGTGCTGCAATCCCAAAGGTACTCAGTTCATATCTGCTAGGTACTCCACAAGAGAAGGATGGGCAGTCTCCTCATGTATGATTTTCTGCCTCTGAAAACCCACTGGAGGATCAGCTATGGGTTGATTCTGACTCAATGGCACATGATAACAACAGGTGGTATGGTGCGTAGGGAGCTGCTCTGTTAACCCAAACGTGGTACCTCTCTGCGGTGGCTATTCCCTCTGGTGCAACTCAGAAAGCCTCCTGGAGGGTTAGCTAGGAGTCTGCTGAGATGGCAATAAAACATGCACTCTTCTCAATGCACGGTTTTGAGGTTTTTATGGGCAAAATAGGAATTATGGCAGGAGGAAGTACAGCTTAGAAATACACCTTAGCATCATATCAACTAGAACGTATATCTTGGGCAGGTTTCTCATCTGAAAAATGCAATATTCTAAAATAATGACAAAATGATGATTTTTGTCATCACTTGATTCACATTGCTTCTTTTGTATGATATTTTCATTGATGTGAGAATTGGACCCACCCAGATTTGCTTTGGAAGACAAGCCCAAAGACCTACTTCAGAAAGGTCATAGCCATGAAAACTCTACAGAGCAGTTCTAATCTGCACACTTGAAGGCACCATGAGTTGCAGCTGATTCAACAGCAGCTAACAACAGTTACCAAAGTCAAAGAAAGTCATAAAGCTGACAAGAAAGACTTGTTAAGAACCCATTTGGTTTTGTTGCAGATAATACCTGTGCATCTACTGCATTCCGTTGTCCCGATGGGCAGTGCATCCCTTCCACCTGGCGCTGTGACCAACAAAATGACTGTACCGATGGTAGTGATGAGCAGAACTGCCCGACTCGAAGGCCTGTCTCCTGTTCTGCAAACCAGTTCGCCTGTGGTAATAACAGGTGTATTCCAAAGAACTGGGTCTGTGACACAGATAATGACTGTTGGGATGGATCTGATGAAAAGGATTGCAGTAAGTTTTGAACTTATTTCTCTTGCTTGGTCAGCCTAGTGAAAAGATGATTTAGACTTCAAATAGGACTCACACATTATGCTCGGCTCCTTAGTCTTTTTGTCCCATCTGTCAGTTTTATAGCCTATGCCAGTAGGCTACAAAAACAACGGCATGTGCCTCCATATGGGATAGTTATAATCTATCCATAAGTACATAGAGTATCCGTAAGTATAGAGTATGGAAACAATACAGTGACTAACTCTGACAAGCATTCAAGTGAAAGTAGAAAACAAGAGCATCTCAACTGCAGATACATACACGTATCCAGAGATCTGGCTGCTTGCTTCTTGTTTGATTCAGGCAAAAAGGGCAATTGAGATACCTGTTTATGTACTTCCATTTTTAACTTGTCAGTTTTGATTTCCTTTTAGTTGTCACTGTCCTCATGTCTGTCAAGCTCCTGGACTGAATTCTAGGCTGCTGGTGGTGGTTGTTGTTAAGTGCCATCGAGTTGTAGATGACTCATAGTGACTCTATGAAGGAAAGACCTGAACACTTTTATAACTTTCGTTTCAATAAATAAATAAATAAATTTTCAAAAACAACTTTCATTGTTTCTCCAAGTTCATCGAGTTTCCGAAGCAAGCTATTTCGAAAGTGGGTGCCAGTCCTGCTCCCAAGCTTGTTTTTAATCGGGAAGTTCCACCAAACACTGTCCACCATGGGTAACAATTATCACATTTGACACATCAGTATCACAGTGTTTAGTATCACAGCAACCATGAGTTACCTCTGTATAGCAAATGGACAGACCAGTGCTATACCACTTAGAAGAATGTCTGACCAAAAACAATTAAAACCAGACCTGAGGTCTGCAGATTACAATCACCCACCTTTGGCTTAGTAGCATCACTTTCTATCCACTAGACCAACAGAGCTCTCTCTATGTGAATGGTAGGGTAAATGAGTTTTATTCTGAGTCTATATTTAATGTAACTTCATGATGTGGTTGAATGACTAGCACAAATGATTTCAAGGCCACTGTAGGATTGTTTTACTTGGACTTTGAACTAAATTTGGTTTATTTTTCTCAAGGCGTAATTTGAGGTTGCTCTATGGTTTTTCTGTTCTTTCTAAAAACTGTCATAGCTTTGAGTTCTTTGGCTGATTGGAAGAAATTTTGCGTACTTGTACAACTGAGAGAAATCTTAAAGTGATTTAACATTTTTCAGTTTGGCCCTGGCAAGTGGTGAACAAGAAATAAACTGTTATGTGGTTTTGTTTTTGGATGTCATTAGACTCTACAACGACGTGCGATGTTGCTCAGTTCTCATGCCCTGATCATCGCTGTATTGACATAACTTATGTCTGTGATGGGGACAGGGATTGCGCTGATGGATCTGATGAAGTTAGTTGTGGTGAGTGGACTGATTGGCTTTTGTTCCTTTAGGATTACAAAATTGTCAGTGTATAACATGGCATAAAGTTCCCTACTCCTACCACAATCTGATTTCTAATGCTTTTCTTTTTTACCCTTAGTATATAATTGCACTGCTTCTCAATTCAAGTGTTCCAGTGGGGATCAGTGTATTAACATCATAAATGTATGTGATGGAGTGTTTGACTGCCGTGACCACTCTGACGAGGCGGGCTGTCGTAAGTACCAAGTGCTCAGATGCTTCAGTGGAAGGACTTTTTTCATTTTACCAGCATTGATCTCAAAATAATGTAGTTCTTAACATTCAGTGAAGCCTAATAGGTGTTATCAAGAAATAAAAAGGACCACTTTTAATGGTCTGCTAGCTAGATAGTTCTGAGGTGTTACTTTTCAATCTTGCTTTTTCTAGCTGATCTCAAATTATTCCTACATAAAAGAAGCTCAAATAATGATACAGTAATTTCACAGCACTGTATTTGGCATGGATCCTAATAAGTTGCGTTCTGATCGATACTATGTAGGGTGGCATGATTGTGTTTCACAAGGAAAATGAAGAATTCTTCTGTGTTGTTCTGAGGTTAAACTGCCCCTTGGCACTGACTTAAGAGTCCAGTTAGGAGGGAGTTAAGGTTTATCCTATGAAATAAGGATATCTGTCTTAAGGATCACACATCTGTCATTTTCCATAATGTGTTCTAGTTTCATTAGGTTATAATTTATTTGATGGAAACCTTGCACCATCCTGTATCTGTGTAAATTGTTCAAATGCTCTGTTGCTGTTACGTGCCATTGAGTTGGAATAATTTATAGCAGAGACTGTAAATTGCATGGGAAAAGATTGCTCATCTCTCACCCAAAGAGGAGCTGGTGGACCTACACCTCTTGCCTTTGGGTAGAAAGTGCAACTTCTTGCCTCCTGGCCATCACAGCCTATTCAAATGCTCTAGTCAGGATAAATGTGACTATTTTTTGAGGGATATGGAAAATGTTTTATTTTTTCCCCATTGCTGCACATTTTCTTCCCCTCAGCCCTCCCTGCAATGCATCCCTTTTACAAGATTGTTGTCATGCATATAATGCCTAATCATATTCTTTTCTAACAGTTCTTCCCCTCATCTGATCTAATGCAGTGTTCAGTGTTATCTATCTGCTTCCCCCCCCACCCCCCATTCTCTCCCCAATTCCCATGTCTGGCCTATTTTATAACAGTAGTGTTCTGCAATATCTGTCCTTTTGTAACTGAGATATTTTACTCAGCATAGTATCATCCAGGCTCCCCCCTGCTGTGTAATGTTCTACAAGTTCATTGTTTACAATGTGGCAAAATAATTCATTGTGTATATTTGCTGTAGTTTTTCTATCCATTCATTTGTTGATGGGCATTTGAGTTACTTCCATATCTTTGCTATTGCAAATAATGCAGCATTAAACATGGATGTGCATGCATCTTTTTGAGTGGTGGCTCAGGTTTATTTATATTCCCAGTAGTGGAATGCTGAGTTAAATGGTAGTTCTATTTCCAGCCTTTTGAGAAAGCACCAGACTACCTTCCATAATGGCCTTACCATTTTACATCCTCACTAGTAGTGAATAAGAGTTCCAGTCTCCCCACAAACTTGTCAGCATTTGTTGTTTGCTGACCTGCTGAACTTTACTATTGTTTCTGGGGATAAATTTGATTCTTGACCCTGTGCTCAAATGAGCTTTAGACACACAGGAAAAAGAGTCAGGTACTTAATAACTTCTTAAGTAGCACGTCACGTTAAAATTTATTATCAGATCCACTGATATGACATAGGAATATTTCCATGTTCCATGACATGTGAGAAGAACCTATGTTATTTTCATTTTATTAATTTTGTTTTATTTTGTGTTATTGACTTACAATGATCCACAGTCATTTTCTGTAAATCCAGACTATAAAAGAATTGAGTGAATTCCACTCACAAACCCATTTTTCACATGCTTTTTTCACAGCAACCAGGCCTCCCGGAATGTGCCACCCGCATGAATTTCAGTGCCAAGGAGATGGTGTGTGCATCCCGGACATCTGGGAGTGTGATGGGCATCCAGACTGTATCCAGGGATCCGATGAGCACCATGGCTGTTCCCCCAAGACCTGCCCTTCAACTCATTTCCATTGTGACAATGGAATGTGTATCTTCAGAGATTGGCTCTGTGATGGGGACAATGACTGCACGGATTGGAGCGATGAGAAGGAGTGTGCCACTCAGGCCTTCCATTGCCCCAGTGGGCAGTGGCAGTGCCCTGGCCACCCCATTTGTCTGAATCTGAGTGCAGTGTGCGATTCTGTCCCTGACTGCCCCAATGGGGCAGATGAGTCCCCGGTTTGCAGTAAGTTTCTTGACTATAATTTATTGGCTGCCAATTCATTCTTGCCCTAGCCTAGTTGACATCACCATTGTCACTCACGTTCTAGCATTTTTAGAAAGAAATTCCAGTTCATTGCGAGTTTAAATTTGTGTAGGGTTAATGATAATTAAATTCAAAGAAATCATCTATGGATAATAGTTCTCATTAAATCTTTGCACTTTGTTATGTGTTTTATTTCTTTTTTAAATGCCATTTCTTAGAAAACTAAGACTAAATGATTCCATTGAACTATTCAATTAAATTTGATTTTTGTTTGTAATGTGCTTGTGTGTTTTTCTGACTTTCTAATAATCAGAACTTTCCACAAAACAAATGAAGTCTGGGGTTTTGTGTTTTCTGTGATTGCAAATGCTCTGATTGGCATGTAATCCTAACTACTGTCCTTTCTTTCTTTCCTCTTTAATCAATGCCTATTCTCAGATGAACCCCAGCCAGGTATGGTGGTGAAGTATTTATAGATTCTTAGGATTTCATATGTTTTGTGTTGTTCAGAATGCCCACCTTATTTTTACTTACTCCTCCTCTTCTAGTGCATGTTCTGTATCATGACTATATTCAGTGAGAACACACTTAATGGAAATAGAGGGCACTTGTATCCCATGGATTATGAACTTTCATTGTCTGTGACTGGAAGGACTAATGGCGTATTAATGGATCTGTGCCTACTAATTCTCCAGTTAACCTTTCTATTTCCAAAGGCCTTCCAATCTGTCTCCTGTTTCTGCATTGTTAGAAGAATAGAAAAAGAAATACATGGGACACAATTTAGGGCTCTTTGCATGCTGGATTAATGATCATTGTATTTCTTAATGTCCACAATCTTTCTCTAAGTTTCTCTCATTGTGCTAAGAGTTATAAAAAAAATTGTAATGAAGAAGGTGATCCAATGATGTGAAGGTTAGTAAATTCTCAGGCAAGTTCTGAGGAAATGTTCTCTCCACTGTGAGCTCTTATATAGGCATTGTTATGTTGAAGGTGGCATGAGACTACATGACAAATGTCATCTCAGTATGACCCAAGAAAAAATGATTTCTGATTTTTCTCCTTTGTGATGTTCTGTCCTTATTTAGATATGGACAACTGCGCAGAGAATAATGGTGGCTGTACTCATGACTGTATTCAAGGACCCTATGGGGCTGAATGCTTATGTCCATTGGGTTTCTTACTGGCTAATGATTCGAAGACCTGTGAAGATGTGAATGAATGCGATCTTCGAGGCTTTTGTAGCCAGCACTGCCACAATATGAGAGGTTCTTTCCGGTGTTGGTGTGTTGAAGGCTATGTATTAGAAGGTGATGGAAGGACGTGCAGAGCTCAAGGTAACCCAACTTAAAATCCTCATATTTTTAAACTATGATTTGGCTTAGGTCATAGGAGAAGCATCCTGTTATTTCAAGATTGATACCTTCTAGCTCCTCTTTCCAGTTATACAATTGATATTATGATTTATTATTATAGTTAAGGGGTAGCAGCCAGAGAATAGAGCAGGCTTAGGATTCTTTCTAAGGATCTAACACTGTTGCTCTAGTATTTGCTCTGCCTCAGAAGTCAGGAAGGGGAAATAAAAAAAGAGGAAGGCAAGGAGGTATAATTTGAAAAGTTTTCTTACATGTTTTTGGTCAGAATTTAGTCATGTGATGATTCCAAGCTATAAGAAGCAGAGATATATCTTTATCTGGATGACCATGTGCCCAACTGAGATGGCGGGGGGCACATCCTATTTAGTAAGATGATGAAACAGAGAAAGAATATTGGAAGACAAGTCTGTCACAGTTGAGTTCCTACGGGAAAACAAAAATGTTTAAGACATAATTCCTAGTATTATGGTGTTTTGTACTGAGTTGTGTTATGAATCGAATCAGCATCAACTCATAATTGACTCTCCAGCAGGTTTTCAGAGGCTGTAAATCACTCAGGATAAGATTGCTAATCTTCCTCCCATGGAGCAGCCGGTGATTTGAGCCATGCACCTTTGGGTTGGTGGGGCTAATCCACCAGAGCTTCCTCTGAATCAAGTTAGAGATAAACACAAAGTACAAAAGTAATAAAATTCAGGATGAAGTATTGCATAAATAGTCTTGGATTTGGAAGGGCAAATTTAAAATTCTCATGAAAATCAGCTGATTAAAACCATTCTTATGGAAGCTGGATTATTTATATGAGTATATTAATGTGTCTTTTTGTAATCAAAAGTGTTATTTAAATTACTTAAGAGATGCTTTAATAGTGTTTTAATTCAAAATTATTGCCATTTTTGCATCTTTTTTTCTTGGATAGCCCCTGATAGCCTGCTGCTGCTGGTGGCAAATCAGAACCAAATTATTGCAGACAATATCACTTTTGGGGTCCAGAATATCTATCCATTCATCCAAAATGGTTCTGAGATTTCTGCTATTGATTTTGATTCGGTCAGTGGTCGCATCTTTTGGTCTGATATAAAGCAGGATATGATCTGGAGTGCATTTCAAAATGGAACAGATATTAAAGTAGTAAGTACATCTCTCCTGACTGGTTACTCTGAGTTGAGTGCATTTTTTTTTATAACTCACCATACACTCTTCTGTAATTTCATCTGTCTTGGTCGAGTGTGTGGTTTCTGAAGGCAGGCTTGTGGTTCTGAATTCCAGGGTGGGTGTTGCAGGATCTGTAAAATGTCACTAAGGCCCCTCCCTCCCTGTGAGGACAGGAGAGAGGAGGGAAGCTCTTCAGGGAAGCTATTTCCCCCACCCCCATCAGTGATTTTTCTGATGCTTGCTCATGGCATGCTGACAGTATAGATTTGCAAACTTAGTGAACGGATTTAACTTTCACTTAATTTAAAAGTCTTTTGAAGTCACAATTTTTGTGGGAAGCTGGTGACATAGGCTATAGGGAATTGTGCTGCTAACACCAAGACCACGAGGAGCTTCTGACACGAAAAATCTCTCCTCCCAAGAGAGTTACAGGCTTGGAAACCTCCTGGAGTCTGCTCCAGTCTCACAGCAATGAGTTTGAGTTTTTTGGCAAATATTACTGTTTACAAGGTTTTCTAATCCTTACTCTTAGTAATAGGCAAATTAGATGCCTTATTCTGGATTTTTGTATACTTTCTCTGTACTCATTCAGTCTCTTTATATACTGTTATCTTTAGGTACATGTTCATGGCGTTGGCAAGACTCAAAGTATTGCAGTAGATTGGGTTGGTCGAAATCTATACTGGACAGACTCTAACCTTGGAGCAATTGAAGTTTCTAACCTGGATGGGAGCTTCAGGACAGTGCTGCTTAGTGTGAACATAACAAGTCCGAGAGGCCTAGCTTTAGATCCAAGAGAGAAGTAAGATTTCTTCTCTTCCTAGGATTTTAGACTGTCATTGGGATTGGTTTCATGTTCTGTTTTGTTTTTTTTTTTTTAACTAGAGTCTCATTAGGGGGAAAAAAACCTCATGAGCCCTTTCCCCCTAAAAGAAACAAGGAGAATTTCTCTCTGTGTTTAGAATTATTCCAGGACATCATTCTTTGTATTACGTTCTTTGTAAATTTGATCTTCTTTGTCTTTGGGTTTGACTTGAGAATAGCACCAGTGAATTACACATGACAGCATTGCATGTGGTACATATTACTAATCAAAAGATGTGCCAGAAATAAGCTAAACAAAGTAAGTGTGGTTCATTATAACGCAACTGTCTCGTAAGTCAGGGACTGTCTGCATTTGTTGTGATGCTGTCTATCTGAATATTGTGAAGTGTTGCCCACCAGTGTGGTTTATGAGGAATCCCTGTTAATGAGTAAAATTGACTCCTTAAAATGTGACAGGTACATGCACTTTGTGGACAGTCCACAAACACCAAGTGGCGTGGAGAAATTCCTGTGCTGTATAACTTATTTTATGAACATTATAAACAGGTTCAGATGGCTAATGATTGCATTATTTTTTTAAAAAAAAAATTTCTACTAGTTTTCATATAAATTGTGTTTCATTCACATATTTGGTGTAATTAATTACTATTAATTTATGCCAATATCAGTGATCGTATTATTATTATAGTTTTAGCCTTGTGATGCTTAGAAGAAATATAAACACTGTGTGCATATTTTGGTTTATATAAGCACAGCATATACATGATGTTCTATTAACTTAAATGAGAATTATTTTTCATATTGAAATATCTCTTCCACAGTGACCGCCTAATGTTCTGGTCTGAAATGGGCCGCCATCCTCACATAGAACGAGCCAGCATGGACGGCACTATGCGCACCATCATTGTCCAGGAAAAGGTCTACTGGCCTAGTGGATTAACCCTTGACTATCCCAACAGACTGCTCTATTTCATGGATGACTATCTTCAGTACATAGACTTTTGTGACTATGATGGAAATCACCGGCATCAGGTGATAGCTAGTGCATTGGTAAGTTGACAGTGAGAAAAATGAAAATTACAATAGTAGATAAAAAGCAAATGATGTACCAAGAAAATAAAGAAATTAGTTTGAAATGTATACATTAGAAAGAATTTCAATAATCTACCAGGTTGATCTAGTCAGGGGCAAAAGGGAGGCAACAATCATGCCTTGTCTAGAAACGAATAATTGTCATTGGGATTCAGTTGATCTATAGATAGGTTTTAATTGCTACTGTCATTGTTGTTGATTGCTTTTGAGTTGAACACGACTTATAGTGATCCAATGAACAAAAGGCCTGAAGCCTTTCTATAACTATCGACACTTATTAAAATTCATAGAGTTTCCAGAGGCATGTTATTTAGGAAGTAGATGTCACTCCTGTTGTAACCAATAGTTATTAATGGGATTACCTTTATATTTCAATTAAATCGTAGTCTGCTATGTATTTCATAGTTTGAATTTTGTTGAATATATTTGCACAAATTAAAGAGGCTAATACGATAAATATTTTACCTGCTATGGACTTCTATTTAAATTGTCATTGTTAAAGTTCATGTTGACTTGGAGAGACCTTTGGAGGATATTCTTAACCGTCAGCGAATTTGCATCTAATACATATCAGATTGATATGAATTTGTGAGGGCTGGAAAAAAAATGATAGAAATAGCACTGGACAAGGAGTGGTTCTAATGTGTGTAGAGAATGAGGATAGGTGATCCAGGTAACCTTACTTTCTGTAAAATGGATGTCTAGTATAATCACTAGAGTAAAACTGAAGATTAAATGAGACATCCATGCATAAACATTTAGAGGGCTAGTGGGCTGAAAGACAAATGGTATATATTATATTTGGCTCTACACCTTAATTAAATGACTAGATTCTAAAGAAAAACAACTTCTTGAGGGGGAATACTTTTATATTTTTCATTCTCAGTAGTGCCTGTTCTGTTCTGCTTCACAGATTCTGCAACGTCCCCAACACTTGACTCTCTTTGAAGATCACATGTACTGGACTGACTCCAACTCTCAAAAGGTCACAAAAGCCAACAAGTGGCATGGGGGAAACCATTCGGTTGTGCTTGATAATATCCACCACCCCTTTGGAATTGCTGTAGCTCATCCTGTAAAACAACCACGTAGTAAGTGAAACAGGAAGATTGTTAATTGTTTAGTTAACACATATTCTGAGGATGCTAATTGCACACATTCAAAGACCTTTTTTTGGGGGGGCAATAGATTTTCCTTTTATCTTTGCTCAGCAATCCACTATATACTTCACATATTGCTAATATTCTGACTCAATACTTCCCTTTACTGTGGAAAATTCAAGCTTTCTCTGTGACAAAAGCAAATGGAAAGGCAGTCATATATTCATTAATTTCCTCTTTGATTTTGCTTTGTGACTGTTTCTCCAGCTGACGAGTATATCTCTGAGATTCTCTTATCTCTCCTAGCTTATATATTGTGGTAGAATTACCCTGAAGGTGATATTTTCTGCCATTCTAAATCATCCTAGGGTAAGTGGTGGCTCAGTGTACTTCTCGCTGCCTAGAATTTGTCCTTCATAGCACTTATCATTTTGCTTAAATGTTTGCTTTGTTAGAGAGACCTTCCTTGACAACCTAAAAGCTTTCACCCTTCATAATTTATTTGCATGGCCTCTTTCTCTCTCTCTCTATCACACACACACACACACACACTCACAGAAAGAGAGAGAGCTTTTTCTACAGTGTCCACAGTACTTAAAATGGTATCTGGTGTACTGTGAATGCCAAACATGAATGAATGACTTTAACAAACAAACAAAAAACCAACCCTCAAACCCATCACCACCGAGTCATTTCTGACTCGTTAATAACTCTACATTGGGTCTCTGAGGCTGTTTTTGAGCAAAGAATGCTCAGGTGGATTCAAAGTGCTGAACTTCTTGTAGTAGCACAACACACTGCACTGCTACCCTAGAACACCGTCTGCCTGTTTCTGTCCTGTGGAGCTGCTGCTGGATTACAGACACTAGAGAGGGACCACGTTTTGATTAGTAGTATGACTCTCAACGGACTACACCACCAGAACTCCCCCGTCAGAACACCTTCGGAATTTAATAAGGCGTGCATAGTGAGAGTGTAGGAGGTAGCACCCATTCTAGGATCTTGGGATACACTTGTTGTTATGTGCTGTTAAGTCACGTGTGACACATAGTGACCCTATGCACAACAGCTCTGAAGCCTGCCCTGTCCTGAGACAGTCTGACTGACTCCAACACACCTACCCCCATTACCCCAGTCACTGTGTCAGTCCATCTCATCCGGAGTCTTCCTCTCCTCCACTGTCTCGCCACCCTCCGAAGCATGATATCCTTCTCTAAGGACTGGTCTTTCCTGGCCAAGTGCCCAAAGAATGTGAGATGGAATTTCCAAATCCTTGCCTCCAAGGAAAAACTGGGTTTCATCCTCTCAAAAACAGAACTATTTGTTCTCCTGGTGGTCCATGGTATGTTTAAGACTCTTCTCTAACACCACAACTGCATTTAGGATACCTTTTTTCCTCAAGTTGTAGACACAAGGATGCCAATCAAGGTTGCTAGCAAACATACAACTTGGCTTGATTGCAAAGGGAAATTGATCTTTTAGGTCAAGCAAGGAGACACATTTCTATTATTAAACTCCAGATTACTCAGTGACTGTTTAATATGATTATGAACTGGATTGATCTGTGACCTTATGAAAGTATCCTTTCTCTCTTATGAGTTTTATGTTGAAAGCGTGACCTTAGGGAAGGGGAATGTAGGTTAGGGAAGAAAACCACAGTAACTGTAGTACTTTGTTCTCTTTACAGGTGCAAATCCATGTGCCTCTGCCTCCTGCAGCCATCTATGTGTGCTATCCTCCCAGGGCCCAAATTATTACACCTGTGTGTGCCCTTCAGGAAGCTTTCGGCATCATGATCCTTCAAATTGCCAGCCAGGTACAGTGTACAGTATGCTGTACTGAACACATAGCTTACCGTAGTGCAAAGGAGTGAATCTCAGAATCTACCTCTTGTGTTCTCTAGTGCGTGCACATGTTGCATGGAGTGTTTCCATTGCAACACTTTGTTTATGAGGAATTCCTTGATAGGAGCTAATGTGTGTGCATTTTTTCACACTGTTATCTCATTTTTATTCTTCTAACTAATGCTGATTGTATATAAACTAGCCTAGGACATGTACTAAGAGTATTTGATACTTTGCACGAAATAATTTCTTTTGAATGGTTTACTCTTCATCTCATTCTTGAGACACTTTATGAGGCCGTTTGAAGACTATGTGGAGAGTTATATAGTAAAACAAAGAGAGGAACTTGTAAATGAATAGAATATATTTCTTCTGGAGAATGTTGTTAGGTGCTGTAGAGTCAATAGCAACCGGTGATCTTGTACATCAGAGCAAAACACTGCTGGGGCATGTGTCGCCTTCACTATTGTTGCAAACAGTGCCAGTCCCCGTAGATGAAGGGCTTCCTTTCCTTTCTTTTGAGGCTGTACTTGCCACTTATGAATTCATTTGGAGAGACTGATCTGTCCTGATAATATGTCCAAAGTATGTGAGATATCCTTGTTTTCCTAAGAAGCGTAGGGAGAGACTTCTAAGGGAGATTTACTTGTTCTTCTGGAAATCTTTTGGTATAATTGCCACGAAAGGTAGCAGTTCCAAGCCATCAATTCTTCTTTGTATTCCTTATTCATGGTCATCTTCCACCTACATATTGTTGTGGTGGTGTTGTTGTTATGCACCATTGAGTTGCTTGCAACTCAAATATGCTGGCTTGGGGTAGATGCCTCCTAGTCTTTAAAGTTACATTTTTTTCCTTTTAACAATGTAAAGTGGCCTTTTACAGATGATTTGGCTGCTGTTTCCATGGGATTTGATTGTATAGACACATTTTCTCCACTTTGCATGATGATGCCCTTGCTCTTTAATTTCTCAGAGGAGAAATGTGCTTTGATACTAACTAAAATGACACTCGTACTCACATACTCTATTTCTAGAGAGAAAAATATATACTGAAGTCAGGAAATGAATGGTGTTTACAGATTATGCAGATGAGGAAACCCACATTCGATGGTGCTGAAGCCCTTCTGATTTACAGTAATCCTCCACTGGATTTCTGAGGCTGTGAAGGAAAGTGAGAGGAGATGGCTGGTGGACTTGAACCACTCAGTCTTTTTATTAACAGTGCAAGTCACAGTAAGCTCCCCATGCAGCCGTAGATTTACTGAAATTCCCATCCTGTTAGCACGTGATATTATGCAATGGTATTTGCATCATGAAAGATTTTAATTATCATTAATAATGCTTACAAAGGCATTGGCCCTTGCCATTTTCCTTCAGATGCTTATTAATACACCTAATCCTTGTTGACACTGTTTAATTTAGTGTCTTCAGAGTCTTTCAGCAGAAGATTAAACCAGTATATTGACATTTTGAGTACAAAGCATTCTTTCACTCCAGATTTATTATTGAATCATGCATTGGGGACTGGTGAAACCGGTATTGCTAATCTGATGGTGATAAATAAGCATTCATTCTGCATAGTGCTTTCCATTGTCTCACCAATAACTTCATTAATGTTTTTCTCATGGGCTAATTCTAAGGATATAGGACTTAAAGATAAGGATAAGGATATTAGTCCTATATCTTTAGGATATAGGACTAAGGGATTAAAATTGGGTAGCAAAATGCTAATATATGTTGACTAAGGAAAAGTTCTCACCCAGGGGCTGTGGGAGAAAGATGTGCCTGAAGAGTGCCTCCTGCTCACATGATGCTGGAATGTGTCAGAATTGACTGGACTCCTGTAGTTCCCATTTGCTTCAACGAAAAATAGACATGTCATGAAAGACTAAATGATAAAGTATAGTTAATAGTTGTAATTGAGTTAATGAATACAGAAATCCTGCTTAGTAATAGAAAAATCAGGAACAGGAAAAAACCAATGAGATAAAAGAATACAGAAAAAATTGTCAAAATAATTTCACCAAAGATGTACATGCTTCCAGACTTAAAAAGTAGTGAAAGCATCATTATTTCAGCTTGTTGTGTCAGGTTCTGTCCTACGTTCTATAGATAGTATGCTGAGCAAATGAGACATTACTGTACAGTGGTTAAACTCTAATGGGAAGACAGATTCTAGTTATTAAATTGTTAAGTGCTGTTTTGAATCCGCCAGATGCTCTGCTGGAGAAGGATGGGCAGTCTCCTCCTGTTCCAGTCAGATCTGACTCGATGGCACACAACAACAACAAAATTTATTAAGTGTGGTTGCTAAGGGAAGGTTGGTAGTTTAAAAAACACCTTGGGGCTCTGTAAGGGATTAAATTAAAGGAAGAGTCTTTAATTTTATTTTATTATTTATAAGGAAATAAATTAATTCATCATTTTATTATCTATAATTTCATTTCATTTTATAATTTTTAAAAATCCCCTAAACAACCCCAAGTCCTCTTTCCCTGAGTTCTTCAGTATTACTGAAGTTTGTGAAATATGGAGGTTGTCAAATACAAGTGGTTTACCTTGTAATTAAGGAATTAATGATGTACTGATATAACTTGGAAAAGTCTAGAAAGCATTGTATGTAGTTAGAGGGTTGGTCACTCAGGAAGGGATTCTCTGAAATATATGGAAACCCTGTGATTGGCTGACATAACTGGCGTGTATTTTATTTATTTCTGCAGTGGGGATTTTATTCTGTTTGATGGTAATGACCCACTGCTTTCCATTTTTAGAAATGACTGAAAATAGTAGAATATAATCAATCTGATCAATGTTCTTTTGTTTTCACAGATGAAAAACCTTTTTTAATAGCTGTACAACGGGAAATGATTTTTGGAATCTCCCTTAATCCTCAGGAGATGGGCAATGATGCCATGGTTCCCATCTCAGGGCTGCAGAATGCTTATGATGTTGACTTTGATGATGTAGAGGAATTCATCTACTGGGTGGAGTATTCAGTAAGTTTTAAAATATATTTAAATTTGTTCTTAAACAGAGTGCTAAAACTGTTGTCTGATTACAGGAAATCTTTAGTTAGGTGTACAAAAGGAAAATATTCCAGAAGTAAGTTATTTTACCACTTAATATTTTTTATTCACTGTGAGATTGGCCAGGGACAAAGATTAAAGACTTTTTAGAATAATAAACAAAAACCTATTGGGTGTTTATTTATTTATTCAGAAGGTATTTGTTGAGTGCCTACTATTTGCCTTGTATTGTACTTTCTGCTTTAGCTACAAAATATGTGCTAAAAAAATATAATCAACCACTTAGAAAGTAAACTCTAGAAAGTTTACTTTCCAGAAAACTGGTACACCCAATTCTCACATGTTAAATAGCTCATTATCTGACATTTCACATTCACGACTATTTTGTGCATTAATGAGTACATTATGAGATATAAAGGTGGAGTAAAATTGGCTTTGATAGTTGACTTGGCTAGTCTTGTGGTAATGAGGTAGTCATCCTGCATTTGTGCATAATGACCTAGTTGTATTAAGACAAGGATATGAATGTCAAAAGTTGTAATTTCCTAAAGAATTCTAACTAAGCGTTGTATATAGCTACTTAGACTTGATACAGAATCTTTTAGTCCCATAAGAGTACTCATCCTTTCTTTGCTTGTTCACCCCCTTTCTTTAACCTGGGAGGACGGGACAAGAAGAAGTTAAAAATAGGTGTATATTTGACATTTTCCATCTCTAGCTAAGATATACCCCTGGCTTACTTCCTCACACCTGTGATGTGAGGCAGTATCTGTAGCCAACCACGGAGGAACCCTGAGCAGTAAGTCAGTCTTGTGTGTTCCTGTGAACACATGAGAAATAGCAGTGCTAGAGGAAATATATATACAGTGAGTCTGTCTGGTGGCCTGCCTTTCCTTCAAAATGTGAGGTAACTGGCAGCAGCTGCAGTGAAGAAAGTGTTTTTATTCAAAGTGTGCCTTGAAAGAGCTCACCTTCTGTTACTGTCATTTGTTCAAGGCTGACATTTACAGAGTGAAGATCGATGGCACCAACAGGATGGTGTTTGCCCCCGCACCTGTTGTGGGATCTCCTGTAGGCTTGGCTCTAGACTGGCTATCAAGAAACCTTTACTATACCAATACTAGAGGCCAGACAATTGAGGTAATGATTCTATTACACTACTAACACAACCATTGGTTTCTGATTTATGTAAAATCTATTCTCAGGAAACACTCATTACTTTTGCAACTATTTTTGGTAAGAAGGAAAGGGAAAGGTATGTTACTGTTAATTACCATAGTCTCTTGAAACTATGAAGAAAAATTGCTTTGGTTTTCTGTTGTCCTTGTTTCATTATAACTAGATATAATGCCTGGTTCCTAAAAGGAAAATGCAGTTTACAGATATACTTTTAAGGAACTGAACATAAAGGGAAGATTATGGAAGGAAGACATTTTTGCTGTTTTTCCTCCTCTACTCTTCAGTGCTATTTTGATTCTATACCGAAATCACAGGTTACCTTAGATGCAAATCTAAGTGGCTCAAGTACAGTTTTTATAACAGTGAAACAGAAAGCTGAAACTTGATTCCAATTCCTTTGATACTCTCATCTTTGTGATAAGTGCTCTTTCTACTCCAATTCCCAGAAGAAATTCTAGATGAGGAGTCAGTATGAAATCACATGAAATAATTCATAGATAACTTGACTAGTACTGGATTTCTCCATTCTGGAAACAGAGTTAAGATACATAGGAGTTTACTAATTCATAATTTTAAAGGAGAAAATTCTCAAAGAAAAGGGAGGGATTAATTTGCGAGATGGGCAATTAACTGGGTGCACGAGTGTGCTGCATTGGTTTGGGTGCCAGGCTGGCTGCTCTGTGAGGCCATTTAGGAAGAAGGCTGTGGATGGTGAAGATGGCAGACAGCAGCCCTGTGGTTGGTTTTGGCAGATTGGATCAGAGGATCTCATTCTGCTTTCACAAACTTGGTCTTATGTAACCCCACAAGGCAGGCGTGATAACCTTTCACAATGAGAGGCAGCTTTACAGTATGCAAAAATACTAACTCAAATATAATAACCAGGTACAATCAAGATGTTTCTTTTTTAGATAAGGAATTGAGGCTCACCAAAGTAAAGGAATTGGCTGAAATGTTTAGGTTCCCTGAACAGAGTTGCTACAACATTAGTGGTCCAGGCTTGTCAAAACCCTGTGGACAGTGACATCAAAACTCTTAATTTCTAAATGCAATATTTCTAGAGTCCACTTAATAAAACACTATTTTAATTCCAAATGACATCAAACTCTCACTCTGTTTCTTGGTCCCTTGATTTGTAAAACAAAGAACAGCTAAGTGTATATGCATACATTTATTTTTGCCAAGTTTAGCAGTAAGAACAATCATTTATTAAGAAACTGGATATAAAAGCTCACAGACTGGACTGTGGACAAATCACTTAACTTCTCTGATCCTCTACTTCCTTGTTTATAAAATAGGGCTAACAGCTCAGTAAGTAAAGGTATGCTATAATGATAAGGTCTTCTATGAATTACAAAGTGCCTTTCTCTTTCATTTCATGAGCAGAGACTAAATCTATGAGAATAAAGGTGTAAATATAATGATGATATAAATTGTGACTATGCCAGGTGAAATACTTAGAAAATTGGAATATAGTTAACTTACCTTTACTCATAGGTAGTTATAGTTGCTTTTAGAAGCTTTGAAGTTGTTTTCCACTAGGGGTAGCTATGTGCCTTTTCACCAACTGAAAACATATAGCTGAAAAATATAGAATGTTTGAGTGAGAGGCAGCCTAATATATTACAGAAAACAGAGAAAGAAACTTTCCTGAAATGTAGGCCAGGAAAAGTCAGAAGGAAATGAATAGTAAAGGCAAACAAAAAAATTAGTTCAAGGGTGACTAACCAGAGAGGAGATAAACACTGGACAAGAACCTCTTCTCTCTGCCCTCTGGAACACAGGCTTCAAGCAGTGGGACTCTGTTTTAACCATTTGACTCTCTCTTACCCATAGCAATTACCTCTCCTTGAGACTAGGCATTTGGGAGGTGATTGTGTTCTCATGGCCCTAACATGTTTAACCATGCTTTGGATTTGTATATGTAGTTTTTTCATCTCAACTTTATTTTCATATTGTGAAACACTAGTAAGTATTTTTATGCTCTAGGTTTTGACACTCAGGGGAGATCACAGATACAAAAAAACACTATTGACCAATGATGGGACCTCAACTGGAGTTGGTTTTCCTGTTGGCATAGCTGTTGACCCTGCTAATGGGTGAGTCTTATTAAAATGACACATATTTTGTCTATGTTATCGTTCATGTTATGGTCGGATATAATGGAAAAGTTTTCTGACTTTATGGCACCATTTGAGAAATCTGTATCTCAGGGAGAAAGAGAACTAGCTCTGAGTTATATATATTTAATGTAAAAGACATGCACTGGGTTTCACTGTAGCTCCAGAGAAGCCAGAATCAGGAATTTTTAAATAGATTATGAGAATGAATGTTACAGTCTGAATTTAGTGGGTGAAATAGACCTGAAAGGATGAGAAGGCTTCCAGGTGGAAAATGGGTTGGAAACAAATATGTATTCAAGAAAGGTCTGGAATGGAGACAAGTCAGGGAGATAAGGTAGGAGAACAAGTCGTGTTGGATATAGAGTTGAGTCCTCTAATGTGTTTGATTGACTATACGTTTTATTGTTGTAAGCCAGAATAATTAAAATGGTGACATTGAAAGCTAGTAGATTTTTAAGCCTGTTTAATTTTCTGCTTCAAATAAGAATTACATACAGATCAAAACACATCATAAAATACAAAATTTTAATCTTAAACATACTGATTTTGTTCCAATATAACCTTTTCCAAGAGTCATCCTGGATATAGTTCCCATTTTGGACACTCAAGTCTTTTCATTATGTTCATACGTAAAACACTTATTAATTGTACATACATTGTTGCAGTTGTTAACAGATGTAAACAAAATATTTAGAGACACAAAGAAAATAGAAGCTTATTTGGGAAGCGGAATTGGGTGAAAGCTGTGCTGTACATAGCCATTCATGGAGTTAGGTTGCTGGAGGCTCTACCATCTTCAATAGGGTTTTCTAGGGTCACCCAGAATGAAAACAAACAAACAAACAACACAAAACTCCCGGGAAAGTGTTAGGAGGCTTTATCGACCAACCTACAGGGAGTGCATCCCACTTCTGCCTTTGCCTTTCCTTCCCTCATCTAATAGGAACTATTTTCAAAGGTGATGTGAAATGCTCTGCATCTAGTTCAAATGGGATTGTCCCAAGTTAAAAAGGGATATGTGATTAGGTATATTGTCATGATAGGAGTCCAGAACAGAAAGCTGGAGTGGACTTGGGGGGAGGGATTGCATAACAATGAAAGAATTTTTTTTTTTTTTTATCTTTTCAAAGAGAACAGCTAACTGGGGGAGCGGGGGAGGGGTGGGCAGGGAGAAAAGTGCAACAATGAATGAATTGAAATCCAAAGTCTCTGTAAATTTTCGTTAAAATTAATAATAAAAAACCCAACAAACAAAAACACACATTTTGTTTTAGCCCCTAGCTTACTGCTATTATATACAGGTCTTATCCTCCCTTCTGTCTTCGCTCACCTCCACTAATACCCTCGGCCCTAGTACTCTAGCAAAGCTCATTTCCTTTCCCCAGTTTCCATGTTTTCCTCTAATTTCACTTCAGGCTTTCCTTGTTGTTGCCTGTGGTCATGTAACTGAATGTTAGCTGAAGGAACAGGAGCAGAAGGATGGAAGTTAGAAGCAGAAGGAGCAGTGAGGAGGAAGTTGATACAGAAGAGTTGAAAGGAGAGGAACTAGAGGTTTATGACTGGGCAACATGATACATACATATATATGAATAATGTGTACAAATACAATGTGCACAGGACACTAATACTTGAGATTACACTGTTTCCTAATAAAGTCTGCTAGCATCAAGAGATCTCAGCAAATTTTAGGTAGCTTCATTTTTTAGTGAAATTCAAAAGTCACATAATTCTGGAATGTGAGAGGAAAACCCAAATAATGACAAGATTTGCAACTGGTTACATATACAGTCCAGAGGTAGAGTTTATTCAGGGTTTAATAGCTAAGTGCAGGTCCAATAGAGGAAATAAGAAAGAGACGAGAGCATTTCATCTTTTTGGGGGGTGAAGAGGCTGGAGCAGGAGGTGAAGTAGAAAGGAATGAAACCTTTCAAAAAGAGTTGTGTCCTCAATAAAAAATGGGAAGAACTCCTTCATATAGTAGCAAATTATATACCAGCTGATGCCGTATGCTAATGTTGGATTCTACTCTCTCAGAAAAGTGGAACTCATTCTTCTATGCTTATTATTACATTTTAAAAACTCTGCTTCAGATTAAATTTAAAAGTGGCGGGTCTTGGGGTAGATGGAAATTTGGATAAGGATGAAATAAGAGGTTTGATAAGTCATCAGAGAGGTAATTAATAGCTTTTTTTTTATAAATTAATAGCTTTTTATATTTGCTTCTCCCACCCCAATTTTCAAAGATTGTTATTTTAGGGGCTATCAACTCAGACTGACCTTATGTATAACAGATCAAAGCCTTGTCTGATCCTACAGAATCCTGACAATCTATGCTGTGCTTGGTCTTATTATTGTAATTATGGTAATGGTCCATCTATTGAGGGTCTTCTTCTCTTTCACCAATCCTGTACTTTTCCAAGCGTGATACCTTTCTGCAAGGACTGGTCACTTCTGATAACGTTCCCAAAGAATGTGAGACAGAGTCTCTGAAGAGGGCTTATTGAAACATGGTCTTTCTTTGTGCTAAACTTCCAATGTATCTGATAAAGCTTAACTTTCAGCAATAAGTGGAGCATTGTAGCCTCCTGATTTAGGCACTTTTTAAATAGCCTCTGGGAAGTTTCTCCATCATTGGCTAACTACATCCTTTAAATTTATGCAGTAAGATATTTCAGAACTGGTTGAACTGGAAGGATTTGAAGATAAGAAAGGCTAATTTTTCTTTAAATATTTAAATTATAGATGCTTCACCCCAGTCCATTCTTGTCTTCATTAAATGCTAGTTATTTCATGGTTGTAGGAAGATGTATTGGACAGACCTAGGAACTGACAGTGGGATTCCTGCCAAGATTGCAAGTGCTAACATGGATGGCACATTTTCAAAAATTCTTTTCACTGGGAACCTTGAGCACGTGGAGTTCATCACTCTTGACATCAAGGAGCAGAAACTCTACTGGGGAGTCACCAGTGTAGGATTGGTATGAACACCCTTTCTTTTGGTCTTCACTGATGACTTTGCCTAATTGAACAATCTCATTTGGCAACTTGTGTTGCCTTTTCTCACAGTAAATTCTCTAGAACATTCCCCCCAAGCCTTTATTTTCCTTTAAACAAACTAATTTTATGACTTGTTTCTTTCATTTAGCCTTTTAGAGCCATTTCTTTGTTTTAGTGTTTGCAATACTCTCTTAAAATTGGCTCAGTTTGTTATCCTTTAGTTTCTCTTGCTGGTTCTCTTGTTAAGAGACATCGAGCACGAATACTGAGCTGAGAACTTGGAATAAAGGAGGACTTGAGACAGATTTTGGAATTCAATGAAATGACTGCCTCCATTACGGTTTTTGTTTTGGAAATGCAAAACTATTTGCCATTCCTCAGGTCACAAAGAGTTTAAACAAAACAGGGTCAGTCAGCCCCTGGGAATGTCCCTGGTTAAGATTAAACATGCCCCTTGACTGGAACATTATGCACACACTTGAAGGTTTATCACTTTATACCTCAACATGCAGCAGTTTGAGTTCATTGACAAGGCCCTTCAAAACAGAGGGTAGATGTAGTTTAAAAATGGATAGAACTGTGAAATACTAGTTTAAATTTTTCTCTCATTGCACTATGACTCAGTAAAACTAATGAAAATTCTGCTCTTTTAGATTGAATGTGGAAATGTGGATGGTACAAATCGAATATTTCTGGTACACCTCCTTTCCCATCCGTGGGGAGTTGCTGTTTATGATTCCTACCTTTATTATTCGGATAGAGACTTTGAGGTCATTGAACGAGTTGACAAGGCTACTGGGAACAATAAAGTAGTTTATAGAGACAATATTCCAAATCTGAGGTGCCTTCGAGTTTATCACAAACGTGGTAAGTATTTTTCACTGGAACTTACACATGCATGGGTGTACAGTGCTCATTTACATGTCTGTACATGCCTACATACAAACAGATCTATGTACATACCCTTACAAAGGATTGAGATAACATAAAGCATCATGTAAAAGTGATAACTGTCTTGTAAGCACTGTTAACTGTCGAAGACTAGCTTGGCATCAGAAAGGTCATTGATATAGGCTTCCCTCCATTCTCCATTGCTTTGCACTCCCTGAGAGGATCTGTTGGCTACCGTGTAAGCTTCATAAGGGCAGACACTGCCACACGCCCCTTCAGGTGTTAGAGAAATATGCTCTGGGCTCCAATATTGTGTCAAATGTTTTTGTTTGAGTGTCAAGTGGATAAGGTCAAAAGTAACAAACTGATTGTGATTCCATTTAGAACCTGCTTCAAATGGCTGTAGTAACAACATGAATGCCTGTCAGCAGATTTGCCTGCCTATACCGGGAGGGCTGTTCTCCTGTGCCTGTGCGACTGGATTTAAACTCAATCCTGATAACCGGACCTGCTCTCAATATACTTCCTTCATTGTTGTTTCGATGCTTTATGCAATCAAGGGTTATAACTTGGACTTGTCTGATCACTCGCAGGCTATGGCGACCGTGGGAGGCCCAGGTATGTCAGCTTCGATATAAGCACAGTTTTGCTCCATCTGATGCTTAACAGAAACCTTGGTGTACTGTAAAAACATTCAACATTGTTTGAACTCAGAGAGATTCTCAAAACTAGAGTCGTCCTTTTGAGTATTTAAATAGACAGAGGCTCCATGCCCTTCTGATCTGCAGTTAGAGCATGTTGGTGTTGCTGATTCCTGGACCACACTGGGAATCACAGCAAGGACACACAGACTGCTTGTGTAGTCATTGAAGATTCCATGTTACTTGGATCTGCAGTCGATACGCATTGAACTAGCAGTCAGAAACAAACAAACAAACACACACACAAGTTGCACTCAGCAAGATGACTGCTAAGAACTTCTTTAATGTACTGAAGGGCAAGGATGTGACTCTGGTGTCCCAGTACAAGCCGTGGTGTTTCCAATTGCAATAAAAAGAATGTAGCCTGTGTTTGCAAGTGTTTCAGGGTTAGCGTTCAGCAGAATTGTGCCCTGTTTCTGAAATTTAAGGGCAGAGGCCTACTACTAGTAAGGCTAGTAACAGTCCACAATATGCTTTATTAAACTGAGTTTGGAATTAGTATACTGTGAATGTATGATAGAACCTGCTTTCTAGATGAGCAATGAGCTACATATTATCAGTATCACGGGGATGTGCCATAGTTTTAAAGTGAAAAATATTAGGGACAAAGGAGAGAAAAAAAAGGATAAAGGAAAAGATATCTTTTTCCTTTATAATTTATAGGAAATTTGTGTCACACTTTGTTACACTGTGAGTATCTTACTCCCAAGCCATTGAGAACTGTCAGTGATCTTTGTCTGAAGGAGGTATTAAATTGGTTATTGCAAAATAATGATTTTCCAATATTATCATTCTTGTACATTAATTAGATAAAGGAGAGACCTCATTTATTCCCTCCATCCCTTAAAATTTATTATCACTTAAGATTTTTGTGTTATACTAGTCAGTTAACATTATTCCTGCTTGATGCTTCATTTATCCATTTTGGCCAAGTAAAGCTTTTGGAAAGTAGCTACCTGTATCCTTTTGATATGTTAGTATTGACGCTCGAGTGATCCTTGCTTTCTGTCATGATTAAAGTATTTCAGATTCCAAGTGAGTAAATGAGCTCTTAATAAAAATATTTCCATTCCTCTTGCCTTAAAAAATATAATCAGCCACTTCTTACAGGAGCTTGATTCCTTATTGTGGGCGATAGTATTTAGAGGCCAAGACCTGAGTGGTGGTACGCTTCCAATGACTGGAAAACACAGCATTTTTATTTATCTTATTTTCTGTCTGTTGTAAGGAAATGATAAGGGCAAGGGTTGGGATTTAGCATATGAGAGCAAAGAAGACAGAGAGTTCAATTAGAGCCATTGTTTAATATATTTTCTTAAATGTTTTAGGACGAAATGCACTGCATGTGGATGTTGATGTGGCTTCTGGCTTTATTTATTGGTGTGATTTCAACCGCTCTGTGCCATCACAGAATGCAATCCGTAGAATCAAAACAGACGGGTCTGACTTGACAAACATTATTACAGACGGGATAGGACAAAATGGAGTCCGAGGAATTGCCATGGACTGGGTGGCAGGTAGGTGAGCAAGATAGTGATTTTAGTGAAAAACTTTTTATATTTACATCTTTGTAATTTTAGCCTAGTTACATATGCTGCAGATCAATGACAGTGAAGTCACGGGCATATTCAATTAATAATAAGATATTTTAGTTAACTGATTATTTAGATGATTTTGAATTACCACTCATTTTTAACCATACACTTGAAAACAAATGTATTATACTTTCTTGCAATATTATACTCTCCTGTATAAAATAGATGTCTTAGGTAATCAAGCTTAGTAAGTAGGCAACACTTAGAAAAATGAACATAAATTATGAAGGTGCTAGAATAGTTTATTGCAAATAGTAAACATGGTAGAATTTTTTTTCTATAATTATATTTTATTAATTTTCATAAACATTTACAGAGATTTTGGGCTTCCACTCATTCATTGTTGCACTATTCTCTCTACCCTCCTCCCAGTTTGATCTTGTCCTAATGCCACAGTGCTTGTCAAAGCCAGTTCTGATTAATCTTCTTTGTCAGTGTGTCCTTTGCCATTCCCTATCACTCCTCCCTGAGAGAGACTTCACCCTGAGTCATAAGGAAAAGGGGATGGCGTATTCTCTTAGCTACTTCCTGCTGAAAAGGGACGCTGTGGGTTTCAGGGTAACATGGTAGAATTTAATTGGGTTTGTAATCCTGTTTCTGTTCACAAGTTCATTATATTTTTTTCCCTCTGAGGATATAGATAAAGCAGGGGTCATTTGGTCTATTGGCTGTGTCACTCAAATAAAGTTTATTGCCTACTTTTTTGATACAAGAACAAAGCCATGCTTATTTGGTTAGGTATTGTCTATAGCTATCTTCGTGTGCTACAAACTATATGGCTTGCAAAACACAAGATAGTTACTTTTTGACCCATTACAGAAAACGTTTACCAAGTGTTGGAGGTGAATAAATGTGGTGTGTGTGTGTGTGTGTGTGTGTGTGTGTGTGTGTGTGAGTGTGTGTGTGTGTGATTAGATGTAGATATCGGTAGCATATTCTGTGTCAAACTGATTTCTCTGAGCAGAATCATACTGAGTTACATATAGGAACCATCAAATATAGACCTTCAAATAGATTTCCCTTCTTGGTTGAGTATCAGTAGTTCAACAACAGACATGGAACTACAGGGAATCAGTTTGGGATCATAATGCCTTTCTTTCTGGAATTTACAGTTTGGTGTTCAAAAGGATTTTTTTTTGGCTTTGAAGGATCATGGAATAAAAACTCTGACACTCAGAAAGACTTAATGTTAATGTTCAGTATGAAGAACATTTGACAACATTGGTAGTAGCATGAAATGCTAATGACAGATATTCCGAAATGAAAACTTTCATTAAAAAGTGGACTGTGCTACTTGCTATGAATCTAATCTACTTAAGCTAAGAATAAGGCACATTCACTCTAAATTCAAAGAAGCATGCTTGAGTAAATACTTCTCTAAGTTGAAACCAAGACGTTAATTCACAGTCTTGAAAAAGACAGCATATAATTAGTCAACATGTCTGAATTTGAAAGGCTTCTCTCTTCTTTATTTAAAAAAATTATTAATTTTAATGAAAATTTACAGAGATTTTGGATTTCTATGCATTCATTGTTGCACTTTTCTTCCTGCCTACCCCTCCTCTCCAGTTCATTCTTCTCTTTAAAAAGTAAAATTCTTTCATTGTTATACAATCCCTACCCCCAAGTCCACTCCACTATGCAGCCTTCATTCTGGACTCATGTCATGACAATAATACCTAATCATATATACCTTTTAAACAGTTTTCTCTCTCATCAGTTTCAATGCAGTATACATACTTTATCCCATCTTTCTCAGTCTCCCCACCAACCCTGATGTCAGTGCCTTTTTACAACAGTGTACTATGCACTATTTGCCCTTTTGTGACTAAGATATTTCACTCAGCATAATGTCCTCCAGGATCACCCATTTTGTATATTTCATGAATTCCTTGTTTTTCAACGCAGCATAGTGTTCCATTGTGTGAATATACCACAGCTTTTCTCTCCATTCATTTTTTTGATGGGCACTTAGGTTGATTTTTTTTAATTCATCAACATACTCTTTATTTTCTTGCAGGAAATCTGTATTTTACCAATGCTTTTTTATCTGAAACACTGATAGAAGTTCTACGGATCAATACTACCTACCGCCGTATTCTCCTTAAAACCACAGTGGATATGCCCAGGGATATTGTTGTAGATCCCAAGAACAGATACCTCTTCTGGGCGGACTATGGGCAGACGCCAAAGATTGAACGCGCCTTTCTTGACTGTACCAACCGGACTGTGCTTGTGTCGGAGAGCATTGTCACACCCCGGGGCATAGCAGTGGACCTTGACAGCAGCTTTATTTACTGGGTTGATGACTCTTTAGATACAATCTCAAGGACTCATATTATTAGTGGTGAATCTGAAGTGATTCGTTTTGGCAGTCGCTACCCAACTCCTTATGGCATAACTGTTTTTGAAAATTCTATCATATGGGTAGATAGGAATTTGAAAAAAATCCTCCGAGCTAGCAAAGAACCAGGAAACACAGAGTTACCAACAGTGATAAGGGACAATCTCAACTGGCTAAGAGATGTGACTGTGTTTGACCAGCACAAACAGCCACGGTCTCCAGCAGAGGTCAATAACAACCCTTGTATGGAAAGAAATGGTGAATGCTCCCATCTTTGCTTTGCTCTGCCTGGATTGCAGACTCCAAAGTGCGACTGTGCCTTTGGGACTGTGCAAAGTGATGGCAAAAGCTGTGCCCTTTCAACAGAAAATTATCTTATCGTTGCCTTGGAAAATTCATTAAGAAGCTTATACTTGGACCCTGAAACCCATAGCCCACCTTTCCTTGCAATAAATTTACAAAGAACTGTTGTGGCCCTGGACTATGATAGCATAAATAATAGAATCTACTTTGCACAGAATTCCGGCTCTAGAGGAGGCCAGATTGCCTATGTCAGTCTGTATGCAAGGGGTGTTTCTGCAACAGTCATTGCTTCAGGTCAGTGCTTTCTAAATGCAGCTAATTTTGAGACAGTCAGGCCAAGTTTTTCTAAAATGCAGAATGAGGCTCTAATGCCTTTTCTTCTTCTTTTTTTTTGTGTGTGTGTTTGTTGGTATGTATCCAGGTATAGGGTCTGCTCAAGGCATTGCCTTTGACTGGATCAATAACAGAATTTATTACAGTGACTATGTCAACCAGACAATTACCTCCATGGCTGTGGATGGGTCCAATTCTACTGTGATAGCCCGTGTTTTGAGACCAAGGGCAATTGTGTTAGATCCTTGCCGAGGGTATGCAATTATCTTCTTCACATTATTTCTATCTTGACATGTTTTTAGGAGGATCTCTCTCTCTCTCTTTTCTTTCTCAACTCTCTCAACGAAATCAGGACTGGTCATCACTGGCCCTCCACTTGGTTCCTCAGAGGCTGTATACCAGTCACACAGGAGGAGATTTCCCATCATCCTCTCATGGAGCTGCTGGTGGATCCGAACTGCCTGCCTTTGTGCTGTCAGTCCAACTAGAAAATAGAGCCTGAAATTATTTTATACTTATAGATGAATTACTAACACTTTGACGGTAGTATCATTCACTAGAATCAAGAATAAAAGAGCAATGAATTCTTTCACCTGGGAAGAAGAGTGCAGTGTACCATTTCCCTTGGATGCTAGAAAGGTTGCCAGTATGTTAGAATCATGTTTTGGCCAGTAAATTCTTATCATTGCTTTTAAGAATAGAGTAGGATTTCTTCTGTCTTAAAGGCTATTCATATAGAATGGGTGCATCTGGTTTATTCTTAAGATAATAAATACATGTAATATGAGCTCTATTGTGGTATATTAATTATTATTTTTTATAACTAGGTACATGTACTGGACTGACTGGGGTGCTAATACCAAAATTGAGAGAGCTACACTGGGAGGAAACTTCCGGGTCCCCATTGTGAACAGCAGCCTGGTCTGGCCCAATGGACTCACTTTGGACTATGACGAAGAACTTCTCTACTGGGCAGATGCTAGTCTGTATGTGGTTTGGCTTACCTATTTGGTGATGAAGAGAGCTTTATGTGGTGTGATGAAAATAGAATACTAAAATGTAGAATCAGGGACCATATTATATTCCAGCTTTTGAGCATAACTATCCATTTAAAAATACCTATGTAATGAGACAGGATAAATGAATTAGAAGATGTTGAAAGGCTTTTTATCACATGTTGTGAGTAATTACAAATGTAATTAAATTCCTCAATTTGTAAGCTACAGGAGTAGGCAAACTAGCCATTTGTTGTTGTTATGTACCATCGAGTCAGAACCAACCCATAGCTGACCCTCAAGCGGGTTTTCAGAGGACTAAATCACACAGGAGGAGATTGTCCTTTTCCTGTGGAGCAACTGGTACATTTGAACTATGTGTCTTTGAGATTGCTTACCTCTAGTGTCTTTTAAAATTTTATTTCTGGCTTTAGGTGAAGTACTCAACAGATCCCTTTTTAATATATTTTTCTGTATTTCATAGGTAAATTCTTCCAAACCCTCTAAATTCTTCCAGACTTCCTTGCTGTAGAGTAATTTCTAACTTAGTGAACCTCCATTGGATTTCTGAGGCTGTAAATCTTTACAGGAGGAGACTGTTGTGGAGCAGCTGGTGGATTCAAACCACTGACCTTTCAGTTAGCAGCATAGCATGTAAAAGCACTACATCGTCTGTGGTTGTTATGTGTCATTGGTCAGATTCCTTTCATAGCAAACCTGTTAGCAGTGGATCTAAACCCTGCTCTATCCTGTACCATCTTCGTCATCTCTGAGCTATAGTCACCATGCCAATCCCTCTTGTATGTCACCTAGAACCTCCTAAATGGCTAAAATCCCTAATGAAATAGTGTATTATAGTTGGCATGTGTCAGGAACCTTTACTTGTTCATTTTCCTTGTTCATATTTCATTTCATTTGAAATGACACTGTGATGTTTTAGATATAAAATATTCTATTTAACTCTTCAGAATACTCAGCCAATGTCAAATCAAAATAGTAATTAAGGGAGTGGAAAGAAAACATGCTTAACATATTGAGTGAGAACACATTGTTTAAGTTACTATTTCTGCTTTCAGTCTGAGTCTGTAGAAGAATTTATATACATGCTTAGGAGCTATAGGAATATTTAGAAATCAGCTGGAATTTTATTAGCAGTGCGTTTTTGTTGACTTGATGGTACTGGGCAACAACAGTTTGTTGTTTTTGTTTTTAAATTGTAGGGGGCTTGTGTAAAGCAATGGTTGGACCTAGGCCTGGGTTGTTACTAGGGATGCTTTTCTTAGAATTCAACGTTTCTTTCTTAGGCAGCGGATTGAACGCAGCTCTCTGACTGGCGCGGACCGTGAAGTCATCGTCAGCGCAGCCTTACTTCCTTTTGGCATGACTGTCTATGGCCAGTATATTTACTGGGCTGACTGGCAAACAAAGTCAGTTTACCGAGCGAACAAATATGATGGGTCAGGTCAGTTCGTCTTGACCACCAACTTGCCCACTCGTCCCATGGCCATTCGCGTTTTTGGGAAGAGCCAGCAGCAGCAGTGTAACAATCCTTGCACTGATTTTAATGGAGGCTGCAGCCACATCTGTGCACCAGGTGAGTCATTCCCCATGCAGGTAGAGGTAATAATGACGGTGACACCTGGTAGGGAAGATCGAAGAAGGGATATAGGACTATATGACTTTAACAGGATAACTCTTCATGACTCATCGGGTATCCTAATTGTAATGCATGCTGCTGACTGATGGGGACCTGCGTAAAAGCGTAAATCTGAAAACACAGACCTCATCCCACCCCTCCCACCACTAGAGTATACTTGAACCTCATGTATCTAGTGTATAAAAAATCTCTCTATAAAAAAAATCTCTATTACCTCATTTCAGCATGCCTTCTACTACAGGAAGCATCTCAATAATAGGCACCATCCAGTTCTTCTGGTCTCATAGGGAAGGCAGTTTGACCTGTGTCTGGTTTCCCTTCTGATTCCTGGGGTCTCTTAAGAAACATACACACCATAAACCTTGATAGAGGTGGAAAGCAAGATAATGTTTTGGGGCACTATAGTTCATAGTTTGATAGTTTCATCAATGAAATTACCTGTATCTATTTCACTTAGAATTTCTGATGATAATTTGGGATGTGGAATTTATATATTTTCATAGTGCCTTTTATAAAAGAAATTCATAGGAATGTGAAAGGTGTTGCTTTGCAAATTTTATTGAGAAAGGGGAATCATCGTTACTGCTTTGATGTGAATAAAGACATAGCTCATTTACTAAAATTAGATGCTCGCGATGGGAAGATAATAGGCAGTGTTTTAAGCAGCTCATCTTGGGGAGCATTTAATGTAGAAGTTGTTCTATTCAGGAGAAGAAAATGGGAATGGTTGTCGCACAAATATCTTCTGCCCCTTCTTGGCTTGGCTTTCTTTAGGTCCACATGGTCCTGAGTGCCAGTGCCCGGCCGGGGGTCACTGGTATCTGGCCAACAACAATAAGCACTGCATTGTGGACAATGGAACTCGGTGCGCTGCCTCTGAGTTCACCTGCTTCAACGGGCACTGCATCCCAGAGGAGTGGAAATGTGACAATGACGTCGAGTGTGGAGATGGCAGTGATGAGCTGGAAAGTGTCTGTGGTAAGTTGTGAAGAGTAAAAGTTGTGAAAGTTCTTGAGAGAAGGAAATAAACTAATATATTAAAGAGTCCCCAAACCAACAAAACCCCTTAGTGTGGGTTTTGATGTAGAATATATATGTGTAATTTACCACAGGAGTAGGGGTCCCAGTAGACATTCCTTGGGTGTTCAGAAGTGATTTACTTTTGCCCGCAGATCATGTAGAAGTTTCCCTCCATTATTTTTTATGAATAATACACAGCAAGACAAATTTCTGTGTAATGATTTCTTCATATCGGTCCCATTCAGCACATTGTGTCAATGTTCTTATTATGTGCATTGTAATTTTTCTATTCGCATTAACTTCTTCTCACTCCTCCTAATCCTCATCCTAGCTCCAAGGTAACTGTTGACCCTTTGTTCTCATAAGAGTTATTTTTTAAAAAGAATATAATGCTCAAGTTTACATTGAAATGCCAAGAGGACTTTAACATTGAAATTATAGAGGGAAGGAATAACTTTGACATTTCCTCACCCAAAAAATACTCCATGTTTTGCATAGTATGACTAATTGAAAGTGTTATTTCACTTTGCATGCAGTCCGGTTTGCAGCTGTTTTTCCTTGAAAGGTAAACTCCGTTTGCTTTGATTGCATTTTTTAAGCAATTAGGACAGTAGTTTGATCATGAGTTTTCTTTCATGTTTTTTCTTAGCTTTCCATACATGCTCGTCCACATCCTTCACATGTGCCAATGGACGATGTGTCCAATACCATTACCGCTGTGATCACTACAATGACTGTGGTGACAACAGTGATGAAGCAGGGTGCCTATTCAGGCCCTGCAACGCCAGCACAGAATTTGCTTGCAATAATGGAAGGTGCATATCTCTGTCATATGTCTGCAATGGTATAAACAACTGCTATGATAATGGCACTTCCGATGAAAGAAATTGCCGTAAGTTCATCTTAACAAGTGCTTTTTTGGGCTTTCAAATCTTAGATTGGGGGAAATAGAATTTTTATAGAGAAGCATAAATGTCCTCTTAAGTTATAAATTTACAGAAATCTTTCATCCTTTTTCTGTCCACCTTGTCCCCTCTACCATATCCCAAGTTTATCTATTGAGTTAATAACTAACTCATGACCCTGCCAGACACAGTGGAATTTCTCTGTAGAGTTTCCAAGGCAATGGATATTTATGAAAGCTGATTAGCTCATCTTTCTCTAAAGGAGTGGCTTATGGGCTTGGACTCTAAACATTTTGATTAGAAGCCCAGTGCTTTATCTTGACAAGCATCAACAGAGCTGTATCAGTCACTTAGTTAATAATTTCCTTGGAGTTGAAACCAACTCATAGCTCCAGCAGGTTTTTGAAAGCTGTAAATCGCACAAGAGATTGGCCAACTTTCTGCCATGGAGCCACTGGTGGATTTGAACTGTTAGAGAAGTGCCACTTTTGAGTTATTAGCCCAGCTTCTGATGAACTAGGCCACTAGAACTACCAGTTTGTCTACATGGATGTCTAAATACATTTTATTAGGTTATCTCTTTGTTTTAAATATAAGCATATCCCCCCACCCCACATACACATATAAATAGATGGAGAGAACTGAGACCTTGGTTAGTACAAAGAAGCGTATATAGTAGAAATTTATGTATTTGACTAGAAGCCAGAGGCACATTGGAAGGGGCCATAGCCTTGAAAACTGGTGTACTCTGTGTATGCTCTTGTTGTTAATTCTAATTTGAAAACGTGAGAGTAAGCCAATAAGCACTTGCCCTGTGAGATATATATATATATATATATATATATATATATATATATATATATATTCACACATATTACTGCCTCTCTTCATTTTCTTAGACAAAAGATAGTCTACTGTTGTGTATCATGCTTTCTTATTATTAGAACTAAATCCTGGCAAGTATTCCTTATCAGTATGACGAGCTCTTTCTCAACCCTTTTTTATAGCTGCATGGTTCTCTATTGCATGGAGATGCCACAGTTTGTTAAACTAAGAGTTGGATGCTATTTAATAACGAAAACTAGCTTATCAACCCTCCCCTCTCCAGTATCATCTGTAAACATCTCTTTTTACTGTAGGCTCTGTAGAGTGTCAGAGATCATGCCGCCCATTTGGTTTGAGTTCTGCACGCTATCTCTTCACTTGGATGTTCACTGTTTGTGGATGTTCACTATGTATTGGTGCATGTGTACCAAATATTTATCTGATTGTTTTTCCAAGCTGATCGAACTTGCCGGCCTGGCTACACAAAATGTCAGACTACAAATATTTGCATTCCTCGAAATTACTTGTGTGATGGAGACAATGACTGTGGTGATATGAGTGATGAAAGCCCCACTTACTGTGGTGAGTAAGATAGACTTGTAAGAAAAACTCGTGTATCTTTCTTTGTTTCTAGGAGTGCCTTAAGCTTTTATAACCATATGCATAAGTGTTTGAGCTAGTTTTGACTTGTCATCTCAAATTGACCTTATAAATAGACCCAGTGGGTAGTTGCTTTAGAATGAGGTTGAAAGAGTTTCAAAGACCCTTCTTTCTGTTCCCTGACTGAAAACCCTAGCTCTTGTGCCTAACCTTATACAACTCTGTAGCTATTTCTCCTGGTGTTCACAACCTTTTAACTGCAGCAATCGAGTTCTTCCATGGCAGAATTTGTATGCTGAATCATACAGTGAAACTTGAGAGAGCTGGAACCCACCTTGCTTTTCTGGGCCGTGTAAACATCTTTTTTTGATAAGGTGTGGCCTTACTTTTATCTCATTTGTCTTAGTGTTAAAAATATTCAAGTTTTCCTTTTTTAGTAGGTTTTCACAGGCCTTAATTAGCTTTGTTTTAAATTTTCTTATTTAGTAATTTGTTTCAGTCAACATTTTAGTGTATATTTTAAATTTTTTAAAATTTTATACTGGTTTATCTACCAGGTGCTCTGCCGGGGAAGGAGGGACCATCTCCTCCTGTACCAGTCAGATCTGATTTGACGGTACACGCACACAAAAATAAAAAAAAAAATTAAAAAAAAATTTTATACTGGTTTAATTACAAAGTTTATATACATTGTTTTTCACACTGAATTTTCCCCCTTTCCTTTACCCACCCCTCCCTCCACCCATCAAATTGTGCAGTCCTATGATTAAGCCCTCTCCACCCACCCACCCACCATCACCCTATGATCTCCCCCCTTGGATCCTCATACGTGTTCTACAATAATTGTCTTTTACTGTATTTATAGTTCAAGTTAAAGGGCCTTCCTTAAGCTTGATTTAGTGTATGTGTTTATATTCTGCTCCCTGATTCTTTTTCAAGGAAATCAAAGGACTTTAAATATTATTTACTAGAACAGGTACAATCAAAGAACAATGATTAATTTTAATAGCAGGATGTTGTCGTGTGCACTGTTGAGTTGGTACTAACCCATAGCTGAACCTCCAGTGGGTTTTTAGAGGCAGTAAATTGCATAAGAGGAGATTGCCCATCTTTTTTGCCTGCAGAGCATCTGAATACCTATGCATTTGCAGTGTAAGTCCTTTCCAGTAAGCCGCCAGAATTCCCTAACAGCAAGATGAGGAAGGATATTGACATTACATAGGGCCCAACTATAATTGCTGACCTTTGAGGAACCTTGGCTTCCTTTTCAGATACCTTCCTTGATTCTTGGGAAACTCATCAAACATCATGAGCCAAAACAAGGACAGCCTTGTAGACCAGGAAAATTACATACAAGACTTGACATACAAGACTAGCAATTTATGAGATACACTTGAGCAAGTTACCATTTAGACATAAATAGAGTTTTTCTTTATACAACTAAATGTTAGCATAAATAAGAGGAGAACATTGCAAACTAAAGATAGTTTAGTGGCTAAAATATTGAGCGTGGAGCTTTTGATCTTAATGATCTCAAAGACATCTCTGAAGTTATACATTATTGAAAAATATCTGTGTAGTTACATCAAATCCACAAGAATCATAATTTGACCTTGATTATATCCCACCTGAATTTCAAAACCATCTCAGGAACAGGTTTGAGGCCTTGAACACTAATGAGTGAAGACCAGATAAGCTTTCACCCATGACGAATACAAAAGGTCATTACAAAGACAGAGGAGGGAGAAAAGACCAAGATAGATGTCAGACAAAACTCTGAATGTTGTAGTAGAACATCGAGAAGCCAAAACAAAGGGAAGAAATCAAGAAGTTAAGGGGCTGAAACAGGAAATTTCAAAGGACAGTGTGGGAAGACAAAGCAAAGTATTATAATGAAATGTGCAAAGTGCTAGAGTCAGAAAATCAAAAGGACAAAACTTGTTTGGCATCTCTTAAGCTGAAGGAACTAAAGAACAAATTCAAGCCTCGAATTACAATACTGAAGGATGCTTTGGGTAGAATATTAAGAATATTAAATGATCTAGGGAGCATTAAAAGAACATGGAAGGAGTGTGACAGAGTCACTGTACTAAAAGAATTGGCTGACACAGAAGACTTTCGTGAAACAATATATAAACAAGAGCCTATGGTGATGAAGGAAGAAGTTCAAGCTGCTCTGAAGGAATTGGGAAAACAAAAAGACCCAGAAATTGACAGCATACCAATCGACATATTTCAACAAACACATGCTGCCCTGGACACTTTCACCAATCTGTGTCAAGAAATCTGGAGGACAGCCATTTGGCCAACTGACTGGAAGAAATCCATATTTGTTCCCATTCCAAAGAAAGGGAACAGATCCAACAGAGTGTGGATATTATTGAACAGTATCATTAATAGCACATGGAAGCAAGATTCTGCTGAAAATTATAAAAAAAATAGCTGGAACAGCACATCAAAAGAGAATTGGCACATGTGCTGGCTGGATTTAGAAGAGGCAGTGGTATTAGAGATATTATAGCTAATGTTAGATGGATTTTGGCTGAAAGCAAAGAATACCAGAGAAATGCCTGTCTGTGTTTCATTGATTTTGCAAAGGCACTTGACTTTGTGGATCACAATAAACTATGACTAACTCTGAGAAGAATGGGCATCCCAGAACACTTGATTGTGCTTATGTGAAACCTATACTAGGACCACGAGGCAGTCCTCAAAACAGAGCAAGCAAACACTGTGTGGTTCAAAACCCAGAAGGGTGTATGCCAGGGATATGTCCTATCTCCATACCATTTCAGTTTTTATGTAGAACAGATCATCGGGAGGCCGGGTTCTATGAGAAGGAATGTGGCGTCAGGATTGGAGGAAGAGTCATCAACAGCTTGCCTTAGGCAGATGATACAATCTTGCTAGTGGAAACTGCGGAGGGCCTGAGGCATTTGCGGCAGAAGGTCAAGGACTGCAGCATTAAATATGGACTGAAGCTCAAAATCAAAAAAACAAAGACTCTAACTCCTGGGTCGATTGGCAGCATCATGATAGATGGTGAAGAGATTGAGATTGTTAACAGCTTCAGTTTACTTGGCTCCATAGTCAGCACTCTTATTATGGGCAGCCATAATAAGAGATAATTCAAAAGATGAATTGCATTGGGAAAGTCAGCTGTCAGGGACTTCTCCAGAATACTCAAGAGCAATGATGCTAGACTGGAAACTAAGGTGCACCTGATCCAGGCCATGATCTCTGCTGTCACTTGCTATGCATCAGAAAGCTGGAAAATTATTAGCGATGATAGGACAATTGATGCCTTTGAGCTTTGGTCTGGAGAAAGAGTATTGACTATACCATGGACTGCTAGGAGAATAAACAAGTTCATACTGAGAGGGTAAAACCATGCTTTTACTTGGAGGCAAGGATTCTGTAGCTCTGTCTGACATACTTTGGACATGTTGCAAGGCGGGACCAATCCTTAGAGAGGGACATCCTGTTTGGAAGGGTGGAGGGAGAGTGCAGAAGATAAAGACCCTGGATGAGATGGATTGAGTCAATGACTGGGGTGATAGAAGTAGGTCTGTCAGAGACAATAATATTGGCTTATGATAGAGCAGGGTTCAGAACTGTTTTATGTAGGATCTCTATGAGTTACAAGCAACTCGACAGCACAGAAAAGCAACAACAGCTGATTTAATATATAATGGTTGTTTGTAATTGTCAAGTGTAATTGTAATTTAATTATATTTATTTTAAAGTATAAATACAGTTTCTTTTTCATTTGAAAGACTGTAATGATATTACCTATCTCTTATTCTATAATACCCCTCCCTTCCTATTTCCCATTTTTTTAATAACTATTTGCTATTTCAGAGAAAAAGGCAGATGGTTAAGACTGTAGGGAGCAAACTGTTTTGCTCATGAGTTTGTTGTCTTTACCTCCTGCAGCTACGAACTCCTGCATCGATGGTGAATTCCATTGTGCATCTGGGCGGTGTATTCCTTCTCAATGGTATTGTGATCAAGACCAAGACTGTGGTGATGGCTCTGATGAACCAGCTAGTTGTGGTAAGAGAGTAAATAAGCCAGTAAGCAAGCATGAAAATCTTCATTTAACTCCTGGCCTTCAGTCTTTTCCAGTAACTCCAAATATGGATTAGAGTCTTGTCTCTTGAATGGTGGCGCTCCCTGCATCGAAGCTGGGATGCTTCAACCACTCAGCTGACATTCAGGGAAGATTCAGTGCACTGTGTGTGTAGATGGCCTTTGAGGATTTTTACAGATAAAATGCTTGTAGCGCATGACATTTGTTGATTTATATGCTTGAAAACTCAATTTTTACTCCCTTCAAATCAAAATTTCGGAATTTGACTTCGTTTTGGCTAATAAAGCTGTGGGAATAGGTTTCGAGGTGTCATGTATCCAGGAAAGGGACACATAGCCTCTTTCTTTTGCTGTAGCAGTTTATAAGGTGAGGTCCTGTGTCCATCTTGCTTCTCATTCTTCTTAATCTTGGAAGTACACTTGGAAGACTTAGCATAGGTGTATGTTGTTGTTGTGTACCATTGAGTCTGAATAGACCTATAGCTCACCCTCCAGTGGGTTTTCAGAGGCTTAAATCACATGGGAGGAGATTGCCTATCCGTGTCCTGCAGAGCAGCTGGCAAATTCGAACCTCGCGCCTTTGGGATTGCAGTGCAGCAGCCCATGCTGTAATAGACCTCTGTCAAGGGTTCTGTGGTGCTAACAGTCTTTTTCAGTGTTTCAGTGGTTTTTATCTTTTTATAGTGTACTATGAGCCAACATGCTCCAGTCTACAGTTCCAGTGTGATAATAGAAGATGCATCTTTAGGAGCTGGATCTGCGATGGTGACAATGACTGTGGGGATATGAGTGATGAGGATGAAAGGCATAACTGTCGTAAGTGAAGCTAATTAAGTCTTCTAATGAGTCATGTTTCGGTGGAACATTGTAGGGTTGTTTTCCTGGTTGGGACAGTATGATGTTCAGGCAGATTTCTCTTTAATTGAAAGCACATTGGCCAAATGTTGCCTTTATTTTTCTGTATGGAATTGCTTGCTATTGCCAAATTGATATTTACTTGCATTTAACGAATAGCAATAATATCTAATGGATAAAACGAATTCTGCTGAGTTGTTTTTTTCCCCTGGGTTAATTACTGGTACTTATTAAGAAGCTATGTAACAGTTGTCTGTCTTCCAATCCCTTCTGTTACCTTGGAGCTGCTATTTAGGGGACATTCCTTTTAATTGAATTCTCAAGCATTATTGTCAATTAGTAATAATGCGTGGAATCCTTAGCTAAGTACCCTGGAAGATTCCCTTTTCGTGATAGAACAATGGGTCCATGATGTTCCCTGTTGATCTCACGTCAGTGAGGTGAGCAGTTGCTCTCTATGTACTCTACCCTGATATGGATGGTCCGGTAGTTCCACATGCATGAATCGTTACGTTACTTTCCTCCAACTTCTCTTAGCAAGACTTTCCTCCTCCTTATTTAGTCTCCTTTTCACCCCAAATGTGATCAGATAAAATACCTGTGTGTGCTGATGCTGGTATATCTGCCCTCATCTTTTTTCTCAGAATAGTAGCTTTAGTAGAGTTATAAAAGCACTAATTTGAAGGCGGGGGGGGGGGGGGGGGGTTGGAAGTCCAGGCTCTTTCTCTTTATAGTTTGCATAAATGGCATTAAAATACCCATCTACACAGATATTTATGTGATCACACTTTGTAAAATAAACACAAATTTTTCTGGCCCAGGTAACAACGCTCTTGTTGTTGTGTGCTGTTGAGTCTGAAAGCAGACCCGCCAGGAGGATTTTCAGAGGCATTAAATTGCATGAGAGGCTGTTGCCCATCTTTCTCTCACACTAGTTTACAATGGGAGTGGTCATCTAAAGATGTAAAGGGAAAGAAGTAAAATGATGGAGGAATGTCTTATTGTGTACTCTGAAATATTCAATACCCAAAGCAGTTACAATGGAATTTGTGTTATGGTTTGTGATTGCCGAGGCACCACATGCTGTTTGTTTTCCTTCTGTTTCCTTTTTCTGCTCAGAATATATCCTAAAGCAAGAGAAAAGAAACTGTGCAGAGTGAATACATTCTCCTATGACCTTTGAGTCTCCTGTGTTTGGTTTCAGAGAATCATACCTGCTCAAGTCACGAATTTCAATGTGTAAGCAGGGCATATCCTGCCAGGACTTGCATTCCTCGGACTTGGGTCTGTGATGGTGATGCGGATTGTGTTGATGCCTCTGATGAGCTGCAGAATTGCCCCAGGAGGTCTTGCTCTGCAAATGAATTCGTCTGTAATAATGGACTCTGTATCGAAAGCTCATACAGGTGACTTAAAGACTAACTGTTCATTTGGCACAGCAGGGTCTGCAGTTGTTTAGTAGTCTGTGGGAAGGTTTGAGTATTTTAAAATTGGAAGAATAAAGAACTTTCAGGTCAAAGAAAGTGATTTAGTAGATATTAGTTTGTCTTCCTTTGTAACAGTGCATATAGCATCTCTCTCTCTCTCTCTCTCTCTCTCACACACACACACACACACACACACACACACACACACACGAGAGAGAGAGAGAGCGGCTCCATGAAATCCAGAGTGCCCAGAGCCCCTGAAAGGCTAGTAGGGAGAGAGATGAATGCAGTGGACTCAAGATAAGAAGGTGCTTTCTTTAAGCAGGAGAGCATCTTAGCATCCCATTTGAAGTAGTCATGTGTACAAAAAATGTTTTCCTTTTTTTTTCTTGTTTGGTAGAACACTTGATCTTCTTTTGGGTACAGTGTGGTCCAGGGGATCATTTTTCCTATTGATTTTTTTATGTTGGCTCATTACTGATGCAGCTGACCAGCCTGTGAGATACTAGTGCACATGTATCTAAAAATGTGGTGGTTTCTTGCTTCCACTTGGTTTGGATCTCAACCAAGGAAAGAAAGGCGCTGGTGTGACAAATCATGTTGAAGACCCAATGAGGCTTAACCAGCTGGCTTTCACAGCTTTTCTTAGTTACATGTTGTTAGAAATCAGTGTCCTGAGTTTGCAGGTGGCAGTGCTGGGTGTGGTATATATGACCACATTTAACTCTGATGCTTTCGTCACCAACATCTGTATGGTAAATTGTTTTACAAATTGTCCAACATCAGTCTTGCCTACCCTGCTCTTTGTTTGATCGTGGGATAATAAAGAGATGAATATCTAGTTTGACTTAATAAAATTTCAGAAAATGTTTTTGTCTTAATTAAGCTTGGGAATGTAACTCCCAAGATAGTGTGTGTTGTTGTTGTTGTTAGGTTCTGTAGAGTCTGGCTCTGACTCACAGTGACCCTATGCTTAACACATATCTCACTAAGATTTCTTTTTGTCCATAGTATTAAATGATAGTAAGCAAAAAAGTTTCTGTAAACTATTAGATGTCATTTAGTCTTGCTTAGCTAACATGGTCACTGGACAGTCAATGCTTATGGGAACCAGTAAGGAGGGGCACATATTCCAATTTTTCTGTTACTGTTGTTATATCAGTTCCACTTTGGTGCCTGCCAATTCCATGTACAACAGAACATCTCTTTCTCCCATAGAATGGCTGATAGAATTGAACCATCAACCTTCAAGTTAAAGAGTCAGCACCAACCCACTAGGGTTCCTCAAGATTAAATAAAATTATAAATATATGCTGAGGAAATTCTGTTTCCAGACAATATTCCAGAGAATTGAATTCTTTTGAGTAGCTCTATACTAGATTTTCCAATCATAGCAAATAGAATCCTGAGATGTTGTTTGGAGTACTATGTATTGATTCTTATAAAGCTGGAGATTGCTGGGATGGAAAGAGATGCTAAGGGAAGACTGAAGGATCATATTATTGAAATGACTGAGTCTGTGTGTCAATTGAGGAGAAAGAGAGAAAGCCCTGCAAGGGTCTTTAATAATTGAGACTTGTCGACTTCTCCAAACACAGTACTGGGTCTCATTACACAGGTGTGACCGACGCGATGACTGTGGTGACTTAAGTGATGAGAGAAACTGCACCTACTCAACTTGCTCTGCTTATCAGTTCACCTGTCAGAACGCGATCTGCATTAGTAAGACCTACGTCTGTGATGGGGAGAATGACTGTGGAGATGACTCTGATGAGCTAGAGCATCTGTGTAGGACCCCAGAAGCCACGTGCCCCCCGAATGAGTTCAAGTGTGACAATGGGAACTGTATTGAGGCGGTGAAAGTTTGCAACCATCTACCTGATTGTAGTGATAACAGTGATGAAAAAGGATGTGGTGAGTGTACCAGCGGCAAGGAATCGTAATGGGGGGAAGCAGAATGCTCAGTACTTACAGACTATTAAAAATTGCTAGAAAATTAAGATTGCTTGCTAATCAGAAAACAAGCACTCCTTGGTAAGTAAGGCAGCTATACAAACATTGTGGTCTAGTTTGTCTCATAGAAGGTCATTTCAAGTCCTCTGATCACTGTCTTTTATCTACAGGCATTAATGAGTGCAATGACCCTTCGATCAGTGGTTGTGATCACAACTGCACAGACACCCAAACCAGTTTCTACTGTTCTTGTATGCCTGGTTACAAGCTTATGTCTGACCACCGGACTTGTGATGACATTGATGAATGCAAGGAGACGCCTTTTGTCTGTAGTCAGAAGTGTGAGAACATAGTGGGCTCCTACATCTGTAAATGTGCCTCAGGCTACATTCGTGAACCAGATGGAAGGACTTGCCGGCAGAACAGTAACATTGAACCCTATCTCATTTTTAGCAACCTTTATTATTTGAGAAAGCTGAGTGTAGATGGCAAAGATTACTCTCTCATTTTGCAAGGACTAGTCAGTGCTATGTCACTGGATTTTGACCGGGTTGAAAACAAATTGTACTGGGCTGGTAATGACAGAAAGATCCAGAGTGTATTTCTGAATGGAACAAACCAAGAGGTGGTCCTAAACCGTGGTTTATCATCTGTACAAGGTCTGGCTGTAGACTGGGTTACAAGGTAAGAAAATAGTGATTGTAAAATCTATCTTTTTGGGAATATAATGGATGCTTTTGCTTATTTTTTTTCCCCTGCTGTGTACCTAATAACTCAATTGGGGTATCACAGAACCTTATAGATAATGATTTTAAGAGAGTTTAAGGTTACATGTATTATGGGGAAAGGTATCCCAAGGAAAGAAAAGAACTCTGCTATTGCTGGCCAGTCAGCTAACTGGTGATAAAAGTGATTGTTGATGCATTCTGTCATTTAAAAAAAATTGAGTACCTTCTGTGTGACAGGTAATATGCTGGGCAGTTTCACTGGTGCACTTAGACGAGTCTGCTTTTTCTGCTTCACACACAATTTGGTGGGTGGAAGAAGGAGATAAAGGAAATGGGAAATATCTAGCAGGGACCTGAAAAGACAGGGTAATGATGGGCATAGTCCAATGGTGTTTAATTTTATAAAATATAATGCATGGGAATAATAGCATGGATCACAAAATGAATGAAAAACAGTGTGAAATACAATGTATACAAACTTTGTAAGCAAACCAACATAAAATAAAAATAAAAGTTAAACACACACACACACACACACAACACAGACACACACCATTACCCTGGTTGCTTTGCCTTCTTTCCTGTCTAGTGGAAGGAACCCCCTTATGCTTCGTGAAGAAAATATAACTAGTCTCTTGGTGACATATACCCCTGCACTTTTTGTTTTCCTTTTCTCTTACTTGCCCACGGAAAAATGCTTTCTGTCAGCTTTATATGTGGTTTCCAGATAACTAGGGAAGGAAATCTTAATAAAGATTTAATAAAATCTTAATAAAGGAAATCATAGATAAATATGCACTGTTTTCCAGCAAAATTACTGTATCACTAATTTGAGTAACACTCAATTTCTATTTTAGAAAACTCTATTGGTTGGATAGTGTACTGAATGGACTCTTTGTCGCTGATCTCCGAGGCCATCTCCATCGCAAGCTGGCTGAGCACTGCGTGGACATCAACAACACTTTCTGCTTTGAACGTCCCCGAGGAATTGTCCTTCACCCAAAATATGGGTATTGTCTCCTAGTAATGTTTTATGTCTTTATTATGCCTCTGTTACCAAAAAGGTCATTCATGTAATTATCCCTGTTGAAGTTGCCTGCGACTCATAGCAACCCTGTATACAACAGACCTATAACCTGCTTTATCCTGTGCTAATCTCACTCTCTTTGATAAACCCATCCCCTTTACCCCGGTCACTGAATCAATCCATCTCATAGAGGGTCTTCCTCTCCTGTGCTGCCCCTTTATCCTCCCAAGCATGACTTCCCTCTCCAAGTAATTGCAACATGTCCAAAGTATCCCAGATCCATTATATTTTTCTACCTACTAAATGGTTTAGCATGATTTATTAGTTTTTCTATTTTTCTTTTCTACAACACGATACTTTCCAAGTCACATGTTTCAGCTCCATGCAAAGAAAATTGTGATGATAATTTCTTGACTAGACTCTCTGTGGCACATCCACTAGAATGTATGATTAGTTGTGCTTAATTTTAAGCACGGTCTAAGTATCATCTTCTTTTTTCTCTTGACTTTTTTTCCTCTTTGTTGTTTTTAGGTGGTATCAAGTTGAGTATGACTGATAGATAGCAAACCTAAGAACAACAGATCTGGACTCTGTCCTATCTTGTGCCATGATCACAATCTCTGACACCCTCAATCCCGTTGCTGCTGTCATTATGTCAGTCCACTTGGTTAAGAATCTTCTCTTTTGCTGCCCCTCCCTACTCCCAAGTATGATGTGCCGGTCCAAGAAATAACCTCTTCTAGCAACATGCCCAAAGTGCGTGATTTTCCCAGTGCAATATATCTCCTGTCTGCTGTCACCAAGTATTGATTGTAGATCCAAAGAAGAGGAAGTATTCTCAATCTTTTCTCCATCTATCATGATGTTACCTATTGGTATAGTGGCTAGGATTTTTGTTTTCTTGATGTTGAGATGCAATCTATATTGAAGGCTGCAGTCGCAGCAAGTGCTTCAAGTCTTCCACACTTTCATCAGGCAAGGTTATGTCATCTGCATAATGAATGTTATTAATGAGTCTTCCTCCAATCTTGATGCCACATTCTTCTTCATAGAGCCTAGCTTCTCAAATAATCTTCTCATCATATAGATTAAATAGTTATAGAGAAAGGATAAAACCCTAACAGATACCTTTCCTTATTTTAAACCATGCAGTGTTTTCTTGCTTCACTCACACAATAGCCTCTTGGTCTAGGTTATGTATTTCACATGAACACAATTAAGGATTCTGAGATTCAAATTATTCTCAATGTAAGCCATAATTTGTTATGGTCCATACAGTGAAATGCCTTTGCATAGTCAAGAAAGCACGAATAGACATTCTTCTGGTAGTCTTTACTTTCCACCAGGATCCATCTGACAGCAGCAATGATATTCCTGATGCCACAGCCTCTTCTAATCCACCTTGGATGTCTGGAAGTTTTCTGTCTATGTATTGTTTTATTTGTGTGGTTTTTAAAAAATGATCTTCAGCAATATTTTGCGTGTATGTGATGTTAATGATATTATTATAATTTTCACATTCCACTGGATCACCTCTCTTGGGAATGGGAATAAACATGGATCTCTTCCAATCAGTTGGCCAGGCAGCTATCTGCCAAATTTCCTGGCATTGGACTCTTTCCTCTTTGAGAGGCTCTATATACTCTCTTCATGGAGAAGGACTATATTTTTTTGGCTACTAAATCCTTTTGGCTTCAGGAACTAACTTTGTGCTTGTTCCAACAGATATGTCTACTGGACAGACTGGGGTACCCGTGCATACATCGGAAGAGTAGGCATGGATGGAAACAATAAGTCTGTGATTATCTCTACCAAGATACAGTGGCCCAATGGCATCACCATTGACTACACTAATGATAATCTCTACTGGGCAGATGCCCACCTGGGTTATATCGAGTATGTACATATCAGAGTTTAAAATAACTGAGAAATTCTTTATTTCAGACATCTGGGCTTGAGTCTCGTGTAGCTCCTTCTGACCTGTGGTGGAAGTTACTCTGAGAGCGTTGCAAACTAAAACTGTTGGTGGCCTCATGGGTAAGGTGTTGCACTGCCAACACAAAGGCAGGTGGTTGGAATCCAGTAGCTACTTTGTGGGAGATAATCTCCTCCCGTGTGATTTCCAGCCCCTGAAAACCGACTGGAGTTGGTTCAGATTCAACAGCAATGAATTTTTTGGTGAACAGTTGGTGGAACTTTGTGATATGTTAAAGTAGGAAAAACAAGTCATACATCCTAGGGTTTGTGGTACTATCCTTCCCCCCTCGTCTAGAAAATGGTGTTATAATACCTGTTTAGTGCTCATTGCATACTAATTTCCTCATCTCTTCACTTTCTCCTTAATGTGAACTGTAGAATTAATGGATTTGTATATTTGAAAGACGAAATTACTGAAAAGCTTTAAGTAGGTGTAATTTTCATTGAAATGTGTATTAGATATCATACCATTTAATGAGATGTGTAATACTCATTGTAGAAAGGGAGCTCTGGTGGCCTAGTCTTTAGGGAGTTGTGCTGCTCACCCAATCCACCAGTAACTCCTGGGGAGAAAGATAGGAAATCTTCCGATGCAATGTACTACTTTGGAATCCTGATGGAGGGTTAGCTATGAGTCGGTTTCAACTCAATCACAACTAGTTGGTTTTGGTTTTGAGCATTGTACAAAAAGCTTACCAATATGTGGATATTTTGTGGCACTGATAGTTCTGGCCTGATTAAAACCGACCCTTCAGGTCTATAGCTTTAACTCTGCTAGATATCCCCTCAGGTTATACTCAGAACCCAGCTGTCTCCTTGAAGAACCTCTCTACGAATATGTTCACAGGTAGACAGAGTTTTGTTACATAGTGGTATTTCTTACTTCTTCTAGTGACTTGTTTGCCATGTTAAAATGCTTTTCACAGAATACCAAAAGGATGTTTTTAATGGAGTAGGTGAGTATAAGAGGTTATAAATATTTCAGCACATCTACCAGAAAACAGAATTACATCTAAATCTGGTCTCTGGAAGTTGAGGTTCACATCTTAGTCCTTTCTTTGCAACTTACAAAAGGATGCATCTATCTTTAAACCTTGTAGTCTTAAGAACAGACTAGGGGGGAATCTGAACTTCCATCCCCAGTGTTTTTGGTAATGGTACATCTAGTCTCGTGCATCCAATGCCTAGTGAACTCCTGTGACAGATTAGAATTCCCTCATAGGGTTCCCCAGGCTGTGATTGCACTGAGCCAACAGAGGATTAAAACCACCAACCTTTTGGTTAGCAGGATGCAAATAACCTTCAGTTATTCCTCTGGTTATTGTTGTGTGCCATCTGTTTTCTGCCTTATAAGGTTTCCAAGGCTGTAAATTTTAGTTGGAACAGACTGACATGGCCTTCTTCAGAGTGACTGGTGGGTTGAATGACTGTCCTTTTGGTTAGCAGCACCGCCTTTCTGTTTCCAGGACTCCCTGTAGAAATTTCACTGAGTTGTTACTCCATTTATCTGTAAAGATGCTGGAGGAGCGGAGTTATCTTTTGCATGGAATGATTCGTCTCCTCCTCCCCAGGTACTCTGATTTGGAAGGCCACCATCGGCACATCGTGTATGACGGAACACTCTCACATCCTTTTGCTATTACCATTTTTGAAGATATTATTTATTGGACAGATTGGAATACCAAGTCAATTGAAAAAGGAAACAAATATGATGGATCAAATAGGGTACGGCTTGTTAACATAACACACAGACCATTCGACATCCATGTGTATCATCCATACAGGCAGCCGTATGGTGAGTTTGTCAAGTTTTATGTTATCCTTGTATTCATGTATTTCATGACATATGAAGGATGTGGTATGACTTCCTGTTATCTGTAAAGCTGATGATCATTACAAAGACAGAGCAGAAAGAAAACACCCAGAATGGATGTCAAAAGAGACTGAAAATTGTACTAGAGTATTGAGAAGGGAAGACATACTGAAGTAAAAGAGCTGAACAGAAGATTTCAAAGGGAAGCTTGAGAAGACAAAGCAAAGTACTAGAACGGAGTATGCAGAAAGCTGGAATTGGAGAATAAAAAGGGAAGAAATTGCTCAGCATTTATCAGACTGAAAGAACTGAAAACTTAGAGATGCTAGAAGTAAAATCTTGAATGTTCTAGGAAGTGTCAAAAGGAGATGGAGGGAATACACAGAGTCACTGTACCAGTAAGAATTGCTTGACTATGAAATATTCCAGGAAGTTATCATATGATCAAGATCCAAAGGTAAAAAAGAAGGAAATTCAAGCTGCACTGAAGGTATTGGCAAAAAAGGAAGGCTCCAGGGTCGGCAAAGGAGATGAAGCCTCTCAACCAGACAGATTTAGGTAGATTGACACCGTGCCTATAACATTGGGTTCACATGTGGCAGAGATGAAGAAGATCACACAGGACAGGACAGGGTTCAGATCTGTCATTTATATGGTCACTGAGTCACAGTTACATAAGTCATACTTACTAACAACTACAACATGGTGAAAACTAAGGATATAATATAGGATATAATATTTCTTTACCAGCTAGGAATGGTATTTGAAATATCTGATTTAGTAGTTCTTATGTCACTCTATTTACTTCACCTGTTTTGGTGGGAACGTTGAAGTATTTTTAAATGACATTTAAAATGTGAAATTGGTATTTGAAATGTGGTACTTCAGAAAACGTTGAGGAAGAATATGAACATTTTCCCTCTAACCTGTAATGCTGTAGTAAGTGACTAGCTAATCTATGCTTGATATTCTTTTTAAGCAAATGAACGTATTTTACTCCTTTTCCACTAGTGAATAATCCCTGTGATGTCAACAATGGTGGTTGTTCTCACCTGTGCCTCATCAAGGCAGGAGGCCAAGGATTCACCTGTGAATGTCCAGATGACTTCCAGACTCTCAACCTGGGTGGGACTACCCGCTGCCTGCCTATGTGCTCTAGTACCCAGTTCCTATGTGCTGACCGTGAAAGGTAAAGCTCTCTCCTTTCTCTTCTTAGAGTGGCTCTATTACTTGAAATACTTTAGACTTCAAGGTCTCAGGAGGTAGTGGGTTTTATAATTTTGAGTACCAAGAGTACCAGGTTCCAACATCATATAATTCCCTCCATGTATATAAGGGATTTATTAACTCTTCTTCCTAGATATGCATGTTTTATAGTTTTATATCTGTGGTGAGGAAGGAACCTATATATTATTTCTAGAAAATTTTCTTAAATGTCACAGTTCGACCTCATATTGAAAAGTAGCTATCAGGCATTAATGTTATATATATATATATATATTGAATACAGGGCTTTGATTTTTAGTCATTTGTTATGATTCTCATGAATTTAAGCATGGCCTTAGATTGGTTCCCTAGAAAAAGGCCATTGCCATTGATGACAAGAAAGTGAAATAATAGAGGCTTTAATACATATAAGGCTCATTTATCTCCTGTGAGAAATTAAACGAAGGGTTTTGACTGTGTTGATCATAACAAACTGTGGCTGACTCTGAGAAGAATGGGATTCCCAGAACACTTGATCGTTCTAATGCGAAACTTATACAAGAGGCAGTCGTCAGAATAGAGCAAGGAAACACTGCATGGTTCAAAATTGGGAAGGGCGTACACCAGGGATGTGTCCTGTCTCCATACCTTTTCAATCTGTATGCAGAACAGATCATCGGGGAGGCAGGGCTCTATGAGGAGAAGTGTGGCGTCAGGATTGGTGGAACAATCTGTGTTATGCAGATAACTCAGCCCTGCTTGTTGAAACTGAGGAGGACCTGAAGCGCTTGCTGCAGAGGGTCAAGGACTGCAGCCTTTAGTATGGATTGAGGCTCAATATCAAGAAGACAAAGATTCTCACCACTGGACCAATTGGTAGCATCAGGATGGATGGTGAAGAGATTGAGATTGTTTACAGCTGTAGTTTGCTTGGATCCACAATCAACACTCTTGGCACCAGCAGCCAGGAAATTAAAAGGCGTATTGACATGGGAAAGTCTGCTGTTAGGGACCTCTCCAAAGTACTGAAGAGCAATGGTGTTTCTCTGGAGACTAAGGTGCATTGGATACAGGCCATGGTCTTTGCAATTACTTGTTATGCTTCAGAGAGACAATGGCTAGGGAGGATAAAAGGAGAATTGATGACTTTGAGCTGTGGTGCTGGAGAAGAGTATTGAGTGTACCATGGACTGCTAAGAAAACAGATTCATCCTGGAAAGGGTTAAACTGGGCTGTTTCTTGGAGGCAAGGATTCTGAGGCTTCGTCTTACGTACTTTGGACATGTTGTAAGGTGGGACAGGTCCTTGGAGAGGGACATCATGCTTGGGAGGGTGGAGGGATGGTGCAGGAGGGGAAGACCCTCTATGAGGTGGATTGATTTAGTGACTGGGGTAATGGGGATGGGAGTGTCAGAGGCAGTGCAATTGGCACAGGACATAGCACAGTTTAGGGCTGTTGTACATAGGGTCGCTATGAGTCACAAGTGACTCGACAGCACATAACAACAATAACAACGACAACAGAAACATCCACCTCCTTGGATTTTATACACTCTTGTAGATTGTTAATTGCTGCTGTTGGAACCACAGCTCAGAACACATATACCAGTGTTTGTCAGAGTAGGAATGTAATCATCTTGCCCAAGTTCTATTTTTAGCATATATATATGTCTTAACAGACCTGGTCTAGTCTGGTTATGTTTCTCCTGAAACTAGACAGTACTCCATTAATCCTCTTCTGGGAACACAAGAGCACGCCCCTATGCTAAGGTTAAGCCTTCTCTCCAGACAACCATGATTCCCTTCTATAGCTCTATTTTTTTTTTTAATGCAGTTGTATACCTATCTGGTGGAAATGTGATGGACAGAAAGACTGTGCAGATGGCTCTGACGAATCGCCTCTTTGTCCACCGCGCTACTGTCTTTTGGGACAGTTCCAGTGTAGTGATGGCAATTGCACCAGCTCCAACAATTTATGCAACACTGAGAATGACTGCCCTGATGGGTCTGATGAAGACCTTGTTCTTTGTGGTGTGTTGGGTTGATTTACATGCGTTTTCTTCTCTCTTTTTCCTCTTTCTTTAATAAACAGGTGGAATTCTGTGGGGATTTTTGAAAGTTATTAACCAAAAGCTGGTCAGAGGCCAGGGGTATAACATGGCGGCTGCTATCTTACAGGCTAGCAGTTCACATCTGTGAGCCCCTCCTGTAATGGGCAGTTGTCATCATTTGGAGAGGAAAAATTTACAGCCTCAGAAAGCTGATGGATGGCTAGTATGAGACAGAATCAATTTAATGGGGGATTTTTTTGGTACCATGGCAAATATGTATGAAGCAGATAGTATCAATGGTATTACTAATAGTATCAATGATATTACTAAAAGCAGAGAATACTTTTGAAGAGGTAACAATGGAGTTAAATGAAATTTCTCCATCTTCATTTGAAACAAAGACTGGCATTTGTTATATTTATTTGTGTTTCCATAAAAAAAAGACAAAAATAACAACAGCAAAATACGGTTTTAAAACCATGGTCCAATAGGAAACAGGGATAAGCAAAGGTGAAGTTAACAAACTATAAGCTATTCAAGCCTTATCTCCTGATTATGCATTAAAAAGAAAATTAAGGATATAGGAGACAATAATAGTAGTTGCAGTTAAGTCCATCAGGATATATGGTCCAGTTCCTCAGGATCCATCAGTGTAAATTGGGGGTTTTGTTGTTGATACCCTGTAAGCTGATGGCTAGGTGCTCCTGCTTACAGAGAACCACCGGTGTTCGTCCAGTCAATGGCAGTGTGCCAACAAGCGTTGCATCCCACAGTCCCATCTGTGTGACTCGGAGAATGACTGCAGAGACAACTCTGATGAAGACAGTGCCCTCTGTGCCGCCAGGACCTGCCTTCCGGGCGAGTTCAAATGTGATAATAACCGCTGCATCCCTCAGTCTTGGAAGTGTGATTTTGATAACGACTGTGGGGACTATTCAGATGAGCCCTTCCATGAATGCAGTAAGTTTCAGTTACTTCAGGGGATCTCATTGTGAGAAGGCTATGCACCTGCCCTTTTTCTGCCCCCCATGGGGATCTCCCTCTGGGTTCCCCTTGCTGACTGTGGCAAAGTATGGCAAAATGTAGCTCTAGCGTATGCCAATACCTTCTTCTGAGACGCTGCATGTCTCATCACCAGACATATATAAGGTTCTTGCTTTTATTTGTGGTTAAGAGAAGCATTGTGTAGTCAGGATGGTGCGTTTTACCAATTCCATTTTATAGAGAAAGAAACTTAGCAACAAGGTAAGTGGGTGGTCGCACTGCTATCTAAAGGCAGAGCTGACATATCGACCCAGTTTCACAAAATTATATCAAGGCCACAGGATTCTACTGCATCACACATGCCTGATTTTAAGATAGTGCGAACAGATCTACCCTACACAAGACACGCACTACTAGAGCCAGTTTAGTTGTGGTATGGGAATTGCTACTCAACACTTTGTTAATGGAAAGTGTGGAAAGACAGCTACCAGTGAAACATGAAATTTAGTTTCTGACTTTACTGCCTCCTCTCTTTTCAGTGGGACCTTCATATCGCTGTGACAACTACACAGAATTCAGCTGTAGAACCAACTACCGCTGCATCCCCAAATGGGCAGTGTGCAACGGTTATGATGACTGCAGGGACAACAGTGATGAAGACAGCTGTGGTAAGACAAGCCCAGGGGAATGATGGGAATGGCTGGGGCTGGGGCCACTTTAGATGAAAGAACTGAAGTGTTTTCAGACTCATTGCCATTGAGTGAGAACTAATCCCTAAGTGACCATCTTGTGGGTTTTCAGACACTGTAAGTTGTAAAGAGAAGCTGGTGGATTCAAACCATGTGCCTTTGGGTTGGCAGTGTAGCTCGTTACCACTAGAAAGTTAGGTGCCACCATTAGGATCTGAGAGTATATAGTCCATGGCCCTCTGTTTATCTAAGAGCCGTCAGCTGATTCTTCTAATAACATATTCATCTCTTGACAGAATTTCCTTTGTAGTCTTTTAAATTAAATCCTATTCCAAAAGATGGCTATAATGGAGGAAAAATTATTAAAACTATTGAATTCTAATTCATAACTGACAATTTCCATTGCTTTATTCCATAGGTTTACATGTATGGGAAAAAAGAGATTCACTTTCTCTAAAATGAATATTTGTTTGGGAATTTCCATATTCTGGGTATCTTTCTGACTCTCCATATAAGTTATTGATTCACTGACAAAAGACCAAGAGAATGAATAGAATTCCTCATGATTAGGCATGTTTTCTGTGTAGTACATTCTGTGGTCAAACATTTGATTACTAGCCGAAGGCACCTGCTTTATCTTGTTGTTGTATGCTGTTGAGTTGGAACCGTCCTATAGCTGACCCTCCAGTGAGTTTTCAGAGGCAGTAAATAGTACAGGGGAAGATTGCCCATCGTTCTCCAGGAGAGACACTGGTGGATTCAAATCCGTGCTTTTGGAATTGCCATGCAGCTTCTTAGCACTAGGCCACCAGAGGGCCTTCCTCGTTCACCTGCGGAGACAGAAAGGCAATTTGCTTTTGAAAGGTGACAGCCTATAAAACCCTCTGGAACAGTGCTTGTTTACATACATGAGGTCATCATAAGTGATTCTACAGCAATCAGCAGCAACAAGGCATCTCTGACAACACTGAGATAACACAGTGTGTGTGTGTGTGTGTGTGTGTGTGTGTGTGTGTGTGTGTGTTTTGGGTGTTATGTATTGGAAAACTGATAAGAAAGATGATGAGCTTTTAACACCACAAAGTCTAATTGCCTAAAGATCAAAAAGTCAAAGTCACTGCTTTGTCAGAACTGACGCGTAGGTGATCCTCCAGTGTGTTTTTGGAAGCTGTAAGTTGCATGAGGGGAGATTGTTCATTTTTCTTCCATGGAGCCACTAGTGGATTAGATTCTATTTGCTAGTGGCATCATTTTAGTCTTTGTTAATATTTTTTCCCCCTTAAATACCAAGCCAGATGCCAGTTTAGTTTTTTTTTTTAAACAGTTTATATAAAAGGAAACATATCTAAGCAGCAGGACAATTTCAGAATGAACAGAAAAGTAGCATATTGACAGTGCATATTGCAAGCATGTTCTAACACCTTTATCTTCTAGTAGCATCATTCTCAGACTGTCTCACAGGGAAGCAATTTGTTGGCCATTGTCTCATGCAGTCTTTTTATTAATAACTGTGCTTTGCAGAGACAATGACATGCAATCCAGTGGGGCAGTTCCGCTGTAATAATCACCGCTGCATCCCTCTTCGTTGGAAATGTGATGGGCAAAATGACTGTGGAGACCATTCGGATGAGGAAAGATGTGGTGAGTTTTAGCAGCATTCTGTTATCTTTATGTCCACCAGAACTTCCATGGTTGTTCTTTGTCCATGATTCAACTGCTTACTTCATTCTTCTTAAATGGTAGAATGGGGAGAGCTGTCTGATCTCTTACTTTCTGTGTTTGGTATATTTTTATTACTTATTTAAAAATTTCTTATTTTCTTCTTAAATTTTTATTTCTTTATTATTTCTTAATGTCTTTCTTCCCCTGATCTGGAGCACACTTTTATTGTTTAGTGATTTCCTTTTTTTAAAAATTTTATACTGGTTTACATACAAAGTTCCTAAAATTTGTACACATTGTTTTTCACATCTTATCTCTTATCTTATCTTATCTTATCTTTACCCATCCATCTCTCCAATTTTTTAAATTTCTTGACTATTTCTTAATTTCTTTTGAGATATTTGTATATTCAAGTTTTGGGTGGGTACTTGCTAAAGCTTATCTTTATCTGTTCTATTTATTTCATTATTTCGTACAAATGAAAGCAACCTAAAGGACAAAAGATGAGTAGAAATAAATCAGGATCTAGAGAAGAAAAGCAAAGAAAGATGCTACAGCAAAACCACTGCTCTTCCTCTAGGATGGCCTTCATCATTCTCTCACTCATGCACTCATCCAATCATTGCTCTCGAGTCAGACTTGACTCATAGCTGACCCTTCTTTGGGTTTCCAAGGTTGTAAATTGCATGGGAGATTGTCCATCCTTCTCATGAGTATCTGCTATGGATTAGCGCTACCAGAAAAACAAAGCCTTTAAGTTATCACGGGAACTTCCCTACAGAACAGGGCCACTAGAATTCCAAGGGCCTTATAGTAAAAGAAGAAGGGTTTCCTTTTTACTAAGTGCTAGCAGGGGCAATAGTGGTTTCAGGTTTCAGTGGTACAATTCTCTACTTTTATGGAGAGACCTGGGTACATCCTAGCCAATGTACGTCATGTGCAACAGCATTGCATTGGTTGCTAGTGTGTTGCTATGATGATAAATTGGTTTTAACTACTTCTAGAAAAGGTAAGAAGAAAATCTTGATGATATATTTATGAAAATCAGCCAATGAAAACCTTTTGTGTTTCAGTGTTCTGCTCTATAACTCTCATTAGGATGGTGCAGAACTGGGCAGTGCATAATGTTGCAATGACTTGGTGACAGCTAAAAGAACAAACTTAGGTATCTTACTCAGTGAAGGTGCTAACTTAAAAGGTTGGGCAGGGAAGTTGAGAAAAAGAAGACAGAGATCTTTATGGCAAACTTTAAGGAACCACTTTGCACTTATGTCCATGATTAATGATATAGGTCGATTTTTAACTGGCTGATTATGATACACTCTCTGGGTAATTGAAAAATTTACAATGTCTATTATCTGTGCAAATATTAATGAGCTAAACCTTTTTATACAAAAGAAGGGTCCAGTGGGCATTTTATTTATTTTAAAATATTAATCTTATTCCATAGTAGGTTAACTAGAGTTTCATGAAATGAAAAATTATCATCACAAGATTAAATTACTTTGACTTTACAAACTTAAAATTGAAGTAGAAAGGTAGACAGTCTGCCACAGCAGACCTCTGGGATGGAGGGGGGAGGAGGACATTGGGTACAGAGGTCACTTTGGTCTGTTTCTTGTGTGTATGAATCCTTTTGCCCTGATGGCCACGTGACTTTCCTTTTCAGTCCCCCGGGAGTGCACAGAGAGCGAGTTTAGATGTGACAATCAGCGCTGCATTCCTTCTCTGTGGATCTGTGACCATGACAACGACTGTGGGGACAACTCAGATGAGCGGGACTGTGGTAACTTGAGAATTTTGGGAAAGTTACTAGATACCAGGGCTAGCAGATGTGAAAGAAGTAGGGATTTCAAATTAGGGATTTAAAAAAAAAATTCTTACATTTTAAAAAAATTTCTAGTGATTTTTGTGTAATTCATGTAACATGTATTCATAATGGTACCTTCAGTTCTGCGTTTTCTGTGCTTCTGTCACACAGCAGTTTTGATGAATGATGAAAGGGGAATTTTCAAAGAACCTTTAAAAATTCCATTTTAACTTGGGTGTCAGATTAACTGCATTGGCCTTATAGGAAAAGCTTGATAGAATATTTGTCTTTGTTCTATTCTATAGAATACAGCCTAAGAATATTGTACCTTCTGGCATAGAGGTCAGAATATAAGAATCAGAACTATCAAGTTGAGTACTTTTCATGGACCTTATCAAGTGTTGGGTATGAGAAAAATCAGTGGATATTAAGCTTGGGGAATTCTGACTTTTGAGCAAAGGAACTGCAAGAGGGAATAGGTAGTTCCATCTCTATCTCTTAAATGGAGAGAAGTGTGGATTTAAAAAAATTATTCACTCATTAACCCCAAAATATTAATTTTCTGTGAGCTAGTCACTGAGCATGGGTAGAAATGTTAGAAGTTCTCACTCCATGTAAAACCACCTGTCTAAGAATGATGAGGTCTTTGGGGAATGACTGTCATTTCCCTTCAGAGCTGAAGACCTGCTCTCCTGGACGCTTTCAGTGTGCAAGCGGACACTGTGTGCCTGCAGGGTATAAATGTGATGGATTTGCTGACTGTCTCGATGCCTCTGATGAAGCCACTTGCCGTGAGTCTCTCAATACAGTGGTAACATTGGCCCAAATGAGGAGTATGGAAGTGTAGATCCTACTTCTTCCAAATCACCACTCTTTAGATTATGTAATAATTTTTTATTAGACTTCCACTGATGGGGTCTTAGTCACCCTATCTGTGGATTTCTGAGTAGTCTTTCAAGTGTATTTCATTCACAGTATTTCATGCATAAAATGCACTATCAAAATTGCATGATGTAATATAAAGGCAATATGATCATTCAGGCTTTAGCTTTTATGAATCACTGAATAAACCTTTGTTTGTTGATTATCTATGTTGTCTATTATTAATGATGTGCTTGTTCACATCATGCATTTCAAAGAAACTAGATGAATGTGTGAAGGATGAAGCCCGTCCTTATGTAAGAAGGTCAGAATTCAGTGCTCCCCAGTAGATGATTTATGCCATTGAAATCGTGAATGTATTTGAGACCTAACTGGTCATCGATAACTCTCCTTAAGAAATAATCCACCAGAGGTGAATACAGGAAAAAGCATGAATTAAAGGAATGATAATAAGGTAGCTTTCCTAAACCAGTACTCACTTTTATAATAATTTTCATATTTCACCTCTCTCCCAACAGCCACTCGCTATCCCAATGGTGCATATTGTGCAGCTACTATGTTTGAATGTAAAAACCATGTTTGTATTCCACCGTCCTGGAAATGTGATGGTCATAATGACTGTGGTGATGATTCTGACGAAGAACTTCACCTGTGTGGTAAGAGGGGGAAGGCAGAGTATGTGAGAATAGGGAACTGTGGCGAAGATCTCACCTGCAGTGTAGAGCTGTCGTTACCTCACAGTTAGTGTATAATTTTTGAGGCCTGTGTTAACACGATCAGCATTGTGATTACACTTGCCCTTCCTTCTTTAGTTTGCTGTAATGTGAAAAAGTTGGGTAAACATCCGTGATTTTTAAATATCTTAGGATATTAGAAAATGATTACTTCAAAACAAATCTTATTAGGACGCCCAGCGTATAATTCAACAGACCTGTTGTGGTTCACATCTGAGCATGGGGGGCCACTTGTCTGCTTCATCTTATTTGAAGTATTTCCTGCTGCAGTCTGTCTTTTCACTCCAGAAAGCTTCCGATTTATTATATTTTCACAGTGGTATCCCAGCTTTTTTCCCCCTTACTAACTCTTGTTATTATTTGTTAGAGCTAACTTTTGTGTTTAACTTGATAAATCTTTAACCTACCATGGAGAGTTCCATTCATGAGATAAAATATCCCTGTGAGTAAACTAAAACATCTATTAGGATAGCTCTCTTAAACAATGCATACTATTTTATAGTGATGTACTTGCAAATAATTTCTGTATTAAGTCTAATATTTTCAAGAACCCTTTTGGAAATGAAGTATAATGATATAGAGAGATATGAACTTTAAATGTAAAGTCAGGAAATTCGTAAAAGTTCATCGCGCCAAAAAAGACCAAATTCTTGAAATTCAGTGACAACTAAAGCTAGAGGGATCAAACAGTGTCCTCTGGGCCATTCAGCTAAGGCCTCATGTCCAAGCCTGCAGACTTCTCTAACCTCCTGGTCACCTCTGTCCTACTCATTCTGCTGCATTCGTATTCATGTACATTGCCTTTTAGTAGGGACCAACTCATAGCTGATCTGCCGGCAGCTTATCAGAGGCTGCACATCACCCTAGGGGAAATTGCCTAGCCTTTCCTTTGGAGCTGCTGGTGGATTTGAACCACCAGAGCAAGATCACCTTTGAATTAGCAATGCTACTCCCTATAGACTACACTACCAGGTCTGCTCTGTGGCTGTGGCCATAGATATCTTTATTGAATTCCAATAACTACCATGCTACCTTCATACTCCTAGAGAGTAGATTCCCTCAGTATGTGCTTTCATAGCATGCTTTTTTTGTGGTTTCTTTTATCGCCGCTGTTATTGAATGACGAATCTGTTTCTGCTAGAATGAGTTCCATGAAGATTATGTCTGTCTTGCTTCTCCTTTGTATTTAGTCTCTGGTGCAATGCAATGGTGTGTGCTCAAGATGATTATTTGAATGAATGAATGAGAGAAGCAGTGGTGTGAGAGTATTTTGGACACTAATATTTATGTTCTCCTTTTAACTTGCTATTTCCCTTTTCCTTCTTTCAGTGAATGTTCCTTGTAACTCAGAATCCCGTTTCCGTTGTGACAACAATCGATGCATTTACAAACACAACCTGTGCAATCATGTGGACGACTGTAGAGACGGAAGTGATGAGAGAGAAGAGCTGTGTAAGCAAAAATAATCAGAAGGGAAAAGGAAAGCTAAGGGCCTCAGATTGTCTCCTTTTTGCAAAGTGTTCTATTAGGATTTCAGTTCTTTTTTATAGAAACTTGGACTATCTTTGTTTAAATGTCTATAAAGCTGTCTTTGCCTTTTTTCCCCAGAAGAAAATAAGAGTAAACATAGAATTTCGTTAGCTTCCTAGACTTTTCTTTCTAAATTTATTACCATGTCACAAATTAATGGTTTATTAGGTGCTGGCCAACCTAGAGTTACTAATTTACAAACCAAGATTATAATAATTATATGTATTTAATATTATTAATAAGTATATATTGGAAGAATAATAGCCTTTCTCAACACCCAGCTGAAAAAAAAAAACATGTTGATAAGTAAGGCAGCATTGATCCTTAGTAGAACTTATTTAGTATACTCCTTTCAACTGAAAATTTTCTAGAAGAAATTAGTTTAAGGTAGGAATTTCAATCTGGCTACATTTCCATTACTTTCAGTATTTTCCCCCCACCTTTTCTTTAAAACTGGCTGCCATTGGATGTAACTGAAACATTTTGCCACTTTTAATTTAGACTCTTCTTGTTTGGGATCTAGATGCAGTTAGATTTTTTTTGTGAATTTAGGGACTTTATTATCTTTCCTTTATGCTTGTATTAACACCCTGAGCTTATCTCTGTCTTCTCTGTCTTGCCAAACACAGGCCAAACACTGCTGCACAAGACAAAGCAAATTGCTAGCACCCTGTTTTCTAACCTTTTTCTCTACATCTACAAACTCAGTAAGCACATGGTCTGCCTTCCACTTTTTCATTGAAAAATGGCTTTGTCCATCTTTCTTGCCTCCAAAAATCAGTTTCCTTATCAGTTGCCTCTTAAGTGTTAAGCCATTGTTCCGTATTTTCTGGTTTTGTTCATGAACTCTTCTATTTTTGGTACCACTTTCTATCATTCAGGGCAAAGTCCCCACATCTCAGTGGCATAACACAGTGAGGATTTATATCTCATAGTCCTCTTCTATCTTATAACTATAGCACTTGGAATATCTACTTCCACGATCGCCCTGGCAGGTTAAGAGATATGGAGGAGGAAAGCAGAGTTTTTACGTGCTTCCGTATAAAAGTGATAAAGTGATTTAGCCAGAATTATTCATATGGTGTCAACCTAATTGCATGGGAAAATGGTATATGTGGGGAAACAAGGGTTGTTTTGGTGAACAGTGACTGTTCCTGTCAGATCTTGTTTCACAAAAGCAAACGTCTTGAGTTTTCCTTTGTTCTTAAATTATAGGTAGGGAGCCAACACCTAGACCTTGTACAGAAGATGAATTTAAGTGTAGCAACGGACATTGTATTCCACAAACCAATGTGTGTGATAATGTTGATGACTGTGGTGACCATTTTGATGAAACGGGTTGCAGTAAGTACTTTTTGTGTGTGTGTATGTGTCATTATTCTGATGCAGATGTACCATACCATGAAGGAGATAATAATCGCATCATTTATTATCCTCTGAACTGTAGTTGAGTTAACCCTGACTTATGGTGACTTCTTGGGGGCCAGAGGAGAACTGTGTTGCATAAGGTTTTGGAGACTTACTTTTCTGGTCACTGGGCCTTTCTTCTGAGGTGTCTCTGGGTGGATTCAATGCTCCAGTCATAAATGTTAACCATTTGCACCTCTCAAAGTTTTCATGCAATAGCTACCTCTTATGGACTGCTCGACACTATGCACTAGAGTATATGAAACAATCTACAGCCGTTATTTCAAATCGTTTTAATAACAACCAGTCCTTTGAGTTAGTTTATATTACTTCTCCCACTGAACCTCCCTTTATTTTATGCAAATGAGAAAGGCTTAGTGATTAGTCTTAATTGGTGGAAACAGGATTTGAGCCCTGGTCTGTCTGTATCCAGGCATAGATAGGATACATGCCAGTTAATCAGATGCTTCTCAGCACCTTGTAACCACATACGATACTTATTAGATTGCCTCCCCCCCTCCATTATTAATAAGCTAAATGCAATATATTTTGGGGAAAAGTTCTTGGATCTGACTTTTGATGTCAAGTAACGATAACTCTGTCCCTCCCTCACTCACTGCCATCTAGTTGAACCAACTCATAGCTGATCCTTCATTAAGTTTTCAGAGGCTGTAAATTGCATGGGAGTAGATTGCCCATCTTTCTTCCACAGAACAGCTGATGGATTTGAACCATCAAAGAGATTCTACCTTTTAGGTTAACAGTGCAATTCCATCAGACCTCCCTCAACTAAGAATATCTGATAAAAATGTCACAAAGAACCTTGAACGGAACATTTGTTTTTATTTCTTAGAAGTAGGGCTTATGTAGGAAAATAATGATTAGTTCAATTGTGTCAGAAAAGAGTGATCAACAATTTGCTACTCATATTATTAGGTAGCTGTCTTCTGCAAGGACTGTAGTCTGCAATACGGACTGAAACTCAGTATCAGGAAAATGAAGTTTCTCACCACCGGGCTAATTGGCAGTATCATGATAGATGGAAAAGAGATTGACATTGCTAATAGTTTGAGCCTGCTTGGTTCCACTATCAACGCTCTTAGCACCAGCAGTCAGGAAATCAAAATACAACTTGTATTGGGGAGACACCCTCTCAGGGACCTCTCCAGAGTGCTAAAGAGCAACAGTGTCAGTCTAGAGACCAAGGTACACCTGAGCCAGGCCATGGTCTTTGCAATTACTTGCTATGCATCAGAGAGCTGGACAGACACTAAGAATGATCAAGAAGAGTCAATGCTTTTGACTTTGGTGTTGGAGAAGAGTATTGAACATACCATGAAATGCCAAGAGAACAAACAGGTCTATCCTGCAAAGGTGAAACCAAGCTGCTCAATGGAGGCAAGGATTTTGAAGCTCTGTCTTCACTCATTCCCTTTTATTAAATTATGGTTTCATTCCCTTAAAGAAGTACAAGTATTAAAGAGGAACATTGTCCCCCCGCTCCTTCTGCATGCATACAGATGCTCTTACCAGTGGATAATAAAATGCATGCTCAGGAAATGTGTGTAGAATAAATATGAATTATTAAGGCATTGCTCAAATGGCTGCATGTATCAGCATGTAAGATCATTCTTTGGGCATGTTTCCAGAAAGAAACAGTCCTTGTAGAAAGATGTCTTGCTTGGAAGGGTGGAGGGACAGTGCAGAAGAGGAAGACTCTGGATGAGATGGATTGACGCAGTAACTGGGGTAATGAGGGTAGGTGTGTCAGAGATAGAGAGACTGGCTCAGGATAGAGTAGGGTGCAGAGCTATTGTATCCTATTGGTCAATAGGAGTCAACTTGATGGCAACAGTATAAGACAATGAGGGACCTATGGTGGGCTAGTGTTGAGAAGCTGAACTGCAATCCTAAAGGCATAGGTTTGAGTCCACCAGCTGCTACGTGGGAGAAAGATGGACAGTTTCCTCCTGTGCAATTAACTGCCTCTGAAAACCCATCTGAGGGTCACAATGGATCGGCTCTGACTCAGTGGTACACAACAGCAATATGACAACCTAAGACTATGAAAATACAAGCAAATCTCTTGTTCCTTTGACCTTCATTAGTTTCTTTTCAGTTGCCCGTGTCAGTTACAAGGCTTAAAACTCACTACAATAATTCTTAGACCATTTAGTTAAAAATAGAGCTTGAGCTAAAAGAAACAAGTGACATGGACAGTAATATGAATGTGGAGGCAGCATCACTTCTCAGATGTTAAGTAGATATATCATGTCGTGCTGCTGTGGGCTAAAACTTTGACTGAGGCATAAAATTGTTATTGAAAATACCAGTTAATGGTGGCCTAGTGGCAAGAAGCTATGCTGCAATTCTGAAGGTGCACAGTTTGAATCCAGCAGATGCTTTGCTGGAGAAGAAGATCCAATTCGAAGGTACACAATAAGAAAAAAAAAAGAGAGAGAAAAAGTACCGGTTGATAGCTGTTGCTAACACACTTGCTGTTTTTTCTTTTCCTGCATCTTTTTTCTTCCTTCTTTTCTTTTCTTCCTCCTCCTCATTGATGTAATTGAAACATATGCTTGATATTTAAAAAAAAAAAATTAAAAGCAGAAGAGACATTCCTGTGTATAGCACTACTGAACTATAAAATGAAGAAATTAACTTCTGTTTTCAGATTTTACCTATATGCAAATAAAGCCCTATTGTCTTGCTGTATGAGAGTTCTGATTCTTAAAATAGAAAATAGTATTATTTCATATGTCTATATTTGAAGAAACCAGTTGTTATGTGGATTAAAATGGAGAGAGAAGTTGCAAGACAGGACTATTTGAGGAAGCCTCCTCCACTTCTAAATGGTTTCTTCTCTTGTGAAGTAGTTCTGGTGGCCTGGTGGTAAGGAGTTGTGCTGTCAGTCTCTCAAAGGGTTAAAATTCACCAGCTGCTCAGCAAGTGAATAATAACGATGATAATGTCCTCTCATGCAATTACAGCCTCTGAAAACCAGGTCTGAGTTGGTTCCAACTCGACAGCACCAGCAATAAATTCTCTTAAAGGACGCTTGCTTCTTGAGAGGGTTACTCACTCTAGGGAACACTTTGCCTAGAGTTTATTTTAGTTCCACTGAGATTCTTCATTGCATTGTGGATTTTAGAGCTGAGAAGAGTTTTGTTCTTTACAACAAAAGTCAAAAAGCTTATGTACCTGGCTCAAGGCTACCCAAATTCATAGAAATAGGTCAATGTAGAGTGGACTTAACTAGTGACTTTACAGAAATATATGAGGATACAGTGAATCAACCAATGAGACAATTTTGGATAAAATGGGTAAATGTATAGACAGACTGAAAATTAAGAAGTAGACCCCATGTGAAAAAAATAGAACTGTCTCATAAGGTTTTCTGGGCCGGAGTCTTTACAGAATGAGCCCTAGTTGTGTAGTAAAAAGTTGGTTCAAACCCACCAGCTTCTGTTTAGGAGAATGATATGATGTGAGAGTGGTTGGTAGAAAAAGATGACAAACAGAAGCTGGTGAGTTTGAAGGATGTAGCCAGTGTCACTGAATTGAACGTAATAGAAATTGTTTGGTATATGTTTTACTGGTATATTTTCAAGAACAAATAATTTGGGATCCATAAACATAAATTGTAGTATACATTTTTATTGCTGTAGAATAACTGGATTAAGGAATGAGAATTTTTTATTGATTCGTTAAAAAAATTATATATACATTGTGTTTCATATTTTCCCTTCTTTGACATTATGTTTCATCCAGTCATTCCCTTACATTGTGTTTTAGAAATGTAATCACCGTTTATGTATGCCCACCATTACACTTTTCAGGTCCCTGCCAGATCTTTCCCATTTCCTTTACCCTCTCTCTCCACCCGCCAAATTGTGTGACTCTGTGAGTCTTCCCTGCCCATCTTCACCCCTCTGCTCCCATCCCTTCTCCTTTTAGACCGTCCCCACATTTTACTAGTCATCCTTCTGTTTTTACAATAATGCTCTTTAAGCATAGTACTCTCCAGTCTCTTGTAAGTTATGCATTATGTGTCTAGATTTGTCTATAAAATATACCACAGTTTCTCAACCAGTTCAGTTGTGGCTGGACATTTGGGCTGTTTTCCATGTTCTTGTGATAGTGAATAACGCTGCTGTGAACATTGGTGTACAAATCTCCATTTGTGTCTAGTTCTAATTTCCTTGGGGTATATTCCTAGCAGTGGAATAGCTGGGTCATACAGAGTTTCAGTGTAAGGAATGAATATTTTAAAGTTTATGGTAGATACATATTACAGAATTCATCTCCAGTGTATGGTTCTAATAGCTGTATATGACTCTTTGCTGCACTCTGGTTTATATTTGTATGCTTCTTAGAACTTTATGATTTTTTCCTATTTGTAATTATTGTAGCAAAGATTAAATAATTTAACAATAAGATGCCCGACATTAATAAGAAAGATAAAAATGGCCAGATAAAAATTATCATGGTTAGTAAATGTAACCAAGATAGTGGAACAGCTGGTGACAGTTGGACAAAGTCGCTGTATACTCAGTTTTTCTTCGTACTAGAGTCCTGAATTAGATACTGTGAGGGTAACTGAGCAGTGTTGTGTTGGATCCTCAAGGACCTGACATGTCAGTAGCAGGAATGAGAATCCAGAGGCCCCTTCACACAGGTGTTTGCAAAGATTTATTTCTAAATATCCCTTATAATTAACAGGTCAAAGAATATTTGGTGATGAGTAGTTCTTCCTTCTGATATATTACTTGGCTGTTCGCTTGTGACCTCTCATTTGTAATGTTGGAATCTTGTTTTTCAGACCAAGGAGAACAAAGATCATGTGCTGAAAACATATGTCAACACAATTGTACCCAGTTAAATGAAGGAGGATTTATCTGCACTTGTAGACCTGGATACAAAGCAGGAACTTTGAACAGAAACTTGTGTCTAGGTAGTGTATTTCCCTCCATTCTTATTAAGAGAACCATGTATATTTTAGAGTCTTCACTCATTCCCTTTTATTAAATCACAGTTTTATTCCCTTAAAGAAATGAAAATATTAAAGAGGAACATTTCCCCCTTTCTACATGCATATATACTATCTTACCAGTGCATAATAAAATGCATGTTCAGAAAATGTGTGTAAGAATGAATTAGAATTTTTAAGGCATTGCTCAGATAGCTGCATGTATCAGCATGTAAGATACTTTTTTAGAAAAATTAACCTAAGTCTTAACTTTCTCCATTATAAGTCAAACAGCACATATTATTTATTATTTAATTTATCACATTCCTGTTTATGCCAGATGAATAAGTGAGAATTTGGAATGTAAGTTACCATGATGGTATTATATTAGTAGTCTTCTTGGTTTTTGAATGTATAGTTTCTAGCTCATGTTACACTCAGATGGCTACAAGATTTATTTTGCAAGCTCAAGCTCAAGGACACAATTGAAAATCCAATGGCTCCTATTCCTGAGCACAAAAAAAATGACAGCAAAAAAGAAAAAGGACACAATGACAGTTTCTTTACTCAAAGTGAATTTTTTTGCACATCTGTGCAGTAGATTCAAACCCTGTTTCTATTACTTACTAGCTTTGGGGCTTTGGGCTTAGGATTATTCTGTGTTTATTGAAGATTAAAGGGAAAAAAAGCATATGAGACAGTATCTGAAGCTATGGGTTCCGTCTGTGTTGTCTTGTATTGCTTCTTTTCATCTGCACTCTTCTTGGTCCTCTTGGTGAATGCAAATTTGAACAGTGGCAGGGTCTGCAAGGAATGAGTACCAGCAAATGTTTAATGTTTGCATTTATTTTGCCTACAGACATCGATGAATGTGAGCTTTTTGGGACTTGTCCCCAGAACTGCCATAACACCAAAGGCGGGTATGAGTGTGCCTGTGCTGAGGGCTTCAAGTCCATGGGTCAGTCGTACGGAAAACGATGTGCTGCAGAAGGTAATGGTGATTTCGTGTTGGGATTGAGTGACTTTTGGGGAGAGTGAGTACTAGTGGATAGACTCAAAGTCATATTTTGGTTCCTGTGGATTCGGTTTAATTTTCCTCAGCTTCAGCTTGAACTTGCATATGACTACTTGGTGGTCTGTTCCACAATCAGCTCCTGGCCTACTTTTCACAGCAGCCAGGAAATTAAAAGACGTATCACAAAGGGAAAGTCTGCTTTTAGAGACCTTGCCAAAGTACTGAAAAGCAATGGTGTCTCTCTGGAGACTAAGATGCGTCTGATGCAGGCCATGGTCTTTGCAGTCACTTGCTATGTGTCAGATTGTTGGACAATGACTAGGAAAGATAGTAGAATTGATGCCTTTGAGCTGTGGTGCTGGAGAAGAGTATTGAGGGTACCATGGACTGCTAGGAAAACAGATTCGACCTAGAGAGCTTTAAACCAGGCTGCTCCTTGGAGGCAAAGATTCTGAGGCTTCGTCTGACATAGTTTGGTCATGTTGTAAGGAGGGACCAGTCCTTGGAGAGGGACATCGTGCTTGGGAGGGTGGAGGGACAGCGCAGGAGGGGAAGACCCTCTATGAGGTGGATTGATTCAGTGACGGGGGTAATCGGGATGGGTGTATCGGAGAGAGTGCGATTGGCACAGGAGAGAGCAGAGTTTAGGGCTATTGTAAGATAGGGTCGCTATGAGTTGCAAGCGACTCGACAGCACGTAACAACACGTACTAGTGAGTAATACAATGCCAGAAAATAAACTTAAGTTCTTCAGTGTCTCTTCCAATTCTCATCTTCCTTTCTCCTTATAAGAATCATCATCACAATTTGTTCCACTTCTCATGATCATAATTCCAATTTCCCAGCAAACTCATACAATTCAAAAATAAGAAAAAGTCTGGTGTTACTTTTTCTTTGTTTAGCCTCAACCTGGACAGAAATTTCTAAAAGTGGAAAAGGTTTCACTCTCCAGAAGGCTCCAGTGGCAGCACCAGCTTGTCTATGTAATGATTCTCAGCAGAGGAAATTAATGATGTCCTTTTGCTCATACTTCTATGGATATCAAGGCTTGAGACCCTGTAATTCAAGATGTATCACCAAAATCTCCTTTTGAGGACCAAGAACACTCTTATCCTTTGTTATACTGTTGTTCGTGGACTTCTGATCCCAGATAGGAATCTAGCTCATATGTCACTTTAATCATTAGTGCTTCATCTTAAAGTCATCCCTTATCAGAGATTCAGACCTGTAGTAAAGCAGTACAAGTACTAGGCAGGTAACACCCCCCACCCCCATGGTATAAATAAATCTCAGAAGTCTGATTTAAGTCAGGATGCCTCATTTAGGAAAGTTATTATTTAGAGTCTAAGGGATTTGATAAGGAAAAAGCAAGTTTATGTTGCAAACTAAGAGTAAATAAAATGGTTGTAGCTTATGTAAATACTGTATCCTCCCCAAACATTTTTGATACTAATTAAAACTAGAGTGGAGGCATTGGAATAGTTTATCGGGTAATTAAGCAGCAAAATAAAAATGTTTAAATTTTTTTAAAATAAATATGACACTTTGAGAACTAAGGCCCATGTGATTTGTTTTGTTTTGTTTTGTTTTTTTGTTAGAGGGGCCAGGAAAGGATGTATTTATTTTTTTTTAAATTTTATTAATTTTAATGAACATTTACAGAGATCTTGGATTTCCATTCATCCATTGTTGCACCCTTCTCCCCACCCAACCCTCCCCTCCAGTTCGCTTCTCTCCCCAAAAAGAAAAAAGAAAAATTTCTTCATTGGTATACAGTCCCCTGTCACCCACCCCCGCCCCATGTCCCAGGTACATTCCATTATGCAACCTTCACTCTGGACTCCTGTGACAACCATAACACCCCATCATATATAGCTTTTAATCTGTTGTCTCCCTCATCTGCAAAAAATGTTTAAATCTTTGAACAAAGGAAGTGGCTGCAATAGAAGAATATTCAGGATAGAAAAACTGTATGTATAAACTGTTAATTATGTTAGATTCAACTGACATTATTCAAGATAGAGGGACTACGTCCCTGCATGTAGGGCTGCAGAGTTAAATAGAGTGGGTTTGGCCTTGTTTAGTTTGGAATTTTTAAAATAAAATTAGGAACTAAATTGGGTCATAGAACTGATTACCTACTCTAAGATTTATGGAGCTGATTATCTACTAAAAAGCTATTAGTAAAGAGCAAGGAATGAGAATTTTCTGGTAGTAAGCCTGTAAATGCTGCATTTCTTTTGAGGTAACAATGATTATAGAAATAAAATCACATGAAACAAAACTTGAAACAACAATAAAAGATCAGACTGAGAAAGTCTAATAAAGACTGGCAGAATCCATGAGGCCATGTTCTTTCAGATTTGGAACTTAACTTACTCATGTAGCTCAACATTTAGCCAAACAACAGAGCATTTGTTATGTGTCAGATTATTACTACCCAAAAGATGGTAGTTCAAACCTCTAACCCTTCTGAGAAAGCTGGATGGCCAAACTAGTAGAATGGAGGGTGGCAATGAGGAGTGAATTTGCTTTTGTTTATTATAAAGTGAACAATAACCTGAAATTAGAAAGGCAGTATGTGCCCAGGGATTAAGTTTATAAAGCTGGAAAAGATAGAAAATAAGGATGAATGGAAAGAACAGGGAGAGTGGGATGAATGTAATAGATTATAGCGATTGCAGTCAGCATAATGAATCAAAATGTGTTTGAACTGTTGAGTGGAGAACGAATTTGCTCTGTAAACTTTCACCCAAATCACAATGAGAAGTTTAAAACAGAATATGATTATTTAAAAAAGAAAAAGAAAAAATGTTAGTGAAATTGAGAACATAATTGTGGCATTAGTAACTGGGGAAAAATATCTTCACTATATTGTCTTTCTCTAAACCATCTTCTTAGGAGCTCTAGTGGCCAGGTGTGTAGGATATTTTGCTGCCAATCGAAAGGCACAAGATTCAAACCACCAGCTTCACTGAGAAAGAAAATTGAGCAATTTCCAGCCTCTGAAAACTAACCAGAGGGTTCACTATGAATTGGTTCCAGCTCAATATCAATTAGTTTGAGGGTGGTTTGTTGATTTTGGTTTTTTTTAAACCATCTCCTGTATAAAGAACAAGTAATTGATAATATATCTAACAAAATATATTAGCTTTCCATCTGAAATAGAGATAAGAATGTCTATAGTCAGCAAACTTGCTTGGATAGTTGGATCCATTGTTTAACAAATATATAGTCTTGTTTTCTCATTTATTGATTCACAGCAGATCCTCCAGTGGGTTTTCAGAGGCTATAAGTCACACAGGAGATTTTCCATCTTGCTTTCAAAGAACAACTGGTGGATTTGAACTCTTCTCCTTTGGATTGGCAGTATTAGCATTAAGCCACTAGAGCTTCCTAAAATGTGTATCTTTAAAAACAAAGGTTGGAGGCAGATGTCTGTTGTACACTGTATATTTTAAAAGTTTGGGAAGAATTGAAAAAGATAAGGCAATTTTTCATTTATTTACAGGTGACTCTCCTTTGCTATTACTGCCTGACAACATTAGAATTCGAAAATATAATATGTCGTCTGAGAGGTACTCAGATTATCTTGAAGATGAGGAACATATTCAGGCTATTGATTATGACTGGGATCCCGAGGGCACAGGCCTCAGTGAGTAAAGACTTTGACATTTGCTGTTGATATTAATGGAATTTTGTTACATTTTAAGGTGGGGTTTGGTTTTTTTTTTTTAAGGAAAGAATTTTGCTGTGTGATTTAAAAAAAAGGAAGATCCTTCCATTCAGCGTGTTTCTGACACCTTCCCTGGCCTTCAGTCAGCCAGTCATTCTTGATTTCTTGACCAGTCTTCTTTTATCTCTGCAATACTGCCTCATGTGATGCAGATGTGGTTCTTCCTTTCCACTGTTTACAAAGACCTCAAAGACTCAGCTCAAGTGTCAGCTTCTGCCCTCTCTTCTAGGAGATGTCTATGATGGGTCACACATAAGTGCTGTCTTCTGTACCCACATTTCCTGAAGGATAAGGAGTCCTGGTGGTATAGTACCCACAAGGGAAGCAATTTGAATCTACCAGCCTCTTTGCTCCCACAGAGTCAGACATCTAATGAGGCAATTCTGTTCTGTCCTGTAGGGTCACCAAGAGCAAAAAGCAATGGCATTGGGTTGGATTGGACTTGTTTTTTAACTAAAATGTGCTCCCTATTATTTGGGTATTGAGATTGATCTCACTCATCTTAACATGTCCACTATCTAGGCACGTGTATAGTGTGGGTGTGTAAGAAATTTAGTTGAATGAGTGAAAACATTAATAATTTTTCTGATAATTTTTAGATTTATAATTTTAGGCTTATTATTTTTATTATTAATGGTGTTAATATAATTTTTCCTGGCTCTGCTTGGTGTAGCAGTGATAATATATACATCAGAAGTAAAAAAATGTCTTCCATGCCTCTCCCCTCATATCTGCTAGTGCTAAGACCATTTAGATTCTCTAGAATTTTTTTTCCATTCTCTACAATATGTGGATGATGGTCATGATGGGCAAGTAAAGGGAAGTTTTTGGAGTCATGTCTTTTTTTTTTGAGGTTGTTTTTGATGTGTATTACTGCTTCCCCCCACCCCCACCCCAACCCCGCCCTCAAGAACCTTTGCCTAGGGTGGAAGTCTGCTCAAAGGCATTGGCTTAAAACCCTGCATAGGGATGGGAAGGAACTGCTGGCAATGCTCCACTCTGGTAATTTGGGTTTTTGCTGCTTGTGGATGGTGGTTCTGATGGGCAAGTAAAGGGAAGTTTTTGGGTTGTGTTTTTTTTGTTGTTGTTGTTGTGTTTTTGAGGTTGGTTTTTTTTTTTTGAGTCGTGTTTGATGTGTATTACTGCTCTTTTTCCCCTAAGAGTGGGTGTCCTTAAGCCTTTGCCTAGGGTGGAAGTCTGCTCAAAATAACAGGTGCTCAGCATGAACCTTCAAAATCACTCTTTATACATTTTCCACCATACTTTAGTCTGTACCTACATTCTATTTCTCATTTTCTCAAGCCTAATTCTTGTTTATCTATGTATTTATTTCAAACTAGAACATGAAACTGACATTTGAATCAAATAAGAGTGAATAGTCTCTGGCTGAAATTTTATTTTAATAAATTATGTTCAAATAGAGGTGATTGAATAATTATAAAAAATTGTCAATTAAAGCATTAGTAACTAATAGCTCAAGTATAATGATTTGGAAATTTTATTCTTTCTGTGTAACTGAACTGTTAGTATTTTAAGGAACTATAAGAAAATGTCTGTCAGTAATGAACCAGTTCCTCCTTTAGCAGATGCTTTTGATAAGAAATTAACCTCTATGTCTTGCCTCTGCAGGTATCATATATTACTCTGTGCTGGGTCAGGACTCTAATTTTGGCTCTATCAAACGTGCTTACATCCCCAACGTGGACACAGGTGGCAATAATATTGTGCAGGAAGTTAATCTGAATCTGAAATACATAGCGCAGCCAAATGGGTTAGCAGTGGACTGGGTTGGAAGGTAAAATTAACCACCCTCTTGTCTGTTTCTGTTTTCCTTGCTGGAGCTCTTTGTGGCTCTCCTGTGCACTTGAGTTACAGCAGAGCTTAGCACCTGATGACTGGAGCAGTTAACTGGTGATGCCCAGGCTGACTCTTGTTCAAGCATCCAGCTTTGTTTATTCCAGTACCGTATAGACACTATCCTTTCCTGCATTTTATGTACATGATTGGTAATTTTGCTTTCTTGTTTAATCTTTGGATTTGAGTTATAGAGATGTGCATTCCATTCTGCCCTTTGAAAACTTCTGAGACAGGAACCATAGCTTCATGCATAAATGATCTGTAGGATGTTGTTCTTTTGTTGTTACGTGCTATTGAGTTGACTACAACGTATCGCGACCTTATGAACCAAGGAACTGAACTTTGTCCTGTCCTGTGACATCCTTATTATCTGTGATACACTTGAGTGCATGCAATAGTCACTATGTCATTTCATTTTGTTGAGAGTCTTCCTTACCTCTGTGAACCTTCCAACTTTCCAAGCATGGTGTCCTTTTCTAAGAACTGGCCTCTCTTAACAGCATGTCCTTTAAGTAGGATTGTCTTCACATAGACGCATGAGATAGCAAACTGATGCAGAGAAGAGGCTTGTATGAGCATGATCCTTGTAGGGAAGTGATGATGTTAGAGTCAGAGTTTGAACTCTTGTACCTGAGTTAGTAATAAGGGGATGCTGGAGAGGAAAAGTTCAAGGACTTACTGCTGCCCTAGAGTCTGGAGAGTTGTTTGCAGTATAAACTAATTTTCACCTTTTAACAAACTTGTCTGCTGTTTTGGAAAGACTTGAAGGTATCTGAAGAAGTTAATTAGGTCCCCACTGTACCTTCAGGCCAAAAGGAGGTTCATTTCAACATCTTCTGCCAGCACGTAAGACCTCAGAGAATTGTCACTAGAGTTAGAAATTGAAAACTCAACTTTAGCACTTCTGAATGTCAGTTGAGGACTGGTATGTCTGTCTGCTTGTTTAAAACTTTACCTCTTCGGCCTGAATGAATTATTAAATAAAGACTCTGTTGCAGCTTTTCCTGTTTTTTTTAGCCTTAAAGGGTGTAAATATGGGCAGAATAATCAGATTGAGTTACTATTTCCATTCATTCTTATTGATTTTAGTGAGGCCCTTGGCCATCGTAGGAACGGTCAGAATTAAAGAGCCTCTGGGTGCCTTGTGACTTCTGGAAGCACATACCTCTGAATACAGCTGTGAGGCCTGCCTGACTGCTGTGTCCACTATTATTACTGATCATGGCTGATTCAGCTGCTTTGGCTTATCAGGCACTAGTCTCATTCTCCCCCTCATTCTCCTACATGTAATGACATTATTTAAAACTTTTTTCTATTAATATACATTGTGTTTTATACAATTTTGTGTTTTATACAATTTACAATGTATTTCATACAGTCATTCATATACATTGTATTTTATGTAATTAACATGCTTAAAATGCTCCCTTTTTTAAAAGAGATTTAAAGAGGAGTTCCTGTGTAAGGGGCTTTGTGTCTGATCAGGAGTCTTTTTTGGCTGGAACTTCTGAATGAAATAGCCTTCTCCAGAAATGGCCAGTCTAACCTTTTATATTATTTAATTCTTGTCTCTCTGAATTCAGGCATATTTACTGGTCAGACTCCAGAACAAAACGGATTGAGGTGGCTAAACTTGATGGAAGGTACAGAAAATGGCTTATTACCACCCTCTTAGATCTACCAGCTGCTCTTGTTGTGAATCCCAAACTTGGGTAAGTGCAGTGGAGGATTCTATATGTTTTAGGTGATTTCTGAGGGATTCTCATAAAGGACCCATCTTTAATGTGTTTTTTTTCTTCTTAATTGTTCTCAGACAATATAATTAGCTACAGGTTAGTGGGAAAAGCTCCACTAGCTTTGGTGGTATAGTGAAGACATTTTCTCTTTACAGGCTTATGTACTGGACCGACTGGGGAAAAGAGTCTAAGATCGAATGTGCCTGGATGGATGGACAGCATCGGCAAGTCCTGGTTTCCACGGACCTTGGTTGGCCAACTGGCATTTCCATTGATTATGTGAACAATGACCGGATCTACTGGAGTGATTTGAAGGAAAACATTATTGAATCCATAAAATATGATGGAACTGATAGGAAAGTCATTTCAAATGAAGGTTAGAAAGGAAAATTTTATGTTTCTATATTTTTTCCCCCAAGAAAGAATACTGATCTTAGAAAATTATCTAAAGTCTGCTAAAAGCCACTGATTTAATGCAAATTAATCCTTTAAAATATTTTTTTCCTTCTCAAAATTTTGTTTTTATTATAATTAGAGTGAGTTTACAAAGAATTTTGGGTTGTTTTTTTTTCCAATCAGTCATTCATACACATTTTGTTCTATAACATTTATTACAGTATTGACATTGTCTGAATATTCACGCCATATTGTCTTTCTCTTGACTCTTAGTAGTAAGTATTCCTTATCTATTAAATAACTTTCACCTTCCTCCTTCTCCCTGGTAATCATTGTAGTATTATTTCATCTGTATGTAAATCTTTCTGTCTTTATATAATAGTTGTCTTATATACCATATGTCCTTTTGTAATGTCTTCTAGGTTCACCCATGTCTGTAATGTTTCATGAGTTCATCGTTTTTTAGTTCTGCATAGTCCTTTATTGTGTGAATACATCATGATTTCTCTATCCATCCATCCATTCATTCATGCGCTCTTGGATTGTTTCCAACTCTTTGTTGTTATGAGTAATTTTTTAAAAATGCTTCTGAGCAACTAAGACAGAAATAACTGAGTTTCCTGTTAGGCTTGATGAGGTGTGATTTATGTGTATAGATGTTAATCCTTGTATAACCACTTCTAGACACAGTCCTTCTTAATGTGCCCAATTGTTCATTATGTACAGCAGACAAGAAAGAGTATTTGGTTTCTTATACAGGCCTTCAGAGATGCAATAATGCATTCTCCACTCCTACCCCACCTAGTAGTGTCTGATATTCCAAGTGGGGGAGGGGAAGCTGTCAGCAAACAAAATTTTGGCAGTGACAGCAGCAGTGGACTTGATTATGGAATACATCTCGATGATGGTACAGGACAGAGCAGTGTTTCCTTCTGTTGTTCATAGGGTCACTGTGAGTCCTAACAGGCACCTCACAACAACTTAAAAAAAACCAACACCAAGGTAAGATCAGCAAGTTCAGAGTTACTTAAACCCCTCAGAGAGGCTCAGTAGGACAGAATAGGACTAACCACCACATCAGATTTCCAAGGCTGTGATCTTTACAGAGTAGATTACCACATCTTCCTCTCCACAGTAGGTGTAAGCTATGGCCGGGTGCTTAATCATTGTGCTATCAAGGCTTGTGAAAATGAGCTCAAACCCATAGCTGTTGAGTTAGAAACGACTTCTAGCTGACCCTCTCGCAGGTCTGTGGAGGCTGTAAATCACGCAGGAGGAGCTTGCCCATCTTTCTCCAGAGGAGCTGCGGTTGGGTTCACAGCACCTGAGAGCTCAGCAGCACGACTTCCCGCATTCTGCATCACTGGAGCTCCCTACCGCTGGTGTCAGATACTGTGAATGAATCCAATTTCATTTTCATCGTCGTAATTCCCCAGTGCAGCATATTTTTATGATCACTTATATAAAGAGCTAAATTTCCTAAGGACAGGAGAAACTCCAGGAATTTCTAGGTGTTACGTTAGGGATAATTCAAGAAGAATGTACAATTCAAGCAGAAATGATACTGGAATCTTCTTTTTTTAATAGCCTTTTTTTCCCCTCTCTCTCCCCCTGTGGATAAACAGCAAGGAGCCCTTTTAGCTTGGACGTCTTTGAAGGCCAAATATACTGGTCATCTAAGGAGAGGGGAGATATATGGAGGAAAGATAAATTTGGGAGTGGACGTTCAGAGAAATTACTGACTGTGAGCCCTTGGCTCACTCAAATTCGAGTCTTTCATCAATACAGATACAATCTCTCAGGTAAAACACCTTGGGCTAAGACGTTTCTTGTTATTTGGAAAACTTGTTTCAAATTAATGAGCACATTATTGGAAAATTTTTTATAATAAGAGGCTGATCTCTTCATGCATGCAAAGGGGTGTGTGTGTATTAACCATTTTGATCAAACCAGGATAAATTTAATATCATAGTTATAGACACCATTAGAAGTTAGGAAATAAAAATATTTCAGTTTTCATTGTTTCTTAGAGCTGTGGATATAAAATTGTTTGGCTCTGCTGTTCATAAGACTGCTACCAGCAGGCAGTGGACTCAGATAAATACAAGTTGGGTTGCTTTGTCTCAATGAATATCATAGGCATTAGAGGTCTTAAAGATCAGGCTAGCCAAGTCACCTTGAGATACAAGAACTTTAATTTGAAATTTTCAGTCATCTGCATTTATTTTCTCCTCTATCTGTATTAGTTCTGGGTCCTGCTTCCTCAGTTTCCCTGCATTCTGATTCAACCTTCAGCTTTTATCCAGAGCAAGATGAAGGAGAAGGGAAATGGACCTGGATTTCTCTTTTCAGCCATCTGTCACTTTCAAGGAGGATGTTATCATCACCTCACCAGTGGGGAGACAACCTAAGAGAGAAATGGCTGCATTAGTTCAGTATTGTCCAGCCAAAGCTCAGGGCCATTCTATTCTGGTCCAATGGTCAGTACACCTAGGTCCAGGTTGGATTCAATCCCATCCCCACATGTGAAACTAGAGGAGAGCTAACTGTCCTCATCCTGAGACCCTGCAACAGACTTTACAAACTGGAGCTCAAACCTGAGATCTCAGGCAGAATAGACAAATGCGCCCACTTTCTAACCCCCTTTAGAAATACCGAAGCCTATCCCAATAATACTCTTATAATCCAAGTGTTCCTGGAGCCGTTTTAAGGCAGGAAGAAAGACCACAGTACCTGAGTAGGGCCTTCCTTCCAAATATCTTTTTTGGGCATGGAGTAGGGAGTCAAAAGGTTATATAATCCGGGTAAGTAGCAGAGTACAGTCAAGACAGCTTCTCAAATGAGCTTACAACCTCCTCAGCCCTGACCCTCATGGCTTTAAGCCAGTGTTAGAAAATTTTCAGTCTTGTCAATACTGGCTTTCCCTGCCCCACCCCACCTCCAAATTGTCCAACAAGCTTGTGCAAAGCTCTTAGCTTAGCTTTGGTTAGGTCCACGGGGAGCAGTCCCAAGGTCTACTCTGTCTCATGTCAGGTCTCTGGTTCTCTACGGCGGCTCTTCTCTGATTAATGACTGTGGCTCTGGGCCAGAAGGATGAGTTGAATTCTCTTCCTTTCTCTTCTTTGCTGGTGTTGAGGTTTTTAAAATGTCTTCTTTTGTTACAGTCATTCCTATCATCTTGTAAGAATCTACAGTCTTGTAAGATCACTTAAAAAGCTTTTAATGGCAATGCCTGCATTCCATCTCAGGCCAGTTTAAGCTTCTCTGGGTGGGTGACAATATACTGGTTTAACTATCCAGGTTATTTTGGTATGTAGCCATAGCTGGAAACCATACCTCCTGCCCCCGTGTCTTCCAAGTAAGAACTGTGAAACCCAGAGGAAACTTCTCCTTGGAGACTTAGGGTAGATTGCACATATATTATGATTTACATGCATTTGGGTTACTTTAGTACTGATTAGTTTTTGGAGTTGTGTTATGAGTCAGATACAATGCCGAAACTATCTTTAAAAACCTGACAAGGCCAATGAAACCGGTAGAAGCAGTAGGCGGTGGGAAATGGCATAGATGGGGCAAGGAGGGCTGCTTGCTGTGGCACGGGATGGAAGTATAAAGTGAGAGAATAGCCAGGTGGCACATGAAGTTAGACTACTGCATAGGCTGGGTCTATGAGCGTGTCCTAGGTTGGAGTCTTCATTCTCTCCTCAGACCTAACTTGGACTCTCATCTGCTTTTCAGTGCCAAGTCCCTGTAAAGATGACTGCAGTCACCTCTGCCTGCTGAGCCCTAGAGGATACAGCTGTGCCTGTCCTGAAGGCTCCAACTTTATGCCGGGGAGCGAGACACAGTGTGATGCAGGTAGGACAAGGCTTGGGCAACAGAGTTGTATGTAATATAAAGGGACAAATAAACAGTGTCCTTATGATTTCTGAGAATTTGTTGCTAAGATCTGGAAATAAAAACAACCCCAAAAAAACTAACAAAACTGCAGTCCCAGTCCCACTGAATCTGTTGTACAAAAGTTTTATTGAGATGTTTTAAAGAATGGGCCTCCTCTAAGACCTCATCTCAACCTCCGTCTGGATTCCTACTCCTTTAGGCATCTTTGCCCTTATTCAGAGTCCCTCAATGTGGAGAAGCATGTTCCAGAGATGGGAAGAGGTCAGAGGGAGGCTACAGGCCAGTCACTGCTTTTCTCAGACACTCATTTTGACAACTGAAATGTTAACCTCTGGAAAAGAGGAATATTTTCAAAGGTACTTTATGGTTGTTTGCAGACGGAGCTAGAATAAAGAGCTGTCACTGAATTAATCTGAACTCTTGCTGACTCCATGTTTGTCAGAGTAGAGCTGTAGTCCAGTTCAGAAGCAGATTACCTGGCTTGTCCAGCAAGGCACCCTGTTGGTTAGTGGTCAAGCAATTAAACATTTATGCCACGGAGGGACCTTGTTGTTGTGTACCATCGAGTCAGAACTGGCCCATCTGACCCTCCAGTGGGTTTTCAGAGGCAGTAAATCACTCAGGAGGAGATTGCCCATCCTTCTCACATGGAGAAGCGGTTGAATTTGAACCACTAATCTTTGAGTTGCCATTTTTTCTCAAAGGCCCAATTCTCATCTTAAATGGTAAATGTTTTTGGCAACGTATATCTTTCTTACATAGTCATAGGGAATAACTAATGCCCCTATCTGGTATACTGTGCTTGGTAAACATATTAAATCATTTACACTTCCCTTGATGGCACATAACATCAGTGGCCCATCTAGACAGCTCTGGTGGCTTAGTGGTAAGGAGTTAGGCTGACAACCAAAAAGGCACATGGTTCAAATCCACCAGCTGCTCCACAGTAGAAATATGAGCAGTCTCCTCCGTGCGATTTGTTGCCCCTGAAAACCTGCTTAATGGTCTGCATCCTTGGAGCCAACTTTGATAGAGAAATGCAGAGGTTTAGCCACCTTCTACCACTAGGGGGCGCAAATACTTAAACCCACCCCACTCTCTCTAACTATCTTTTTTTTTGGTCTTTTTAAATTTTTTAATTTTTATTTAAATAGCATTCAGTTTATTACAGATATTTAGTATTGGCTTCCCATATCCCCCCCCCTTTTTGTTTTATCATAATTGTTGTCATCTAGATGAGCATCCTTTATACACAATCAAACAAATGAAACATAATAAACTCAAAGAAATACTTATATGATCAGAAGGATTCAGATTGAATATTCCTTGAAAGTTTGTTTTAATTGTCCCATTGCCACAGTGCTTGTCAAAGTCAGTTCTGATTAATCTCCTTAGTCAGTGTGTCCCTTGCCATTCCCTATCACTCCTCCCTGAGAGAGTCTTCATCCTGATTCATAAGGAAAAGGGGACGGCATATTCTCTTAGCTACTTCCTGCTGAAAAGGGACACTGTAGGTTTCAGGGTGAAGAGCTTCTCTCACTACTCTAAAGGGCCCCTTTGGCAATAGGAAACACGTAAACTCTATCTCTACTATCTTAACCTGAGTAGTTTGCAGGTTTAGAGAATCAACTCAAGGAGGAAAAAACCACTTCCCTCCTTATCCCTTCCTCTGCTACTATGCTTATCCCAATGCCAGTGAGGAAAGTACGAGCAAAATTCCAAAACTTTGAGCTGTAGACTGGCATTTATGGTAGTTACACATTAAATTAGATATTTTTAAAATTGTTTGACTCATCTACTACTTTCCTCCTTTTAAAGGAATTATAATAAAAGTAAACACATGAATGATGATAGTTCCAAATGGGATCTTGTCTTGGTATATTAATTAACCAATTCAGTAAGTCTTTTTGAGTTCCAGCAAGATGGATTGACCCAGTGACTGTTACAGTGGGCTGGAGCATCTTAGAAAACAGAGGATGGTGCAGACTAGCACAAGGCTTAGATCTGTTGTTCATCAGGTTGCCATGAGTCACAGACGACATCTAACAACAATTATGTATTAGACATTGTTAGTAAGTACCAGAGAGAACAGAAGTGAACAAAGCAGAAAAATGTGCTGTTCTGGTAGAGCTTATATCTTAGTAGGAAAAGAAAGAAAATGTTTGCCATTAAGGAGATTCCAACTCATAATGACTTCATGTGTGTCAGGGTACAACTATTCTCGATAAGATTCTCACCAAGTGTTTCTTCTGAGAGGACCATAAGCAGAGGAGAATAAATAGAGAACCCAATTTTTTTAAGAAAATATATGGAGAAAATCAAGATGAGGGGGCATAAGGGTGTGGTGGGGAGTTGAACAGGATATAGGCTGTTCAATGAAGGCCTCTCCGTCTGAGAAAGTAAATCCTTCCTGGGCTGGGCCAGAAGACTATCCGGACTCCTTAAATATAAAGACAAATGCAACAAACACTTACTTCTTGAGCATCTACTAGGTCGTGACCAATTAGGCACATCTGCTGAGTATATGAGGGCTGAGCTGGGATCAGGGTCCAGAGCTAGAGGGCAGTTTTTGAGTTCTGCTAAAATCCAGTCTTACTATCCAACATCAATACATGTGATTGTTTCTCAACCGCTGATACTTTGGCACCCGCGATTTAAGTTCCAAAGTTGTCTCAATTGAACTCTGGATTAAACAGTGGAGAGTTCTGAAAAATTTCGGGTCCTCGGAATATTACTATCTGCCCAGGAATCTAGCCTTCTCCACTGTTTTGGGGGCAAAGTGCTATATATTGACCCTTTCTTTCCACCAAATATGTTACTCTCAAAGACTATTAATAAGTAATTTGCTATACGGAGGGTAGCGCTTGGATAGGGAGACTAATCAGCTGCCCCTGTTCCCTCTACCTCAACCCCCTGTGACTCTGGGTATGAGGCAGATTTGAATAGGGTGGCGTGCTGTGCTGAGTGTGGCCTACTAATATGTGCATGGCTTTCCCTTTCTGCAGCCATTGAATCTCCTATCGTCATGCCCCCCGCATGCAGGTGTATGTATGGAGGAACTTGCTATTTTGATGAGAATAACCTCCCCAAATGCAAGTAAGTCTGAATGTTGAAGTCAGAGCTATAAGATCTTCCTTCTTCTGTGAGGGAACCAGGGACTTTAAAGCCACCAACAGAACACTTAAAGGAGGTTTGCCCACAAATTTTCATATTTTAACCAACTTACCTTCCCCTGGGAGTGTCCACAGAGAACTCAGGCCTTGCTTCTCAAACTTTAATATGCATTAGAATCAACGAGGGATCTTGTTAAAATACCAATTCTCATCCACCACAGGTAATGTATTCTTAACAAGCTCCCCAGCGAGGAAAACTTTTTCCTGGTCACCTGGCACTATTCATTACAGCGAGACAGGGGGAGAGCAGCTGTCAGCAGTGCTGCTTTCGTACCAGGCACACGCGGCAAGCCAAAAGACTCGATTAAAGATTGGGGAAAAAGAGACTTCTTGAGAAAGAAGCAAGATAAATGCATGTCTTTAAACAGTATTGAATGAAAGCATATCCATTGTCACTTTCCAAGATAGGGAAGCCAGTAGATTTATTTGATGAGTCTGACCCTGTGGTTGCCACTATGCACCGCTGCTCTATTATTTCTGCTTGTCATCTATTAGCAGACATATTTTCCAGCATGTACTTTACCCAGCCAAAGCTCTACCACAGGCGCGGTGATTAAAGTCCAAGATGAGAGGGCTGGGGAATGAATTTCCTTTTCTTTTCAGGTGTCTTAGCGGCTATACTGGAAGCTACTGTGAAATAGGATTCTCAAAAGGCATTACTCCAGGAATAAGTAAGTTTTCAGAATATGAGCAACCTAGAAACACTCCACGGCCTGCTGAATTGCATGCTGTCATATGTATATTCTATATAAGACACTCTACTTCTTACCCCGAGGTTCTCCTCCTAGTTCTGCTGGCCCTTTCCCTCCTCCACGCATTTTGGTGTTCACTTCTTCCCTCTCTGACAGCAGCCATGGCAGCGCTGTTGACAATCATCTTGGTCGTCATAATCGGAGCATTGGCAGTTGGAGGATTTTTCCATTATAGGAAAACCGGCTCCCTTTTTCCTTCTCTGCCCAAATTGCCAAGGTGAGTTTTATGATGCGGGCTATTTAATATGAAGTCGATCTGATGTGGCCATTGCTAATAATTTTTTAAGGAAAAAGAAAGTGAAGATTTTGAAAATGGAAACTATTTTGTTACTTATGTATTCATCGCATACTTGAATTTTGTGGAAGCCAAGAGTCTGGTGGTTTACAGCAGTTTGTTTAAATAACTCCCTTACATGGCCCTGGAGTCAGAACTGACTCATAGCTGACCCTCCAGCAGGTTTTCAGGACTAAATCTTAGGGGAGGAGATTGCCTGCCTTTCTCCTCTCCCCACCTTCAGAGGTGCTCGTGGATCCAAACCAATAGAGAGGTGCCATGCTTAGGTTAGCAGTGCAACTCTTCACCCACTGCGCCTTCAGAGCTCTCCTCTCTTTCTATCACAACCTCTTAATTGCTTTTCCAAAGCGTGAGTGTCAGGACCAAATGACTGAGCTTACTGGGGGACATTCAGATTGGACTTGAGTTAATGACGTACACAGGAGGCTTGCTTTCTGCTATATCAGGTTTTACTCTTGTTAAATGCTCTGTTAGCCCTCAGACATTCAGGAATATGTTTTCACATTTTTAATTAACTAACATCTCTAATATGCATAGTAGCACTAGTAATCACAAGGCTTGCAGTTCAAACCCACCCAGTGGTATTGTAGGAGAAAAGCCTGAAGATCTGCATCTGTAAATGTTTCCTCCCAAAGCCTAATGGAGCACAGTTCTACTGGCCCCTGAGTCGAACTTGACTCAATGGCAGTGGGTTTAAGTAAACTTACTTGAAAAGAGTGCTCCTTGGAGGCAAAGATGGTGAAGCTTCGTCTCTCATGCTTCGACATGTAGCTAGGTGAGGCCATTCCTTGGATAGTGACATCATGCTTGGAAAGATGGAGGGTCAGCTGAGGAGAGGAAGACCCTCAATGAGCTGAATTGACTGAATGACTTCAGCAATGGGCTCTAGTGTGTCAGAGGTGAGGAGGGTGACAGAGGATAGAGCAGGGCTCAGGTGGACTGTTCATAGGGTCGCTGTGAGTCATACTCAACTTGATGGCACCTCACAACAACAACATTACCATGTTTTACATGCATGGTTTCAGAGTAGAAATTGAACATTTCATTTACGTAAGATTTATGGAGAAAACATTGTTAAGATGTTTTGATAACTTCTTTTCAGCTTAAGTAGTCTTGTCAAATCCTCTGAACAAGAAAATGGGGTGACCTTCAGATCAGGGATGGATGTCACCATGGATGTTGGAGTATCTGGTTTTGGACCTGAGAATGTTATTGACAGATCAATGGCAATGGTGAGTATGTATTCTAAAATACTTATGTGAAACTTAGGTAATTTTTACTGTGTTACAAAATAAATAGATTTTGTTAAGAATAGAATTAACTTAGCAATAAGGTTATAGTGTATACCTCTTAGTTTGTATTGTATAGTAAAAGGTAGGAAATATTAGATTTGTTGCATGTTAATGTATTTAACAGCGTTAATAATAAAATGGCTACTTACACTCAACTCTAAGCCATGTTTTTTGAATTGCAATCTCAAAAGTCTTAGATTTATTTGTGGGGAGAGAGCATAATATTTTGCTTTAATTTGATGACATTTTGTATGTGTAAAGGAAAGAATAGGGAAGTATATTTTTCCTAATACTGTGTTCTGTTTCACTTGTATATAAATGGTGGTGTGGGGTAAGTGGTTTTAGAATCAGAAATGAGTTCAAATGCCAGCTCTACCACTTTTTAATTTTAGGCATGCAGTTTGAGCTCTTTCTCTTACATGGGTTTACTCTGATGGGTTAATGAGCTCTTTCTCTAAATGGGTTTACTAATACCTTCTGTGAGGACCACAGGGGGCTCTGGTGGCCTCTGGTCATTGTTGTGTACCATTGAGTCAGAAATTACTCATAGCTGACCCTCTGGTGGGTTTTCCAGGTAGTTAATCACACAGAAGGAAATTGCCCATCCTTCTCCTGTGGAGTAGCTGGTGGATTTGAACTGCGTGCTTTGGGGATTGCAGCACAACTTCCTATCACTAAGCCACCAGAGCACCCTGAGCAACCCAAAGGCAGATGATTTAAATTCACCAGGTACTCTGTGGTAGAAAGATGGACTGACTCCTCTTGTGGGAAGTAAACTCAACTTGATAGCAATGAGTTTTTTTGTTTTTGCTGAAGAGGACCAAATGATACACTTTATGAGGAGATGAAATGCAGTCCTGCTATAGAGAAACGCTCAGAGAAATATTGAGAAATAGTTGGCAGTAGTCTGTCTGTCTCTAGATTCCTTCATTTTTTTTTTTTTAACTTGGTCTGAAAATAACTCTTTCTTCTCTCTTCTCCTCCTTTTCAATCCTCTTCTGCCCTGCACACTTATTTATGCTCTCCAGACCATCCACATCATTATCTAGTTGCTAAGTAAGTTATTTGTAGTAAAGGGAGCAGAGAGAATTTGAATGTAGGTAGCATATATCTGTGTCCTTGAGCCAATGAGTCAGTGTATCCATGTTACTTTAAATGATGATTCACCACATGGAGGAGTTGGGCCCAGTTGCTACAGCATCATATTTTAGGTAAAGAAGGCACCTTCATCTGTGTGTGACTCACACCAGGCAGCATGGTGTGATACTCCTTCTCCCCCACTCCCTACCGCAGGATGAAAACTTTGTCATGGAGACAGGGAAACAGCCCATAATATTTGAAAACCCAATGTATTCAGTCAAAGACAGTACTATCAAAGGACATGAGCCAGCCGAGGTAAGAAACCACATTGCCCTTTCTCTCAGTTTCTCCTGTTGCTGCATTTCCTCCTATGGAGCAGTTCCCTTTCAGAAATCTCCCAGCCTTCCCTGCACAAAGGTTGTTTCTCAGCTTCACTGTCTGCAGGGACATCTGACTCACAGATGAAACACCTGAAAACAAACAGAATCCTGATTTCCTGCACAGTTGTGGAGGTTTGGTACTGACCATGCCTATTAATTCTTAGTGGTCAGAATGAAAGGCCCATTTAAAGTCCACTTGAAGGCTTGGCAAACACAGTGCCAGAAAGACTCCATCTTTCCATAGATATTTATGGAGTGAATGAGGGAAGGATTATTAAGCTGTTGTGTAAAGATTTCTGGACTGGATACACTCCCTGGATCCTTATTTATACCAAGAGGATGCAGTTTGCCATGGGTCAAAGGAAGAGGCAAATGGCTATCCTCCTTCTGTTTGCTTTTCCCATACTTTTCTGAAGAGCGTTGGTACCTCCACATCTTAAGTTTCCTGTAGGGCATTTCTTCTCATTAATCAGTCAGAGGAGCTGGGAAATGAGATGAGCATATGGATAGAGGGCAGGAAGTTTTCATTAAATCTGGGTCAGCAGGCCAGTACAACTCTCAATACCTGGTAGCTGTCAGCCCGTATCTCCTTTATTAAAACAATCGTCTCACTATTAACATCTAAACTTCTTTTGGACTCACAGGATTACACATTTTAATATAAAAGAAAAGAATATAAAATATCATTCTAATATAAAACAATATAAAATATTATTCTAAAATAAGTCACAAATATTTGAATTATGAAGGCATAATGACTTATCCTTTGATATCCAGATAGTAAAATGTCAATCACATAGTAAAATAGATATGACATTTCATTTGGTATTTCACTTGAAATAAAAAGTAGCCAAGTATACAAATAGATACAAACATTTGAGAAGTGGTGCATGTAAGAGTAAAGGAAGAAGCTGCCCTGTGCTTTATTGATAATTACAGTCTGCAGTTGCCACCCAGCATTATAACTTAGTGATGAGTGTTCTTGACTTTTAGGGATAGTGGAAATACGGTATTTAGTCCTGGGGTACCAGGTCTGTGTTGCAATAAATGGCACCTGGGGGGAAGGGTGGGAAGGGAGAAAAGTGCAACAATGAATGACTGTAAAACCTAAGTCTCTGTAAACTTACATTTAAATTAATAATAAAAAATTAAAAGAAGGCACCTGGTTGTGTCTGGAGGAACTATATGGTGAACACCTTGATATTGTTAGCCCTGAATTCTTTCAAAACATGATAAAGATTTTCAATATGTTCATAGGTAACTGGTTCTGGAAATGTGGTTAATAAGAACTATGAAAGCTCCATAAATCCTAATGAGATAGTTCAAAAGACAGAGGAGACCTCCCCAAGTGCAAATGGCACTCAGGTAACTATTGAAACGATGTGGGATTGGGGAAGAACTTTATAAAAGCTGGGTTGGTATTAATCCTAAGAAAATTGCAGAGAAACTTTGACAGGCTCTCAAATCACACGATGCTGCTGGGAGCTCTGGTGGCCTAGTGGCAAGAAGCTGCACTGCAATCCTGAAGGCACATAGTTCTAATCCACCAGATGCTCCGCTGGAGAAGGAGAGTGCTCTCCTTCTGTGCCAGTAGGATCCATCTTGACAGTACAGAAGTAGAAGAGGAAGGAAAAAAAAAATTGAATTGAAAACTGTATATATCAAGTAAAGTAACATTTTAACATTAAATTGGGAATAAAGTTCCTTGCAAGCTAGAGGTTATGTCAAATATTCCAGGGATGTTCAGTACGAGAGAATGATTTAATATGAATGGAAAGCTCACCATGTCAAGGATACATGTAAAATACCCATTTGTGATCTAATGTTTTGCTATGTATTTGTTCCTTTAGTAGTTAATGTATGTATAGTTCATTGTTCTATTGCTGTTACCGATTTTGACCAGTAGATGGCACTGATTTTATCATCCTTCCATCTATTATCCATCTGGTCCTTCATTAATCTAGTTGTTAGAAAATAAAAAAAAGGTGAAAAGAAAAAAACAAACAAACCACTAGATGGAGTGGAAATCTATCTTCAGGGAGAAATTGAACAAATTAATTGTTCAGTTTAATTGTTCAGCGGTCTTAACTGATTCATTCTGGCCAAATCAATTCACTTCTGGCTACTCGCAGGCTTAAACATATTTTCCTATGGGATGATTTAAAAAAAAAAAAAAAAAATCTAAAGCTTCCCTATGGATTGCAGGGTATTTTAGAATTTCTGGCCCCATTGAGTCACATAGTGAAAGGCCTAAAGGTATTTGGAAATCATAGCTTTTTATATGTCTTCCTCATATTGTATAATCCAGTGTTCCCAAAGTTAATTTAATCATTACTGATTTATGACTTTGGGGTAACTCAGATGGACTTTGATTCTGTTGTGCTTGTTGTGATCAAAGTAAGTGTGAACTAACTCGATGCTAGTGAGCGGAGCTTGTGTTCGAGGTCTCTTTGCCCACCTTTTCCAATATCTTCAGTATTTCTTATTACAATCAGACATGTACAAACATATACACATTTTCAGTTTACTATTTCTCAGAGGACTGAACTTTCCCACTTTAAGCTAAAGTTAAAGTGTTTTCTAGAATGGATATGATGCTTTAGTTTTTCCACAGGAACCAAAATACCTAAATGTCATATACTTGGTTTCCCAAGTCCGACTCAACCCCCAGACAGTGCCTGATTTATATTCTTGTGTTTTTTTTAAAAATTTTTTTATTTATATTGGTTTGCTTGTTACAAGTTCATGTACATTGTGTTTCACACTATTCTTCATTCACTTGGTGTTTCATACAATTATTCTCATTCATTATGTTTTTCACCATTGAAATACACCCACCATTACCTTGTCCAGATAGATCCCCACAGAACCTTGCCCATTTCCTCTACCACCTCTCCATCAACCCACTTGTGTGACCCTATGATTTCTGCCCCTGCCCACCCTCACCCCACTGCTCCCACCCTACCCCTCTTGGATCCTCATACACATTTTATTAGTTATCTTTCTATTTCTACAATAATGGTTCTTATGCAGTATTTGTCCTCATGAGACTGAGTTAGTTCATTCAGCATAATGGTCTCCAGTGTCTCCTAAGTTATGCCTGTTCTTTCAGAACATTTGTGTACTCTCGTGATTTTCACTAGACCAAGAGGCAGCCCCCAGGTTGAGCAGGAAAGGAAGTATCATGAGGTACTGTAACATCTAATCTGTACACTAATCTAGTCATCAGAGACAAAATGAAAAACACAAGAACATCTTTTAGAAGAGGGTGAACCCGTGCCAAGAGCAGTACCTTCTTATCTCTCTCATCTCCACCTTGGGGTACAACAGTTAATCCTCTATCTTAGTCAATTAATGTGAGATCTTTTCAGGGTTTGTTCACTAAGGTTTTTCCTGAATAGTAGCCTTCAGGACAACTTGTAGGCGGCAGGGGAATATGGTGACATCCACCTTAGCTTTACACTAACATGTCAAGAGTTCACACAAATTTCTTCCTCACCATTAATATTCATGAACTTTCATGGCTCTATCATTTCCCGTATGTTGAGGTAAAATTCATTTCCCAAAAGTGTCACAGTAATTAGTAATTAGCGACTATCAACCAGTTCTCATTGAATCCATGACATTTGATCATTTTGACCTTCCAGAGGCAAGGGTTCTAATCCAAATATCATTTTCTTCTTGGTGATCCTGTATACAATGGAAATCAAACTAAAAAATCCCACCAACTCAGTGTATCGGGGATCAAACTAAAAAAACCCACAAACTCAGTGTCATCTAAAACAGAATCATAGCTGACCCTCCAGCAGGTTTCAGAGGCTATAAATGACACAGGAGAAGGTGGCCTATCCATCTTCCTGGAGCAGCAGCTGGATTCTAACCATCTGCCTTTGGGCTGGCAGCATCACTCTCTACCTACCAGGCCACCTGAGCTCCCTACAGTGTGGATACTCACTTAAATCTATTTTGACATCAGTGACCTTTTTCCCTTCTCATTCGGGCCCTTCCTGCTCATTTCCATAGTTAGATGCTGTCCACATGTTTGTTCTCTAATTTCACAGATCATGCCATACCCCACAAACATGGGTGGCCTCAGTTTTCTGCTGAAGTAGGGTACCCTGTTTCCTTGTTTCCTGCAAGATTCCAGCTGGCAGCCACAGCTGGGTTCCACTTTAAATAGAACTGTGACCAGTGTGGCCACTATTCAGCAAGAGACCACTTGCCATAGGTTAAGATGAGCTCTTGAGTTTTGTGGGTGTGTGAGTCTCTGAAGTGATCAGGGCATGCTATTTATACCTTACTTTAGTTATTAACTTAATCTTCCTGTGACTCAGTTTCCCGGTCTGTAGAATAAAGATAATTTCCCTACCTTCCTCGAGCATCCTGTGCCGTCTTCATAGTTTCTGACACACTGGAGCTTATTGCTGCAGTCACTATGTCAGTCCAGCTCATTGACGGTCTTCCTCTCTTTTGCTGACCCTCTCCACCTTTTCAGGCCTGATGTCCCTTTCCAAGGAATAGCCTCTTCTAGTAACATGGATTCAGATCTATTATTTATAGGGTCCCTAAGAGTCTTAAATTCTGTGGCATCTAACAATAACAACCTCACACATTGTTGGGAAGAGTACACACTTGTAAATCTCTTAGATTGCACGTTATAAGCACATTATAAATGCTACGGGGTTTGTTTTTTTTTTTAATTGGTATTTTGGTACTATCATTATGATTCCGGGGGAATACATACACACACACACACACACACATATATATATATAAAATTAAGGGGGATACTCTTGAGTTGATCCAGGATCAAGATATTGGTTTCTTCTTGTTGTTGTGTACAGTTGAATTGGAATTGACTCATTATAGTTGACCCTCTAGGGGATATTCAGAGCCTGTAAGTCATATGAAAGGAGACTGCCCATCTTTCTTCCAGCTGGTGGATTTGAACCATGGGCCTTTGGGTTTGCAGTGCATCTCTTTATCACTAAGCCATCAGAGCTCCCTAGACGTTAGTTCAAGAGGCAAGAATTACAATTTGGCTTTTTCCCTTTAATTTTTAGGAAGCACCTGAAGTGATCCCTTACCTGTGTATATTTTATTTGAAGTAGCCAGGAATATCTACTTTGACAAAGCTTCTAAATGAGTACGGACTATAAACAATAAATGTCAAACAAAAAAAAATGTTTTGAAAATACTAGCCAAAAATCACCCATAGAGTTTTGGTTACAGTTCAGGGGCCATAGAAAGTATTAGACACTTTCCCCAACTACCCAAATGCATGGATCCAAATTGATTTGTCCTTCAGTGAGAAGAAGAAATTGAAAGATCTAGACTGGGCGGGGAGGCCACTGCCCCCAAAATGACATACTTTTTACCCCCTCCTTTTCACTTAGGCAACAAAGTGGAATTTCTTCAAAAGAAAACCAAAACAAACCTCCAACTTTGAAAACCCAATCTACGCAGAGGTAAGTTAAATTTTTTCTTGGCAACAGTGTTCTTTCTGGAACATCACTCACTAAGCTGACTGTACACTCTGATTATTATGTGCAAACTGGCAAACCTGAGCTTTTCTTCACGTCAAATCCTGCTGGGGAGATAACGGGCTGATTTGTGCTTTGTTGTGGTCTTAGATGGGGACAGAGCCAAAGGACAGCAACGCTGATGCCCTGCCCCCTCCGCTGCCATCTGCTCCCAGTGAGGAAATGCCTCCCAGAAGAGATCCAGCCCCAGCCTACACTCCAACAGAGGACACTTTCAAAGACACTGCTACCCTTGTTAAGGAAGACTCTGAGGCATAGCTACACCAACTACTTAGGACATCATTAGAAACACTTTTGCACATATATTTTTTACAAACAAATGGGAAAAAGTTAGCAGTCAGTCATATATATATATATTTCCTTTTTGCCTATAATTGGAAATGTTTGTGGGAACTATGCCTTGTGTGTCTTTTATACTCTGCCATCTCATGTTTTTACAAAGAATTATCACAATATACTATATGTATATCTTTGCACTGAAGATAATGCTATAAATATATTGTACATTTGTAAATCATGGAAAGATTCTAATATCATTGAACTTGCTAATAAAAGGATCTGCTGAATTTGTTGGTGATCATTATAGGAAATGAATCAATGAGGAAAACAGTTGACTTGGGACCTATAGCCATTTCTAAGGAAAAGACTCATGTCTCTTCTAGCATTATCCAGGAAATGAGTTCAGGTCTCATTCTCGAATCTGCTTTTACACCACAGCACTTAATTAATCGTCAGTATTACATGCCCACCTGATCAATAATTATATTGAAAGAGGGCACTGTGTGCTGGATTGACATCTGAATTTGGCTGTGTACACCTCAGAGAATGCAGAAGGTACACAATACAATTGGGCTTAGCCATTCTGCACGTGTTCACGCTAACCAGAATGATCCATTAGGTATGTGTTATTTCTAAGTCACCATTTCCGTTTACACTGTCTGTGTAAATTAAGTGCAAGTGTCATGCAGTTCGTTTGTATTTAATTGACTGAACTTGCTAGCTTGAGGGACCACAGCCTGGCATCTCAGGTACTCACCTGCCCTAGTAACCAGAGGTCAGTAGCTGAATTAGGAAAACCAAACCTGTATCTTCATAAAGTCAGGTACAAAATAAATACCAGTTCACCAGAGTCTAAACTGGGCTTTTGTTTCTGTGTGTGAAAATATCATTATCATGACTATTTATTTCCTAAGTTGAACATGAATAGAAAGGGAAACTATTATTGAGCCGTATTTAGGTCCTTTGGCTAAATCAACACATCTGTATCAGAATGTACTGTACACTCTAGCTCTTCTCTTGCCTATTGGCATAGTCCTTACAATGGGATTGCTATCGTGAGAATCTGGGAAGCATGCAGGAATCTCCCACTTACATAGTTAATCGCATTCTCAGATCTCTGTGCTAAATATTGCACATTTGTCAAACAATGAGTGAATGGATGCACGGATGAATGAATGGAACCTGAACTACTGATTATTTTATTTCTGAGTTCTGAAAATATTTGTTGCTCATATTTTGAGTGCTTTTTGTAATTACTTTGAAATATTCCTTAATTAGAAAAGCACCTGGAAATGATGCTGCAGAAAATTTTCTAATAAATATGTATTTTATCAGACTTCCTCTGTGGTGGTGGTTTTTTTTTTTTGTTGTTGGTTGGATTATTTTGATTTGAGTGAAGGTTTACAAAGTAAATTCGTTTTTCATTTGGCATTTCTGCACATTTAACCCCTGTAATTCTGATTTCCGCTAATCCTTCTAGACTTCTCTGTCTTGTGTGTCTTTAGTAATCTGCTGATCATCACCTTGTTGGATAGTGTTTATCTCTCCTTCTGTGTGTTTCTTTAACCCTGGTCATGACTTGGTTATTTTTTTCCCTGTGCAGAGAGCCTGGGCCTCTGAATGTTTTCAGTCAGATCAGTGGGTATATTTTGTACTGTTCCTTTCTGACAATGAATTCAATGCAAATTTGTTTACACAATTTGTTGGTGTCCATTGTAGTCGGGAATACGTGATAGGAAACAAATGAATCCCTAGAAACTCTTAAATGTCACTGAGTCCGGCTTTGCTGTTATTAGGTGCTGTAGAGCCCTTTACAATTCATAGTGACCCTATGAATAACAGGTCTGAATTCTGCCCTATATCCTGTGCCATCCACGTCATTTCTGTTCCACTTGCAGTTGCCATGTCAATCCATCTCAATGGGGTCTTCCCCTTATTTGCTGACCCTTCACCCTTGGTATCATTTTCCAAAGAATAGCCTCTCCTAGCAACATGTCCAATCTATGATAGACAAATCCTTGCCATCTTTGCCTCCAAGGAACACTCCAGCTGTACTTTCAGCAAGACATACATATGTGTTCTTTTGGCAATTCATGGGATTTTCAGTACTCTTCTCCAAGACCACACACAATACAATGGTATGAATTCTTTTTCTATCATCCTTATTCATTGTCCTGCTCTCAGATGCATGGCAGGTGAAAAGACCATCGGCTGAATGAGGTATACATTTTAAAGAGGTCCCTGACAGTGGCCTTGCCCAAAGCAAGGTGGTTGTTAATGATTCTTAGTGAACCCATGTATAAAAACTCTGATCCCTGTCCTATCCTGAGCCAATCTCACCATCTCTGCCACACCATTACCCTAGTTACTGTGTCAATCCATCTCATCCAGGGTTTTCCTCTCCTGTGCAATCCCTCCACCCTTCCAAGCATGATGTCCTTCTCCAAGGACTTGCCCTTCTCCTGGCAACATGCCCAAATTATGTGAATCAGAGCCTCAAAATCTTTGCCTACTTGAAGCAGATTGGTTTCACCCTACCCAGGACAGACCTGTTTGTTCTCTTGGCAGTCCATGGTATGTTCACTCTTCTCTAGCACCAAAATTCAAAGACATTGATTCTTCAGATTAACTAGGTGAAGGACAATGGAGGTGACTATGTTTACAACCCAGAAAATTCTAATGCACATATGGAACATTGTTTTAGGCTTGGAAGTCCCTTGCGGAAGGCCTTAGACAGCAGTCCCATTGTGATCACAGAGCTCTGCCTGCAGGCCATCTGACCTTGAGAAAGTGCTTTGACTTCCCCAGCTTTACCCCCAGGTAAAGAATTTGAATGAAAAATTTGGAGGTGGTATGTCTAAGCTACTCTTTGGCTGCATAGTACTGTGATTTAATGTTTTATCTCCTCTCCAGAGTTCATAGGGAATTTCATTTGTTTTGAACCCACTGCAGCTATTTTAGCAAGTTCTGAGCTTATTATAGCAACTTCAGAGGAGGCAGATACAATTATGTCATCCTAATTTTTATCCTTAAAAGCTGCCTGTCTCTGGGTGAGCCGTCAGAAAGATGTATTATATCAGATGCTTTTTGTGAAGATTCAGAAAGCCTACCTACCAATTTCAGTGCTGAAAGTTGTCATGCAATTCTCATTGTAAGAGACTCCTGCTACAAACATCCTTCATAGAGCCAAGGCACAAGGGGCCACTCATAAGGCCCAGGGCCTGACTTCGTTCCTAAGGCATTTGATGGGGCCTAGTCAGAGGAGGAGGCCCCTGGTGATGACAGATGGCACCTTGTTCACTTTGATGGGATGAGAGGCTATGAATAATCACTGGATTAAAGGATTGACATCTTCAGAAGTCAAATGAATTAGTTAATGGTTTTCCATTCTTAAGACATAAAATCTGACTTCTGAAACTATCAATCTGGTTTCTGAGGACTTTTATTTAATGATATCTTTGGAAAATCTAAGTCATGCTGTGGTATTATAATGGAAAGCATTCTATGTTAACAGCTTAAGCAAATAGCTCCAATTCCTGGCTTAGGAGTGCAATTTGGTATCTTGGAAAATGAACTCACCTTGGAACTTACGTATGTGGTTTGGAATCCTGACTCCTTTCCTCCCTGGCTGACCGTGGGCAAGCTGTTAGAACTCCTGCATTTCAGTTCCTTCTCTTCGATGGTGTTAATAGATTATAGAGGCCTCATGAAGATAATATTTACGCACTTGTACAAGAAATGTGAGCATCTACTCATCCTCACTGGCTAATAGTTGACCCTACCTTGGGTTTCTGAGGCTGTAAATGGAACAGGAGGAGACTGCACCCTTCTTTCTACTGAGGTGCTGTGGTGAGTTTGAACCGTCAAAGTGGTCCGGCCTTTGAGTCAGCAGCCCCAAACCCCTGTGGACTGCACTACGAGAGCTCTCTGAGCATCAGCTACTCTTCGATGCCATCGGGTCACGAATGACTCAGTCTCCCTGTGAACCACAGGTCTGAATTGTGCCCTATCTTGTGCCATCTCTAATACACTTGAGCCCATTGTTAAAGTCACTGTGTCAGTCCACCTCCCTGAGGGTCTTCCTCTCTTTCACTGACCCTCTACTTTTCCAAACATGGCGTCCTTTTCCAAGAGCTGAAAAAATATGCTTGCTTGTTCTCTTGGCAGTCCATAAAATAGTAATTTACTGAATGCTTTATAAAACTTTCTCCTTTAACTCTCCAAATGCCTTCTAAGGGAAGCATTACTAATTTACAGGTAAGAAAGCTCAGATAAAAAATGAGAAGATATTTTATAGATTCTAAGAGAGCCCTAGTGGTCTAGTGACAAGAAGCTGCGCTACAATCCCAAAGGCTTGTGGTTCGAATCCACCAGCTGCTCCATGGGAGTCAGATGGGCAGTCTCCTCCCATGTGGTTAACTGCCTCTGAAAACTCTCCAGAGGGTCAGCCAGTGGTCTGGTTCTGACTCCATGGTGCACAACAACAGCAAAGACAACATAGTCTTTTTCAAAACCTGTTCAGTTTGTATGCTAAACAAGTTATTCAAGAAGTAAGACTTAGTGAAGAGGAATGTGGCATCAGGATTGGAGGTAGACTCCTAAACAATCTTCATTATGCAGATAACACAACCTTGCTGGCTGAAAATGAGGAGGACTAGAAACACTTGTTGGAGAAGATCAAAGACTACACTCTGCAATATGGACTACATATCAAGAAAACAAAGACTGTCACCAGTGGGCCAAAAGGCAATATGATGCTAGATGGAGAAAAAGTAAATTTGTCAATGTTTTCATCTTGGTTTGGATCCACAATCAACACCATCGGTACCAGTAGTAAAGCAATAAAAAGACATTGCACTGCACAAGTCTGCTGTCAGGGACATCTCCAGAATATGTTCAAGCCATGGTCCTTTCAATCACCTACTGTACTGTATCTGTGAGCTGGACAATGAATAAAAATGACAAAAGTGAGATGAACG